GCTAGGGATAATATTAAATACCCCCCGACGACGGTGAGTGGACGGGACATGCAGAATAACTCTCTTGATCGTAGCAACATAGTTAATCTATCCAGGGTAAAGCTAACCCCCGACGAAGAGTCGCTCCTCTCAAGGGGTCTTAACTTCTGCCCGACCACGGGCCAGTACGACGAATTCACTCTCCTCCAGGATCTAGATAATTTCGCACGAAGCCTTCGGCTCCAGGAATTCTTCTTTGATAGGCCCCATCAGGGCGCATCTCCTCTGCCTTCGACATCGTCCGGCTGGACTCCCGGTCCCAACAGAGATAAGCATCTAGACCTTTATATCCAGGCGGTCCAAAAGGACATTGTGTCAGCTTATAGAAATCAGCAACCGCATCACTATAACCTCTCGCTTCCCGAACGCAGGGCGCTCAAGGATCTAGGTAACAGAAAAGATATTATAATCAAACCAGCTGACAAGGGGGGTGCTATGGTTATACTCAACATCTCGGATTACATAAAAGAAGGCTATAGACAACTAAACGATGCCAAATTCTACCGTCATCTAAACAACGACCCAACTAGCCAGCATGCCAAACTTATACACCAGCGACTTATCGAGCTAGAGAAACAAGGTGAAATTACCGACAAAACTTTACGGGGGCTAACGGCCAAACACGCTGTACCTGGGCGCTTCTATATGTTACCTAAAATCCACAAAGAAGGGAATCCCGGCCGCCCCATTATATCGGGCTCGGGAACGCTCACCGAGCCAATTTCTAGTTTCGTTGATAGCCTCATCAGACACATCCCGCCTACCTTCCCGTCGTACATTCGGGACACGACTCACTTTCTCAAAGAAATTTCTAAAATTCAAATACCCAAGGATGCTTTTCTGGTGACAATGGATGTAACTGCTCTGTACACCAACATTCCCCATAAAGACGGCATAGAGGCGCTTGTGAGGGCATATGAGGCCCCACAGGAGGGATGACTTCCCGGAGAGCCAAGTTCTGGCTGTCCTTTCGAGCCTGGTTCTTGAGTTAAACAGTTTTGAATTCGACGGCGAATTTTTTCTTCAAACTAGAGGGACCGCAATGGGCACGAAAATGGCCCCGAACTTTGCAAATATATTTATGGGCGACCTCGAATCAACTTTTCTCGCATCCTGTCCGCTCCAACCGATGTTCTACAGGAGGTATATTGATGACGTATTTTTTATCTGGTCACACTCAGAAAATGAGCTTCTCAAGTTCATCGCAGATTTTAACTCCGCGCACCCTTCCATTCGCTTCACACACAGTTACTCGAAAACTGACATTAATTTCTTAGACGTTAGAGTAATAATTAAGGACACAACTCTGGTCACTCAACTGTATCGAAAGCCCACGGACAGTCAGAGATATTTGCACTTCGACAGTTGCCATCCTCGACCTTGCCGAACCAGTATTCCGTACAGCCAGGCTCACAGGTTTAAACGTGTATGTTCTAATAACGATGATTTTGACTCCAACGCCAATCAACTACGCGAGGTTCTAAAAAAACAGAAGTATCCAGAAAAAATCATAAATGACGCAATTAGTAAGGCGCCCGCCCTCGATCGCGACATCTTGTTAGGTGACAGCGGTCCCCAGGCGGAGACAAGCCGACAGGCCAGCCTCGTGCTGACATTCAGCAATAAGTCTCCGAATGTCACCGCCATTTTAAAGAAACATTTTAATATTTTGCAACAAAGTGAACGCCTCGCAAAAGTTATTACTACCGTCCCACGTGTGGTGTACAGACGCTCGCGGAACATTAAGGATTCCTTAGTCAGGTCCAAGATAACTGCCACTGAGAGCACTGGGAGTCGGCCATGCGGAAAGTCGGGATGTGGGGTCTGCCCACACGTAACACCGAGAAACTCCATAGAGAGTACAAACTCCAACTTCACCTACAAAATTTATGGCAACTTAAATTGCGACACCAGTAATGTAGTATACCTTTTACAGTGTAGCACTTGCGGCGCGCAGTACGTGGGCCAGACAGAGACACCTTTCCGATTGCGGTTTAATAATCACAGATCACATGCAAAATCAAACCCCACACTTCCCGTTTCAAAGCATGTCAGCGATCCAAAACACTCATTTGATGAGCTCCAAGTCACATTTTTACAGTCTGGTTTCAAAAGCAACCGAGATCGCAAACAGAAAGAATCTTACCTTATTCACAAGTTCAAAGCCGCGATCAATAAACATCCCGGCATTATGTCTTCCATTCACGCGGTTAACATTCACGATCCTCCTGTATCAGCGTGAGCGTACACATTCCAAAGACTTTAGGCCATCCACAATTTATTTCATATAGAGTTAGTTTTAATAATATTGTTGACTGAACAGCTGCGAGCAGAGAGAATCGTATCTTATTAACAAATTTAATTCAATCCGGGCAGGTATTAATGAAGATCCCGGCATAATGTCATCTATGCATGCAATCTACCTTAATGAACACCCTGGAATAATGACGTCCATGCACGCAGTTAACACATCTTGAGCAGTCATATCGGTTTAAAAATCCAGAACCTCCCCTCGTTGAAGTTTATTATGTGAGAAAAGGGATATGTATGCCTGTGTGTGTTGTTTTTTTACGCACTGAGGAGGCGGCTCGCACACCGCTCGTGCACCGCTTGTTGCAAGTTTCCACAAAAACTGCAACCGTTTTTGTTTTTTGTTTTTTTCGGCGAGGAGGTCCAGGACCACCCCTCGTCTTCCCTGTCTTGAAGTTCATTACGTGAAGGGGGGATGTGTTGATGTGTGTTTTTTTCACGGACAGAGGGGGCGGCTGGTGCACCGCTCGGACACCGCTCGGGGCATTTTTCTCAAAAGTTTTTTTTTTTTTTTTCAGCGAGAGTTTGTCGTTTGCTGTTCTTGGGGCTGCCCCTCCTCCTCCCTCCTCCACCGCTTTGCTTTAGTTAGATTTTCCGACATGGTGCGAGTTCTTTCACCAGGGTCAGGTTTACGCGGGGGGGGGGGGGGGGGGGGGGGGGGACGCCTGCGTCGGGGGGTACCGTCAGCTCTTGAGAGAAACCAGATGTGTGGAATGCCACGTGACGTGGTCAAGGAGCGTCAGTGTGCCTTTATGTGCCAGTCTTGAAAAAGGTCTGTCTCAGGCCGAAACGTCAACCAACTTTACCAATAATATGTTTTAAAAACTCCAACAACCGTCTCAGGTGCGTTTTCTTCCGTATATACTTTTCGTCATCCTGCGCTTCGTTTTTTTCTATATATATATATATATATATATATATATATATATATATATATATATGATGTAACAACCGTTTATAAAAAGAAAAGTGTCGCGTGTACTGTCCTTTCAAGCAGGCGCGAACAGGTAGCAAGGGAAGAACGCGTCCCAGCAGTCCCTGAAAGTTTCAGGCATCGGCTTTCCCGCAACACGATAACTTACGTGGGGAAGCCGAACGGCGTTCCGAGCTGCCGCGGTTCTTTCTATCTCCGGTCAGTGTTAAAAGAGACGCTCTCTGACGTCACATCTCTGCCATCTCCAGCCTGCTCGAAAATGTCTGCCCAGTGGAGAGAAAATTACGCGTCTCTATACTTTGTTCCACCTCGAGTCCCACGGCAAGATTATCCGATTGAGCCTAGAGTCCCTAGATAGGCTCCCCGTAGGGGAGGCAGAGTTGAGCGTCTGTTTTTACAAACCGCCGCGCCGCTATTCGCCAAATTCCATCACGTGACAAACAAAAATCCAGTGGAATGCAGGAAAGCCTTTGCTACGGCCGCTCAGTTTGCCGCTAACTATCCACTAGTCAACTACGCTCATATTCTTTGCTTTCGCGCGAGGCCATCTATCATCCATGCACAGGCCGTACATCATCCACATATCATCCACCCGGTCATTACGACGTCAACGACTTGAGGTCCCGAGGCCTTACCCGATTCCGGCCCGACTGTTTACGTTATTTTCAATGCTGTTAATCCAAAGCGTGGACATCAGGCGTCTGACGTCAGAGGCTGACGCCGAACACTCGCGGAACCACGGCGGCATCGGTGAACCACCGCGTACGGACCCGAGAAAGGAGACTAGGGCTATCCACTCGGCCTACCGATGGTGCGGCTTTTGCACGCGTGAGGAGTGGCTTTCCCGCATAACTTTGGATTTCAAGATGGATTAGCTTGCGACTCTGCTCCTTACGGCAGTGTATACACGGGCGCTCTAATTGAGTCAACCAAGAAACGCCAAAAGTGCATCGACACGGCGATCGTCGCCTTTATGCGTTTGTTATCCCCGATTAAAGTAATCACGCGCAGTAAATGTACCACGATCCTGCGCTTTTGTGTGTGCGTGCGTTTTGCTGGTGATTGGTTTAGCCGGAGATAGCCAACGTAGAGTGACATCGAGCGCCTTGACGAGGAACATATGGGCGCGGCTTGATCCATCCGTCCGTTGTGTCGGCTACGATCGGAATTCGAGTGAAACCAAGTAGGGGCTCCTGTGAAGGCTTTACTGATACACCAATCGCTACGCTTCCCGGTTGACTCCGGCTCTCCCCAAGCAGATGACGGAGACAAGAGTTGGTCGAACTGAAACCCCTAGTATCTGGTTGCGTTCGCTTTACACGTAGCGTCAAAATGCACCAGCGCACGAGGCCCGTGCCCCGTGCGCGGACATTGGAAGCAAATGGCGGCGCAGCACGCTGTCGTGATACGTGTCTCGCACGCTCGTACAGATGTGGAATGTTCATCGAGGGACTTTACGCAACAACACCACCTGGGAGGCAAGGCCTCTGCACGACGTCGTCGTTAGTGGATCCCCGACCCGGCACAAGGGGTAAACACGCTGAAACTTGACGCCGAGACGCGCTGGGGGTGATGGTGACGGAAGCTGGGCAGTGCCGCGTGGATTCATTCGGTTTTGGGGGAAGGAAGAGGGGGGGGGGGGAGGGTGCGCGTTCCTTCTTTTAAGTGGTATCGGTTTAGGTCGGACGCGTCCCAGAGACCCCGCGCCTCCGTGCAGACTGGGCCCCCGAGGTGCTGGGCCTGTGCCAGGAGTTCCAGAAGAGAGGCGTGGTGGGCATCGACGTGTGCGGCGTCTTCAAGCCCAAGCAGACCGCCTCCGAAGGCGAGGAGATCCTCACGCCTGCCGTCATCAAAGCCTTCGAGGTGAGGGCGCGCCCGATACTGTATACGGGGGTCGTTACCTCCGAGTCGGCGCGGCAGCGTCCCTCGCGTTATTAGCTACGTAATTAACCTAATTAAGTACGTTACTCGTTACAACTATTGAAAACAAACGCGTTACTTTGACTTAAAATTAACACGTTTTTTTTCTCGTTACTCGGAATGTGTCATTTGTATAAGGCACCCGCCGCTTCCAACATTTCCCGTCGTTGAAATTTCTTTTATAACGCGGTAATTCGGGGATAACCGTGGCTATATTGATAAACTTTGCGGACATGTTTTTATAAAATAAGGGTTACTGCTCAAATAAACTACTAAAAATCGAAATAAAAAAGAAACCTCAAAAAACATTAACATTAAAAAAAAAAAAAATGGGAGAAGACAACACCATCTTAAGAGACTGTGTTGTCTTGTCCCATTTTTCGCTTCTGGTCTTAAGTTTTTGTTTGTCCTTTTACTATGGTTTTTTATGGTCTGTTTGGCGTGTTTTTGTCGTGCAAATTAGAGGCACGAGCTGGGATGAGAACTAGGTTGGGTAATTGTGTTGTACACGTTTTTCCCCAGGACTAACTAAGCGTGGCTCTTCACTTTGTTGAAAAGTAACAAAAATACCTTACTTGTTTCATCTCTTAAAAAAAAGTAACTACAGGTCGTTACTTTGTTACCGGAAGAAGTAACTAGGAACAAGTAACGTGTTACGTACAAGTGCGGTCCCAACGGTCCCTGGATGTCCCGTGGATGTGCATTGGACGTGTTCCGGGTTCTCGCAGAAAGCGGCCGAGCTGGGAGTGCACCGAACGGCGCACGCCGGCGAGGCCGGCCCGTCCAGCAACATCACGCGGGTCATCGAGGAACTGCGCACCGAACGCATCGGCCACGGCTACAGCGCTCTGCGGGAGGGCGGGAGCCCCTACAAGCTGGCCCTCCAGAGGGGCATCCACTTCGAGATCTGCCCGACCAGCAGCTACCTGACGGGCGCCGTCAAGCCGGGGGAGGAGCATCCGCTGCTCAGGTCTGCTTCGGGACGCCCTCGGGAATAGTGTTAACGGATTAATCTAGAGGAAAAGGTCCCACGCCGATATCCCTTATGTCCGCGCTCAGGATTTACCGCTTTCTTCTCCCGTACGGTGCATGGAAGGCTTTATCAGACTGGCGTATTAACCGCGCCCTACCCCACCCATGCGTCGAAAGTGGTCTCGAAGTGGCAACAAATAGTGTCGCAGGAGCTGGCCTGTCATGCTTCATGCTGTCAGATGTCGCCATCCTGGCGGTCGGTCGTAAGAATACTGGCGAAAGAGACGAGCAGGCGCGAGGGTCGCTGTCGTCGCGGCGTCCGGTGGACTGTCTTGCTGGAGGGCGACCTGCAAGCAGAACAGGCGTCTGCTGCATTCACCACCGCCTCCGCTGACGCGACACAGCCAGGATCGTGGCAGGCAACGGCATGGATGTATGGATGGGTGGATGATATTGGCTATGCGCTTTGTAACGGGCGGTAGCTTGCCTCACCTAGCTTAAGAAAATGCTTTCTTCTCCAACTTAAATACCCAGTTTCTTTCCCTCTACATTCCTGCTACTATCACCGGGCCGGGGAAATGAACCACCTGGCTGACCTTTGGGGGATTGGGCATCACACGTTTATGACGTCACCAGGTTAAATTCTAAGGACCACTTCCAAGGAGGCGGTAAACGAGCAAGTTGGAGGCGCGGTCCAGGCATCATACTCGTAGAGTGTCTTGGGTCCGGCTTGCACACGAGCACGACGCATGCCCCGCCGGTTTTTTGGCCGGGGTGCGTTCCTTCCACTACCTCGGACGAAGGGCGCGCTTTGCCCGACGCTTTCTCGGCGTCAGCACCAAAGGGCGTCCATGGCTCAACGAGCGTTTTAGAAAGCGTGTGCTCAGTGTCCCGATATCGGCGCCTCAGCTCTCCTCGCGGTCTAAGAAACAGGGAGGCTAACGGTCTCGTGTCCGAGGCGATAAAGTCGACAGGAGCGGAGCCATATGGTCCGTTTCCTTCCCGGAGAGCGGGGTGCGGGCCCAAAATGAGCCCGGCGTTCGTCCCTGCAGGCTGAAGCGGGACCATGCGAGCTACTCCCTGAACACGGATGACCCGACCATCACGCAAACCAAGGTGGACGACGAGTATCAGCTCTGCCTAAAAGTGGGACTCCTGCCCAGCGACATCCTCAACTCCGTAAGTTCCGCCCGCGTTTTATGGGGTTATACAGACACCACCTAGAAGACAAGGTGTGAACCTCTTCCCCCACAGTGCCACCCACACAGCTCCGCCTAGCTCGCGTCAGCGTCACCGTCAGCACGTATTGCAGTGTCTCAGAACGAGAGCTACGCTAGCCCACGTCGACGTCATGTCTATCTTCAGCGCGTTTGCCGCTTGGGCGGGTCCGGGATCCACATGTGATGACGTCATGCGCGAGCCTTGTCTTCTAGGTGGCACTGTTCAAGTGGCGTTCGTATTCAACGAGGCGCCGAGATGTTTCGGTGGCGCCCTCATTTGGTTTCAATCCATGACGTCACGAACAGGATTAGCCTCGTCTTGACGTCCCACGAGGTGTTACCCAGGCTACTTATTGTCAGTGGCGACGAAAAGATAGATGGCGTGTTTAAGAAGCACAGTGGAAGCTAGGAGCCGTCACGTTCTGAAAATAACACCGTCGAAGTTGACAGTATCTGACAATGCTCTTATGCTCGTGGTTTGACCAGTCGCGGAGAGGCAGGGAAGTAGGGCGCCTACGTGTCTGTCTATCTCAGTGTGAAGACATTCTTCGTTGCATTGAGTCGGCCAGCGTTAGTGCGTGACTTGTGCGGTTAAATGGCGTGTATGCATTAGGCAAGGCTACGCGCTCAAGCTGAGTCACATTGGTTTGCTCGCCCTTCGAAGGACGTAAGATAAAACGATTGGGTGGAAAAACGGCTGAGATTTCCAAAACTCAAGCCTACCCCTGTGACGCTCCTGGTCACGCGCGTCGCTACTACAGCCCTGACTGACTGTCTGAGTTGTGCCCGTCTTCCCTCCACGCAGAATCGTGCAGCCATCGCCGCCTGCTTCCTGCCCCCGATCGAGAAAGAGGAGCTGAAAAAGAAGTACGAGAGGCTCACCGCTGCGTCCAGCCTATGAGCCGCCCTTTTAGCGGAAACCCCGAAAGAAGACGATCAAATTAACGTGGCCTTCGAGGACAATGGCGTGCTGTCGCTTTCGTCGTGCGACTCGGTGAAGCCCCATTGGATGCCAGTGAAAGACAATGCGTCGGGTGCGAGTCCAGCGAGACGGACGTGGAAGTGAATGCGAGACTAGTGCACCCAAAGGCAGCTCGGGCGAAGATGGGGTGCCTTCGGTGCACAGTCTCGATTGGAACGGCAACGGTCGTGACAACGCCTGTGCGTGGCTGCTTCATCTGGACGCGGCATAGGGCTTTCGACAAACGATTCCCACTGTCTGCGTCTCGACACGTGACTTGTCTGCAATTTGGGGAGCATATTCTTGGGTAGGACACTAAATTAATTTAATAAATAAAAAACAATTTCGAGCGCGATTTTGTTTTTTACGTTTTTTGATGTAATCTCAATTTAATTACTTTTTTTCGTCCTTCAATTGTTAGTTACAATTACTCGTCCCACGACGTTCTTCAACACATCATGTAGTCACTGGGAGCATAATTAAGAAACTCAGGACATAGCGTGTCCCCAGCAGACAAGTACTAGACACCCGAAGAGAGGAACTAAACACCGTGACTGGTTACTCGGCCTTAAAGGGATACTGAACCAAAGAATTTAGTATCCATAATAAGTGGCGCACGTTCTTTCCACGAGCCAGCAGCCACCGGTGTGCGCGAGCACACGCAACAAAAATGGCGTCAAAGACCTCCATTCGCGCTTAAGATGACAGTGAAATGCATGGGCTTAGGGCCAAAGGAGAATAAAGACAGGCTTTTCATCTCTACAAGTGAAAGCTATGTGCTTGTTAAACCAATTCATCGCTTACCTTTTACACCAGACACCACTGCGTAGATGAAAAACTTGTCTTTATACTCCTTTGGCCCGAAGCCCATACATTTCACTGCCATCTTAAGTGCGAATGGAGGTCTTTGACGTCATTTTTGTTGCGCGTGCTCGCGCACACCGGCGGCTGCTGGGTCGTGGAAAGAACGTGCGCCACTTATTATGGACACTAAATTCCTTGGTTCAGTATCCCTTTAAAGTGATCGAATGCTTTACTCGTTACTGCTATTCACAGGGAACGCGTTAACCTCGGCTCAAAAGTAACGCCTTACTTTCTTCGGGGGCCATTGAGCACCCGCTGATATTTTCCAGGGGGTGCTGGGCACTATGCTGAGCCCCCGTGCGTTTGGCTCAAGGCCTACTGAACAATACCTACACGTCTCCGCCCTCTCCTCCGTGTTCCCGTTGTTGCTCAGCTCCGCCAAGCCACGTACTTGGCTAAGGGCAAGCACATGGCTCTGTTTTTATTACGGTTGGTTACCCACCAAATCACGGCACAACCTTCGTCCACGAAATTACAAAAAAAAAACAATTACGAAGTAAGGCAAAGTATCAGTAAACCATGGACGAAACCGCAGCTTCAAAATAAAATGAGGAAAGAAAAAGAAAGAAAAGCCGGTGCCTGCGGTCTGCATAGCACAGTCAGGGAGATCTCCTCTCTTCCCCTGCTTGTTAGTTTTCCTGGGGCCCTCCCATACTATGGTGCCTGGAGCGCGTCTTCGACTGGTGTGTTTAGCGTCCTATCCCGCCCATACATCAAAAGTGGTCCCGATGTGGCAACAAATGACGCGAGTGTCATGCTGTTGCCTGTCGCGATCCTGGCGGTTGGCCGTAGAAATGCTGGCGAAAAGCAGGAGCGAACGCGAGTGTCGCTGTCGTCACGGCGTCCCGTTAGGCGTCCCAACTTCCGGCTGCACTAGCTTCCGTGAACTGTCACAATGGAAAGCGACCCGCAGCAGAACAGGCATCTGCTACATACACCATAACTGTTGGGACGCCACCAGGGTCGCGACCGGCGACAGCATGACACTTTTATGACGTCATCAGGCGGAAATCGAGGGACCACTTTTTTGGCCGCGGTAAACACACCAGTCAAAGACGCGATCCAGGCACCATACCCATACTGCACTCGCGGGTTGGCCATGCGGGTTGGCCATGTTGTTGTTATTTTGGCGGCCTGAGTAACCACGAGGGTCGGGTAATTGTTTCCGTGGGAAGAGCGGAAGCGCGAGGCGGGGATATGGGCTAGCGCGCGAAGAAAGCCCTTTTTGAACGAAGGACCGCTTACAGATGTAGCAAGTTAAGGAAGTAAAGTATCCCAAATCCCAAGGCAAGAGGAGGTCTTAGCAGGCGACACAGGTGGTCAATAGAGAGTTCGCACTGCAGTCTGGGTTGAAGCGCCGCTATAACGGTGGTCGTCGGAGACATCAAAGAATCGCGACATTCTCGCCTGTATTTTTGTGTCTGGTTTTCGAAACACCATTCGGTTCTTGGCGAGCCATCCTGCTATGTTCAGGCGGTCACCCTATTATACACCTAGAATATTTTACCCTTTTTTTCAAAGACGACCGTAAAAACAGAAAACGTGCTGAAATAAAAAAACGGTATCGCCTGTGAAGGTTTACCACCGAAGGACCGCGTCCACCGGTGGTAAACTTCTTTGAAATTTTTCAAGAGTGTATTGCTATAACTTTTCACATAAACGGAGCTGCGCCGAGGAATTTCACAGGAATGCGTTCACGACTAAAATACACCTTCGTTGACAATGTGAGCTTTCTACGCGGGGGCACCCTATTTTCCACTAAATTTTACATCGACAGCGTAGATCGATGCCATCGTATAGCTACTACTATTGGAACATCCTATTTGCGTCGTGACAAGAATTTTGGATGAATGTACGGACACACGGTATAGGTAGTGATAATACAGAAACAGTAAAATCTTGGTAGTGGTGTTTTATTTAATTCTAATTTTTCGCACTCCCCCCTCCCCTTTATTTCAACCGCTTGCCCCCTCCCCCTTCCCACCCCCCCGTAAATTGCACTTCCGGGGTCGCTGGTTCCTTCAAAATTGTTTTTAAAAATAATATTAACCTTTTGCGAGCTCAGACAACTTTTAATTCCCGGCAGCAGACCTTCATCCTGCACTAAGACATCAATTTTCTCCTTGCACACATTCTTGACAAGAATGTTACTCGAGGAGGTGGCGACAAGTTTAAGCATTGTTTCAGGTGCGTGGTCGCTTGGACAACAGTCCAACCTTTCGAAATCGGGCCGCGTAGTGAGTGCCCGGTCCCTGAAAAACAACTATGTTGATCACGTAACCGCAAGAACGGAGCGATGTGCCTGCTATATGCCTCATTAAGACCCAGAAAACAAGCGGAGCGGTTTACTTTAATATTATCCTTCCGGGCATAATTACAATACGGAAGCGCAAGGATAAAACAAAACGCTACCAAATCAACACACCTTAGAAAACCTCGTAACTTGAACTTTCCTTCTCCGGAATCGCCTTAATTCTTTGCTTGTCGGTTTGGGGAAAGAGAATACATGGACCTTCTGTTCTCCGGCATAATTTCTCCGACACTCTGGCACACAACAACACTTATAAGGCATTGATCCTTACATTCACACGCACGAGAATACTAGACATTCTGCTCGCCGACGGACGCAGTGAAAAGCCGGGCGCCTTGCATCCGCATTTCCGACGCCTCTCTATGTTGCCCGATTGCGCACGCACCGAATGCTCGGCTTTTCTTGGCTTGCGAGCCGACGGCCGTCTGAAAAAGTCGAGTCATCACGTCGTCTAATCTTCTTTTTCGTTATTTCTAGTTGTTAGACTCTATAACAGACTTCCACTTCGCCGCTTAAACCGCACGCAATGGAGATGACGGCGCAATAAAAAAAAAAGTTCCTTGTCAGCATCGTCGCAGGTGCTCGGCTGTGAAGACAATCTGCTGGCTCCACGATTTGCCTAGGAAAGTGCACGAGGCTTGTCGGTGTCGGTTGTTTCTGTTTGTCACTCTAGTGGGACTCGGGCGTAACGATGGCGTCCTGCGTGTAGGCCTTGTCTTTTAGGTAGTGTCGGTGCGATCGACTGTCAGAGCCGCAGAACGCGCGAAGGGCCCAAATAGGTTGCGCACCTTCATTGCTAGCGCGGTGCCTTCCATTTATAGGATGCGAAGAAAAAAGCAAAATGACTATGTTCTGATGTTTTCACGCCGGGACACTGATAGCGCAAACACGACAATGGCACTTTTTCAACTTTTTTTTTACTTTGAAAGGGTATCGAGAGGCACCAAGTTTTACCGCTTGGTTTAGTGCCTCTTAGTTATCCCTTTCCACTCATTTGATAACGAACGTGTTATTAATCAATAATATTCTATATATATAACCGGCGATCGCTGGTTGCCGCTAACAGCGTCGCGCTGTGATCGTTTATTACCTCACCGTGTACTATTGCAGACATGACATCATCTTGAGCATGACATTAAGTTTTATGGAATTCCTTCAGTGCCCGGATATATACGCTTAAAGTCGATTCTTTTTTAAACTACTGGGATGAAAAAAGTATTAACAATCTTGGCGGTGCTGTAAAACACTAAGCTAATACGTGATGCAAGATCCCCTCAAGACCCGGCGTCCACTCGTACCACGAATAAAATTGGTGTAATAAAGGTATTGTGAACTTTGAAGGTTGTTGTAACAACCAGTGTTAGAGAAAATACTCGATAAAAATATTTAAGTTACTAAATACCTGCTTTACAAAGTATTTAAAATACTACTCAAATTACTTTTACTCTAAAGTATCTTGAATTATAAATGTAATTAAATTACTTTTGAAGATACTTCCGCATTGCGTAATATAAATCGACGTCAGTGACAAACACAATTACACAGTTGCGCAAATCTGGTTTATCAGAATTGACTATTAACACGCAACAGCACAAAACAAATTAAGAATAAAAAAAACATCGCAAGGTTATTTTATGCTGTCCAAATATAAGGAGCGGGATAAAACCGATACATGTTACAAAACATTTCTGGGACAAAAAATAGTATAAAAAGGGGTCACATCAGCTATAGTGACCTGCTGCGTACCTTAGACGCATCGTTTCACTACAATCCCTGCTCCCTCAAGTTCCGTATACCGATTTCACTATAAACGAACTTGGGATACAAGAATGAGTGAATGGATAACAATCAGAAAGGCGATACACATTGGGGAACACTTCGTTGGCATCTTGAGAGGTCATCCTGCTGCAAGTTCGCTTCTTTTCCTGTTCTCTGCTTATCAACGATCACTTAAAAAAAGGGTCCGCGAAAACAATAAAAGCCAAACTGAAAAAAAAGTGACGTTTTGCCGTCGTGAAGTTAAATATAGAAGCAAAAAAAAAGAAGTTTTCGTTTTGTGTCCACTTCTGATTTTCTTCTATTCCTTATTTCTTGACACTGAAGTCTGCATTGTTGTCGTGGGTCGTTTACCGTTCTGAGTGTGGCAATCTTTACATCCGTAAAACCACCCCTTTTGTTAGAGGATTTTTTTTTTTTGGGGGGGGGGGGAGGGGGGGGGGAGGGGAACTTTAGGAAATTATAGGTGCCTTTGAGAAGGGAGCGGCGGAGAAAAGCTCACCGGGGAAAAGCTACCGGAAAATAGCTCACAGGTGAAAAGCTCACCGCAAAACCGGCAGATGCGGAGAAAAGCCCACCGGCCATTGAGCGGATGCGGAGAAAAGCTCACCAATTTTTAAAATCTTTTCTTAGCTTAGCGGACTGTGCTCCACACGTGGCAATTTAACGCAGTTAGAATTCGTTATCGCATTAAAAATAATTGTCCTTTTTTGTAATACTTTGAAATTCATTATGCATACTTACTAATTCCTCAGAAATTAGTAATCACCCATTCTGTATATTAATGGCGCCACAGGCATAAAAGCAGAACAACGGACACCCATAAAAAAAGACAACAATTTTTTCAAGCTTCACAGTACGCCGTCGGAAGCTTTGCCAGATAGAGAGGTTCCTTTTTTTTATTTTTTGCGAGTTAATATGAATAGCGTTGTGTGAGCCGTTTCAGCTCCGAAGATGCGTGGTGCCTGATAGATAAGTACTTACCTAGGTGTTTGTTGATGTAATCAGTGTCGGCTACGCTGTTTTCTTTCTGTTATTTTCCCAAGTAAAACTTTAGTTGCGAGAACAACTTCGTCCTGTCGTGTTTGTTGTCTCCTCCGTCTTTGTCGTTTGAGCGGCTTCCATCATGTATAACGTTTACCAATTCGCCCAATTCGCTCCTTACAGAAGACTAGTTCTTATATAGGTCACGAGTAAGAATGGTGACAGTGGAGCTCTGAAGGCCATGGGTGGCTCGCCGTAGAAGGGCACTATCACACGTGCATGTCCGTGGTAGAAAGAAACCTCGATATCCTACTGACCGTTCTATCCTGATTTCAAAGGTGAACAAAACCTCCAAAGAGACTTTCGGGCACCGCGTTGTTGCGGATGTTCTTTCGAATATTTGGCGTTTCTTTATTTATTTGTTTTATTTATTTCAAATACTGCCAACCCTTGCGGGTTGTAGCAGGAGTGGATACAGTAATACATAAAAAAAACTACAGGTGACACATGAAATTGCAGTTTACCTTTTAATGTTTTAGGCAGACATTATTCGAACTTTTTCGCGTTCTTCAAGTTTATAAAGTTTTCGGTAAGGCTTTCATTGGAGCAAAACCCCAGAAAACACTTGACCGCAATTAATAATTTGGAAGCAATATACCGAATAAGCTTTATTAAGAAATATTACAAAAAAATTCCTTTTGCAAAGCTGACCAATTTTAATGACAGTAAATTGATATATGTTGCGCATGATCCAACAGGCTCTATATCAAAAAGAAGAAAAAAGAAAAATCGGTAAGCTTTTCTTCGCATACGCTCAATGGCCGGTGAGCTTTTCTGCGCATCCGCCGGTTTTGCGATGAGCTTTTCTCCGGTGAGCTTTTCTCCGGGATTATTGGGAAGGCGAAGGGAAAACATTCATTGTACGAACTTTGCGGTAAAATATGAGTCACAATCGGCGAAAAAGCGATATTTTCGCGAGCTCAATCTAAGTTACCGTAACTTATCTGCGCTAGCAACAGGGTTTGGCTGCTCGAATGTTCGCGTTTGCCTCTGCCACGCCCCGCCACTTCATACCGAAAAACTCGGAAAATGGCGGAATGTCAAAAATGTATTTGAGATAATGAGTACAAGATACTCAGAACTGTAATTAAAAAAAAAAAAAACAAAAAAAAAAAACAAAAAAAAAACAGTATCAAGTACTCTCGATCAAAAGATACTTAAAAAATATTTGAAATAAAATATCTCGAGTAGAGTATTTGAGACAGGCCCAAGTCTGGCAACAAGTAAATGAAGAAATGTATCGCTCATGCAGGCCTCCTAGCATGCATCAGCATTGATGCCAGCGGATGTTGCAGTGTCTCACAAGGGGCTCGATACTAGCACCCGTCGACACCAAGGTGTTTGCCCTTTGGGGTCGGGGGTCACCAAGCGATGACGTCACGCACAGGCCTCGTCTTCTGCGTGGAACATTGGCTCAAGATGCGGGTGCGGATTTACGGGTCAAGCTTTGGGGGGATCAAGGACGGATGTGACGTTACGAGCGAGGCATTGCCCAGGTGTATACATTGTTGACTAAATATGTGCGATTTTATCAAAAGCTTAACATTAATTAAAGTTGAAGGTCGACCTAGTTGGTAGTTGTACATGGTGACGAAGAACAGCGCAAAAGACTGTCTTTTGCGTTGATTTTGATTATCATGTACAACTTCACATTTCTCTCTAAACACTGGTGAATGCCAGTTCATTCTTTCAAATGCATGTGACCCTTGGGAGGCTCCGGGGGGGGGGGGGGGGGGGGGGTCTGCGCGCTCTGCTTTTAAATTATCTACTGGCCTCTTCATCGCGCATTCCTTGTGCGGTTTCTTTGTCGCCCTGTGATTGACGTCCTCTTCCCCGCGTTCCACTGCGCCACGGACGTATCTCGGAACACTCGCTCGCCATATCGTCTCTATACTCTCCAAATGGTTTCGTGGCCAAGACGGCTCCTCGTCTGTGCCGCTCGTGCCTCGGCCCGTTCGCGTGTCTCGTTCGGGCGGGCGGCGGCAGCGGCCGGCGGCGGAAGCGGCCGCTCGCTCTACCCCTCGGGCCGCGGGCGTGGGCGGGGCAGGGCGACCTGGCGCGCGCTGGACGTCCTTGGCTGCGCCCACGTGGCCGGCTGGTGGGCAGCCGCGTCCCTCGGGCCACTGCCAGTGGGAACGGCGCCATGGAGCTGCGGGGGGGCCTCGACTACGTGCTCCAGCACCCGGAGCACACGCGGACCCTGGCCGCAGGTGAGAACCCCCACTCCTTCGCCTCTCCTGCCGCGGCTGATACGTGCTCACGCGCCCGATATCCTCGTGAGTGTCTTCTATGAGACGCCCGACGCGCGTATAACATGCCCGTGGAGTGCAACGCGCCCTACCAGGTGGTCGCCGCGAGCCAAGAAAGCTGCGTGGCGCGCACCTCTTTCTTTAGTCATTCGCCGTGACTCATCGGTGTGCAATACCAACCGTGGCCCCCTGCCGGACGTTTACGGGGACGTGTGTGATAAGTAGACTGGTCGACCTCATTTGTGTCAGTGTATACTGAAGATGCCACCTGCATAGGTGGCGAAACGTCTGTACCTTTTGTTATTAATTTGTTATGTTAAGTCGGAGTAAACCTTTTCAATCATGAATTCACCCGGCTTTCGGAACATTTTTGCATATACAGCGAGTAAGACTTGCCCCCGAGTAAGACTGTGTAAGACTTGCTCCCGAGAAAGGGTTACTAATGTAACATGCCCCCCCCCCCCTAACTTGTAACACGTGACTAATAACTATACTCTGTCTCACGAGAGTGTGATGTAAAGACAAAGGCACACGCGTGAAAGCATAGCTCGGCAGAATGCGTCTGGTTGTACGAGAATTCGTGAATAGAAGGCGCTTCGCAAAGTCACGTCCTCGTGCTTGTCAGCATTGTCAGCACTGCAGATGTTTGGGAGATGTAGTGTAGTAACATGTTCATAGTAGCTAGTAACTCTAGTAACAAGTAACATGTACTTACATAGTCACTAGTAACATCTAACACGCAGTGCATAGCAACTAGTTACATGTACACTGCACGAAACTGCTAACGCGAACATGACTTCCGTGCTTTTTTTTTTGTTTGTTAAGTTTAGTTTGAAAGGGTGTTGGCGAGCACAAAAATGTACAGTTCAGTTTATATTACCCAAACTGAATACTTTCCAACACAATAATGGTTCTAATGACAGTTCTTTAATGCAAAAAAAAAAAAATAAAAATAAACTGGCGATAGTTTGTTCGTGTTAGCACTGTAGCGGAGAGCACATAGTATTTAGGTACCATACGTAATATGTTACTATAGAGTTGCCCAGGGTACTTTGCCCACTTGCTTCCTCTCCCCGCTGCTCCACTTCGGTGTCTTTAATACCGCGCGAAAGTAGGTAACTATATTTAATTTCATTTATTTTTTTTCGGGGTCCGAAGGCATTAATTAAGGAAGCGAGTTTTCACACAAAAATATATCGAGCAAAGCAAGAGCAGAAACAATGGCTAAAGAACAACAACTAAATAGAATAGCAATCGCAATTTTAAAATTAGCAGAAGCAGTTACTGAAACTACGGGCGCGAGAAGGCGATTCCAATCTATTGAGTTTGTGGAAGAAGAGTGGCGTTAAATGAAGTGTACAATAAGGGATGCCTACCCTGAACTGGTGATTTGTTCCTGATGATAGGAAAGATGGTTTTAACAACAATGTTTGGCGAAGTGTGGGATTAGAGTGATAAATCTTGTGAAAATGACGTGAACGAGATGAGCAGAACGTAAGGGCGCAAATTAGCTGGTGTGTATTAAACATTTTAGTGAAAAACCCGAGACTGAGATATATTGACAGACGACGACAAGGAAGAGAAGGAAAACGTTCTCCTTCTTTTCCTTTTCGTCGTCTGTCCATACCTCAGTCTCGGGTTGAGTGAGTGAAAAAACGTTTATTGACCCCGGAGTATGGAGGAGTCAACTTTTCACTAAAATAATTAAACAAGTTTTTTTCTTTCTTTTTTTTTTTTACGAAAAGATAGGTTAGGTAAAGAAAGAAATGCTTTCATAAAGGTGTCACTGACTGTTCGTTCATAGTTTGAATGAATGAAACGAGAGGAGCGGCTCTGAATGGCCTAAACAGAACATGCAAGGGTGATACCGGGTGTCTTATAGACAGAGGCTGCAAAGTTTTGTGTCAAAGAAGCTTTAGAGACGCAGGAGTTAAAAAGTTTTTTAGATAGCCTAGTAATTGATAGATACTCTAGGAGAGGTTATTGGCTAGATCAACGCCCAGATATTTAGAGGAGGAAATATAAAGCAGAAATGAATTATTGATGCAGTAGAAAGCACAGGTGTTATTTTGACGAAACATTCTCATAGCTTTGCATTTATAGATGTTGTGTTTCGTGATCCAGTCTGCACACCAATCAGTGACATTATTAATACCAGTTTGAAGGACGGAGATGCCAGAATCGTTAAGAATTAGTTTATAAATAACACAATCGTCGACATAGAGGCATATGAAAAAGAAGACACGTGTAGGAAGGTCGCTAATATCAATAAGAAATAAGGGTCGGCTTAATACGGTACCTTGTGGGACACCGGAGCTAACGCGCGAAGTCGATAACAAATTGGGTGCGATTAGTTAAAAAACGATTTTATCCAAGCGAGTACTACATTATAATCTATGTTTAGGTTACGAAGTTTAGGAAGAAGAAGCACGTGAGGAACTTTTTCGAAAGCTTTAGAAAAATCTAGAAATGTGCAGTCAGTCCTGGGACCCCGCTCCAGAGTGGCGTGAAAGTTAGAAGTTGGGAATCACATGAGTGGAACTTACGGAATCCGTGCTGTGCAGAGGTGAAAAAAATAGTTTAAATCTAAAAATTTAATAAGATCATTATAAACTACATGCTCAAAGATTTTGCACGGAATGCTATAGTTAAGAAAATAGGACGAAAATTTAAAGGATTATGTTTATCACCGCCTTTGTGCAGAGGAATCACCTTCTCCACCCTCCAGTCCCGTGGTAGTATATATGTTTGTGAAGTGACCGGGTAAATAGCTTGGATAGAATGATGCTGGAATAAATTTTAGTACTCTTCAAAAACTTCGCATTAATATTATCGATGCCTGCGGTAGTTGAGGATTTAAGGCTTCCAATAATGTTCGCAACACCCTTCACAGTTCACAATAACTTTACACAATTGCAGAAAATCACATACTTGAAGAACTGAATAGTTCGAGCTAGCGGGCATTGAAAAAGAACTAGAAAACACATAATTTAATATAGAATGGCACGCGTCATCTGGTACATCGACTCCGTCACTATCCCTGAGCGTTACAACTGCGCTGGTAGTGGTATTAATAACTTTACATAATCTACGGGGATTATTTATCAGCATGGAGGGTAATGTACATTTGCAAAAAGTAGCTTTCGCCTCTTCGACTGCTTTTTTATACCAATCGGCAACAATATGATATGCTGCTCAGCGTTGATCGTCGTCCGACTGCTTAGCAACACGACACAAGTTGGACTTAAGCCCGACACGTGTTGACTTGAGTCACCCCCGGTCAATCTGGCCATTCCCGGCGTCGAAGGCGTCGTTGTGGGAGGAACGAGGGCGACCGCGTGGCTCTGCGGTGTGCTCTTTCTTTGCGGGAGCGCTGGGGGGATCGGTGGCCAAGTGGGCTGGCGCACACCAGCTCGGAGCACGTGGAGCAGAACCCAAGGGATTCTGGGCTCAATCCCCGCCCCTGCCCGTTTCAGTCTGGATGAGAATAGCACTGGCGTGCGGTCGTGTATCACTACTGCGTGATGTACGTTAAAGACTCCAGGCTAGCGGTTGTACTGCACTGGCTAAACTTCTACATCTACAGCTGGGAGACAAGTCGCCCGTTGAGGCAGACCACGTTCTAGGCTGTATAAACAGACACACACCCAAAATATTTGCGCGAGCGCTTGTGTACGAAGAGTCTATAGGTTATGGAACTTTCCTCTCAGGTTCTTGACAAAGGAGAGTCTCGACATCTTTGACACGCGTCCCGAAGTATGCTATAAACCATGTATCGGTAGTCGTATAAACTACCATGTTACAGCGTGAGGATAGTTTCACATCAACAAGGTCGAGTCCCAAGATCTACATCGTGTCCTGCGGAAGGTAGTGCTTATTATATTAGTCTGTGACACCACTCCTACCTGCCGCATTTCTCAAAACCTACTTCTTTTCGTATATTACCAAAATGAAACTGCCTCTATTCATCTAACATACCTTTTTTTTTTGTTTTGTATATTGCACGAAGCTCCAACAAATTGAGCAATCCTTTCATTTGCGAAATTGGCAGTGGGGGAGCCTGTCTGAAGTTTCCGATGTTTTTCTTTTTCAGTCTAACCTTGACAATCTTTCTCGCTGGTTGGGTACATAGGTTGCTGCTGATTACGGGTTGAATGGCGCAGTAGATACTAGGTAATAATGCGCCAAGTGAAGGTGGGCGGGCACACAGAAAATTAAATCTAATGTAAACGATCATAAATGCAGTAGGGTATCAGTTCAAAGTGACGACTGCCTTTTCTAGCCCATCAAAACACTGCGCTCGAATCTGTGTCCTCGCATAAATACCGCGAAGCATTCATAGCGCAAACCGCGGGATGCAGTCACCCATAGCCACCTCTACACTCACAAAGCCTGGCAGTTCGACGACGGAGCCATTGAGTGCCCGGTCGCAGATTTGGGGCGCGAGGATCTGGTAGCACAGAGAACCGAAGAGACATTTCTCGGGGAACCTGGACGTCAGCGCACAGCTTTTGCAGCGGCGAGGACCCGAAACACACTTTCCCGCTCGGTAGAAGTGTGTCTCTGCGTCTCGCCGCAGCGGGGCGCCAGTCACGTGGTTGTCCTCTCATCCGTTGTCAGCCGCTCCACATTTTCCATTTCGGCGACCGCTTCTCGTGGCGATCTTCCAGGCTTTATCAGTATATCGGAGGCTATCAGTAAGCACATCAGTTGAAGACGCGTTCCAGTGTTGACGCACGCATCTTGTGCCGTCCCTCCCTCGCACGTAGCCCTAGCGTCGGGCGACGCGTCGGTGCGCCAGCAGGTCTGGCAGCTCCTGGCGTCGCTTTGTACCCACGGCGAGGGCGAGGGTCTGCGCCGGGCGCTGTCCACGCTGGAGCAGCTGGCCGCACTGCAGGGACAGCGGGGCAGGCTGGCGCCCCTGGCACACGCCCTGGCCCAGCCGGCGGCGCCGCAGGCCGCGCTGCTCACGCTCGCCAACTGCGCGCTCAGCTCCCGAGACAGGGCCCGGCTCCGTGCAGAGCTCCGGGCCAGGGGCGTCAAGGTGCCCCCTGCACTGGGATCCTCGCCGGCCCCCACGGTGAGTGACCCGGGGCCTGTTTCTTTACCGGCCATGGCCAACTCTTTCGGACATTCCGTGGAATGAAAAGTTTTCGATGAAACATCAAAATTCTAATTGATTTTCGCTTTATGGTAGTCGGTCCTCAAAAACAAAACGACCTTTGACCAAAAAAAAAAAAAAAAATCAGAAATCGACTAATTTGTAAATTTGGCCCATAGAATTCAATGCAAAGCAATTTGTAGCACACAGCATGAAAGAGCCATTCCGGTCGCGCACCAGTCACCTAGTTGTGTTTGCAGACTTCTGTTTGTCCTTTGTCCCTCTTGTTCCCCTTCTCCAGGGATTATTTTCGTCATTCTTGTCCAGCTCGCTTGCACCTTTGAATTTAATTGCCTTATACTCATGACCTTAAAATGCAAGCCTTTCACCCTTGTTTGTGTTAACCTGGTGGCAGCTGATAAAACCTGTTTGCTCTTCTGACGTCTAACCTTTGATTAGCTCTGTTTGTGGAGAGCTCCACTAGAAAGGGAGAGGTCCCTGGTTCGATACCTGGAGCAGGCAGATTTTTTCGGTCGCGAACAAGTCACCTAGCTTTGTTTGGAGATTGGTGTTTGTCCTTCGTCTTCTTGTTCCCTTTCTCCAGAGAATATTTTCGTCATTCTTGTTCAGCTCGCTTGCACCTTTGTATTTAATTGCATTATAATTGTAGAGCTGTGGAATAAAAAAAAAAAAACTATGCGAGTCCCAAAAGTTTATTTACTGCTTACTGATATTTCACGACAGTCATCTAGAATACTCCCGGGGAACATTGCGATTTACGATAAGAAGGACATTCAAAGTCCCTCTTTCCTTATCGTAAATTAGAAACCAACTCTCTCAACCATCCACAACATTGCGATGTTTGTTGTTGTTCAGTTGAAATTATCATTTTCGTGCATTGGTCGAGGCGTTGATGTCAAAGAAAGTTGGAGATGAAACAGAGGCCCCTCTGAGTTTCCCAATTTCTGTCGCTGGAGGCTCGGCCCAGCGGACGTGAGTTAAGCCCCTGGATAAAATTCGGGCTTGGGGTCCCGGCATCGGGGCTTTTCTGCAGGGTGGTTTACGTGCAAAAGCAATAAAGTACATCTAGAAAATCAAAAGCGACGAATAACTTCGCACTAACACTAGATCAGCACCTACCTGTGCACGTAGACGGCCAAAAGAAAGTGAAAGACAATTAATTAGGGCGGTTTGCAATAAATAAGCTTAATTTTATTCTATCTGCTCTGCAAAAGTATAGTTTTTCTCCAGCGTTCAAAACACAATATTGGCAGGCTCGGTTTTATCGACCAATAAAATCAACTCAATAAAAAAATAAAAGAAAGACCTTTTAGCGTCCGCGTTCTTTGACTATCAAACGCGTTTTTAATCGCTCGTAAATGAGTGCCGATTTATTGGCATGCATATAAATTTCCCGGATTATCAATATAGGGTCATCGAGATGTTGGCGGTCCTTGAACAAGCCCTACGTTCTTCTCAACTGTTATCCTTGCTTAGATTCGTCGCTTGTCCTTACACACCTGCTGTGGATCATAGGACTGCGCCCTCAGTACTGGGAAGATAAGCATCGCTCACTGATCAGAAAAAAAAAACCAACATAACTAAAGCAATTGCACTTTTATTCTTTCTACAAGTTACCTACTATGTACGACGACCCAAGCAACAAAGGCTATTAATTATACTCTCCGCCGTTCGGCTGGGACTCGGATTCATTCACGCGCTTCGAGCGGGAAGCGATATCCAAGGTTGAATGGAAGCTGATGGCTGTTCCCCGTGAAGTTCTTATAATGTACGCTGGAGGTTCAACTGGCGCTAGTGGACCTTTGTTGCAACTTGCAGCAGACAGCAACCAGTCGAAAATTGACATCCGGCAATGCATTTCTATGAGAAAAAGTGTGTGCATTTTCTCCCCGCACTTGATTATAAGAGCAAATATAACGAATAATTTCTGTGTACTACGTAGCTTGGAACATTTCTCAGTCACGCAGTCGAAATAATTGGTCAGTTACGACGTTTTGTTTTAAATTCGTGGCATTAAACACGGTGCAAAAACAGATTCATGCGTGCATCTATGCGCTCTGTCGGACACTGTTAGCGCGAATACGGATATACGCGCCCAAAGAATGATGGACGCCTCTAAAACCGAAAGAGACGGCAAGAACTGGGCGATAACACTGGATCAGTAACTCCCTGATGACGTAGACGTTCAAAATAAATTGAAAGTCACGTAATGTAGTCCAAATTTGCAATAAATAGGTACTGCTTTTTCTTTTCTGCTCATAAATATGTGTGAAAATGCTTGATCTGCATTCAGAACATCACTCGCACGCCCGGAATCTTTGAGGGTAGGGAGACTGCAGGGAGCAAGTGCCCGCTAAAAGCTCTCCGGCATAGGAAATAATGTAAAGAAACACCTTTCATAACGCACATACGTTATACTTTGAATTTTGAATGTTTATGACCGCTTGTTAAGATCCACGATGGGTTCATTATCTTATAGTGACAGGACGGGCGTATTAGAAATATATAAGAGTCACCGGAATGCTGGCAAACGTTGAACACACTCTACATTCCTTTCGATTGTTATTTTACTTAGAATTGTTGCTCGTGTTTACACAACTGCTATGTAAGAGAGGTTTGGGCCTTCAACATTACGAAGTTCAACATCGTTCACTGGCGAAGAAAAATACTGTAATTAAAACGATTAGATTTTTACAATCTTAATCAAGGTACAGTCTCCGGCGATATGAAAGACCCACTGGGAGCGCGTGGCCGAGGCGGTGGCTGGCGGGAGCGCTGCGAGCGCTCCGGGCAGTTCTGTTCTGCTTTGAGGGGAGGACGCTCACTCGGGGCTCAGCTAAAGCGCGCGCTTATCAGTTTGTGCTGAGCCCCGAGTGAGCGTCCTCCCCTCGAAGCAGAATGGAATTGCCCGGAGCGCTTGTAGCGCCCCCGCCAGCCACTGCCTCGGGCACGCGCTCCGAGTGGGTCTTTCATATCGCCGGAGACTGTACATACTATTCGCTACGACCCAAATAACCCAAGTGTTTCGTGTTATTTTGTGGCGAAGAGACAAAATGCACGAGGGTTTTCCCATAAGAATGCACAGGAGTACCGCAAAAGTAGACTGGTTGTTGTCTGCTTCAATTTGCTTTCCAGAAGTTGCTAGACAATAGTGCCGGTTGAACCTCTAGTGTACATTACAAAAACTCTACGCTGTAACCATTAAAACGAGCGGTAGTTTGCGCCACCTAGTCTGCAATATGGCGGTCACCAGTGGCTGACGAGGCTAGGAAGTTGGGGAAGTTGGTGATTCATATGGATTAAAAAGCGCAACAAGACGCGGACACAGAAGAAACTGTGTCCGTCGTCTGCGTCTTCTTCTGTGTCCGTCGTCTTGTTGTGGTTTTTAATCATTATGAATTATTACCCAGTGTTACCTGGATATATGCTAGTGGCTATACCCTTTATAACGGGCGGTAACTTGCGCCACCTGGCCCAAAATATGGCCATCGCCAGTGTTGCCTGGCGAACTTTTGAAAATGGTCTCTTCCGCCAGACCCCCGCCCCCACCAAGGACTCCCCTTTGGCCTCGAGCCCTGCCCTGCACCGGCAAGCCCTGGCGACGCTGGCGTCCCTGGCGGCCGGGGGTCCGAACCGGGAGGCCCAGCTGCTCCGGCTCCTCGAGCGGCTGCCCACGCTCGCCGACGACGCCTGGGAGAAACTCGGAGCGGCGGAGCCGACCACGCGCTGCGACTGCACCCGCCAGCAGGCCGCCGCCAAGGAGACGAGGGCCAGTACACCATTTTTGCGGCGATGACCGTCATTAGGGAGTTTTAAAGTCACTGTCACACTCTTCATACATCACACACAAAGCACGGTGTTCGTGGCAAAAATGATAAAAGAAAAACTTGCGAAATAGTCGTTGGTGACTTCAACAAATTCCCTGAGTTCACTCTTCTGCAGAGCACAGTGGTAGCCAATGACGGCGAGTAATTAAAGTATCCCAGCGAATAAGGGATACGATCAGATCTGAGACAGCGGTGTACGAGGGGACAACGAGCAAGTGAAATGTCATGCTCGTACTGTTCCTGCCCTGTCGCACTTTCTTTCTGGTCTATCGTAATATCACCGAGAGGTAGCGCACCTACAATCGAAAGCAAATCGGTTGAAGATAAGAAGTGGGCTAATTTTCAGTGTGAGATCAAGAAAAGAAAAAAAAGAAGCGATTTTCAGATTTTGTGACCTGCGAAACTTGCAATTGCAGGGAGAGGTGATGAACCAAAGACGAGTGACGTTTCCGAGTCAGTAATGTTCGCTTATCTCCCGTCGTGGCTAGGTAACACCATTTTTGCTGAGGTCACTATTGGCCAGGGCCCTGCAATAACTTGAAGTGGGCTATCTTGCTGTGTTTCAGAAAACAAAATAGCGAATAGTTGCAAAAGTAGGGGGGGGGGGGGGGCTATCTCTCGGGGTTGGGGCATCTCTAGGAATATTAAGATAATCGTGTCCTGAGCATCGCATTCGCTGGGATCCTCCTATTCTTCGCCGTGACTGGCTGTCCTTGTGCGCTGCAGGAAACTAAAGTCCCAGCCTTTTTTTTTTAAATATGATCAGTTTCACTTAAACTTCGACCCTATAGCAAGTCGACGCAGTGATTCAATCGAGCCAATCAACCAGCGCTAAAAATGTCGTCACAGCGCTCATCGTCGTGATGAGTTTGCGATCACGCACAATAAATGCACCACGATCCTGCGTTTTTTTTTTTTTTTTTGCATGATTCGTTTAGCTGGTTTTAGGTTACCCACCCAGCAGACGAGCGCCGTCTAACCTTTAAAGATCGCCCAGGCTCCCAGCTACCAGCGGCGCACGAGAAGACAACCCGAATGTTAGATTCGTGCAGGGCTCCCGATTTTTCATGCTCGTCCATTCTTTTCTTCCTTCCTATCAGATAGGAGTGCAGTCGGACTTCGCTGGAAGGGAGTATAAAGCGTACGACTCGGATCGTGTTGTCTCGTCAAAGCTCGCCCGACGACGTTGTCCCGGTGCACCCCGCGCAGGCCTCCCCGTCCTCGTGTCCGGCGCCCCCGGCAGCAGGACCCCCTCCGCCGCCGCCTCCCCCACCGCCCCAGGCCCGCCAGGACGAGCTGCTCGAGCTGCTGGCCGCCTCGCCCGCGCCCCGGGTCAAGATGCGCTCCCTCAACTGGACCAAGATACCCGCGCACAAGGTACCCTTCTCGGGGATCTCGTTCCGACCCGTTCCTCTCTCGGCCGGACACCAGGGGAACTATTCTGGACACTTGGTGTCGCAGAGAAAGCCGGCGGCTCTGATTGGCCGGCGCCAAGGTCAATTGTGGCGTTGGCCAATCGCAGTCACCAGATTTCTCGCCGACGTCTTCGCCATGTGTTCATCTTAAAGCGATGCTGAACCGAAATTTGGATTTCACGAAATAAGGTAGCAGGAGTGTTCAACGTGGCGCCACAAACCCGCACTTAACTTAACTCGCCCGCGAGAGGGGTTTTGAGTTCACGTGCTCGGCTCCCTGTGGACAAGAATCGAAAGATGCCTATGAGGAGTATTCACTGGCGGCCATATCTGTGTGCGCGACTGCTGAGCGTGTACCGACGGCGAGCTTTCACGGTTCTTTTGCAACATGCGTTCCGTATACATCAAGATTGCCGATCTTATCAACGAATTACTAATGTTAGCTCACTCTGAGCGTGCGCTCTAAACATCGCCCTGAAATATGGCATCCAGTGAATATCCCCTACACGTTTCCACTGTTTACAACAATCGCAGTACACACGTTCTAAATCACAGTCCAGCCAGCGCTCGCTCGCGATTGCGGCCAGCCAGAAAATGCGCGTGCATTACACATAAACACAGCAATAAACGCGCACTCATGCGCTTTTATGGAAAGGTGTATAGATTGGTTTTGCGTGAGGATTTCCACGATGAAATCTGACGGGGTTGGATTGGGCAGCAAAAAATTAAGGGCATAACCACAATAAGAAAATAGAGTCAAGAAAAAATTTGAACTATTGCACGAATCCCTCAAATTCTAGTGCCTTCCAATCGACAAAGAAAAATGATTTCCTGTTTTGCCTTAACTTATCTACGTCAAAATGTATCATGGCGGACGTTTCACACGCAAAAAACAAACAAACAGGATATATGCTTACCGGCAAATATCAGCCATAGTTCCTTGTGCGCTTCAAATAATAAAATTCGACTTTTTGTGCAGAAAAGGGGTCGAAAAGGCTCGAAACGTAAGATAAATTAACCGAATTCGCGTACTTACATGATCAGGATGTAAAGTTGTTTTGGCCTTGAGAAACGCCGCGTTTGGCGACAACCAAAGAAAGCGGGAGACAAGAAAAACCGGCACGCAAACTGTTTAATGGAGGCATGGTTCAGATATCTAAGTTCGTTCGTGACCGACTCCATTACGACGGCTTGTGACTGTCTGGCGGGAGAGAACTTCTATCGGGTAGAACAATTCCCGTCTGCATATAACGAGATTGACGTTTTTTGAAGTGATTGCCTGATCAAATCTACGCACCTTTTATGAGAAATGCTCGCAGGGTATTCACGGGCGGCCATAGCTCTGTGCGTATCTGCTCAGCGCGTGCCGATGGCGAGCTTCCTCGGTGCTTTGGCAACGTCCATACCACACCATTATAATTGCCGGTCTTGGACCTATGCGTGGGAGCTCGTTCTGAGCATGCCCAGTGAACAGTGCACTCAAATATAGACCTTTCCAATGTTTACAAATCCACAGCTCAGCGTGCGATCCCCGCAGCTCAGCACGCGCGTGTGCGTCGCTTCGGAAAGCGAGCAAATCACGCGCGATACGCACGAACACTGAAGATGAAACCGGCCAGCAGCCCTTTTCTGGAAAGGTCTATAGCGTCCACTGATCAAAGCATATATCAAATCATAATCACCGTCACTTTCATCTCGTACATTATACAATCGCATAATCACCAGCACTAGACGCAGCACCGTGGGCCTCCATGGTACGGGCTGTTGCCATTCTGAGGAGCCGTGGCTCTCCTGAGCCAATAAACATTATTATAAATATTCTCTGGAACAAATTACAGCGAATGGGAGTGAGAGGATCAATGCTTGCTTGGTTTTCTTGTTGCCTAGAAGGCCGCCAGAATAGAGTTAGGATTGAGGGCGTGTGTACTCTTCTTCAAATCACACAACTTCTGGTGTCCCTCAGGGCTCGGTTCTGGCACCCCTATTGTTCACATCTTTTGTCAATGATGTACGGTCATGCCTGTCCTACTCACCCGTTATTCTGTTTGCGGATGACACGAAGATATTTGGAGAAATCCAGTCGCAGGAGGACTACCCCGAGCTGCAGGGAGATATAGACAGAATTGGAAACTGGTGCTTGGTCAATATTATAGTGCTCCACAGAACAAAAACGAAAGTTGTCACCTACAGTTGCAAAACGGGACAGATTAGATTCCCTTACGAAAATGATTCCGAGAGAATTGCGCGTACTGAAACAATTCGAGATCTGGGTGTTTACTTCGACTCACATCTAAATTTTCGCTCTCATATGTAGAGGCAACATTTGTTACTGCTATAAGAACGCTAGGAGTGATCAGCCGTATAACGAGTGAATTCTTGCAGTTTTCTGCATTTATCACAAAGTTTAAAAGTTTTTGCCGATCCCGCTTGGAATACGCTCGAACGGGTTGCCGAGATCAAATGAAGCTTAACTTGACCGCGTTCATAAGAAATTCACCTACATTGTTAACAACCGCTACTTGCAAAACGAGCCATACAGTAGCTACTACAACATCGAATCTTTGTATCACTGCAGGCTCTCTGCTGCCATTTTATTTCTCTTCAAATGTTTCCACGGCAAAATTGATTCTCCTGAGATTTTATCATCTCTTTCGTTTCGTGTGCCCCACTACAGCACTGTGTCTGAAATACACTGACTTCGCCTGAAACTGAAATACACTGACTTCGCCGAAAAACTAGACATATTCAACGACAGCATTTCAGGTCTTCGCGCGTCATTAAGGTGGTGATTTTGATTTTTTTTTTGCCACGGTTGTTCCTGGATCGGGTTGATTAATATACCTCTATGGACTGATTGGATGTGTTTCCATCTGCATTAATGTTTGTCTTCATTTATTTTGTCTTATTATCTTCGTGTCGCTTTGTTTGCCTCTTTACGCATTGATTTCCCTCTCTTGTTTAATCTTTGTCTCAGTGTCTTCCTCGTGTTTCAACAAAAAGGCTACTGGCTGTTCTTGAACACGCAATAAACATTATTATTATTACCCCTTATAAAAAGCCAGAATTACTCCGAACTTACGGTGAAATAATGATCTGTAAAGCATACGCATATAAGAAGTGTTCCAGAAATATATACGTGATAGATGCCGCCAGTGCGCCATCTCGTGGTAAAAGGTGACCAGCAGTCGTAATGCTATCGGCCACAGACAAACGCAAATGTGTGAACCAGTCTCTATAAGTATCGACATTCCAACAAGCACCGGCTGCGTGACGCTGCAGGATTCCGGAACCAAATGAGCCACGCACAGCAGCAGAACAAACTGAAAGATGTTAATTTTTGCTTCAAAGAAATATGCTTCGTCATTGTTACGAAAAGTGAACGGCGCCGCAACAACGGAGGACCAGACGGCGGGGTACACAGACGGAGCGTTCCGTCTGCGCACTTTGTCTGCTTGCCCTTCGTTTTCTTTTTTTTTTTTTTTTCAGCACTGTTTACGTTTTTTGTAACCATAGTCAATTTACTCGGTCAACTTTCCATCTTGCTTCGTCGTTCTTGTTGCTGTACTTCTTTTCAGCTTCTTTTCAGCTTCGGTCCGACCGCGGCCGATGTTATGAGCCGAAGGGCCAATCAAACAGCGCAAAAAGCGCAGCGTCATGGCGTGCTCTATGCGCTTGATAGGACTAGCTGGCGAAGGAGCGCGCACAGAGAGAGACGGCGAATAGCGGCTGGTCCTATCAACTGCGGAGAGCACGCCATGACGTGTGCCTCTTTCGCTGTTAGTTTGGCCCTTCTGCTCATAACATCGGCCACGCTCGGACCGAAGCTGAAACGAAGTATAGTGACGAGCTCCATGAAAACGCGTGCCAGGTGCTGTCCGGCCCGAACCTGTGGCGCCGCGTGGCGCAGAGCCAGTCGCGTCCCCCGGAGCTGGACTTCGGCCACCTGGAGGGTCTCTTCTGCCAGCCGCCAGAGGGCACCTGGCCCCGGACGGCGGTGTCCAGAACGGGAGACCCTCCCGGCAGGACTGAGGCCGGCGAAGTCCGCCTGCTCGACGCCCAGAGGAGTCTCCACCTGGGCATCTTCCTCAAGCAGCTCCGGGGACAGGTGAGCGAAGGCTTTGCTCGGAACGTCTCCCGAGCGCTGCCACGTGACGCCGTCAAGTACATGCAAGAAACGGTCTGCAGACATGTTGGAAGAATGTAGAAAGCAGACATGCTGCGAATATGCTTGAGGCGTAATTCTGCCATCATGTCTGCAGCTTTTGTATGATGTACTTATGTACAGGCAGTCGGACTGCGGCTTGGTCCACAGTCTCTTGTTAAATGTCTACAGGGTGTCACAAAAGAAAATTTACACGGTTTTTTTCGCCGGAAAAACAAACTAGGCATCGCTGAACGCTGATTCTCCGCCCAAAGGTAGAGCTAGAGGTCACAACCAGATGCCAAAGTTTCAGCTCGACCCGTTAACTTAATCAAAAGTTATAAGTGATTTTCTGAAAATTGCAATGGGAAAATGGAGCTCATTTTTGCCCGTTTTCGGTTTCTGGTGCCATAGAGTCCCATGTGTTTGAAAACTCCGTCGGCCGCCATTTTCCCATTGAAGAAATTTTCAGGAAATCACTTATAACTTTTGATTAAGTTATCGGATCGGGCTGAAACCTTGGCATCTGGTTGTGACCTCTAGCTCTACCTTTGGGCGGAGAATGAGCGTTCGGCGATGCCCAGTTCATTTTTGCGGTAAAAAAGACCGTGTAAATTTTCTTTTGTGACACCCTGTACATTACCATTGGCCATCAAAGACTAGAACGCTCTATCCGAAAAACATGTTTTTTTCCATATTGAAACGCGAACACATTTGCAGCTGCTACTACTCTCTTCTTTTCTAACCCCCTATGTAGATTTCTCTGTTTCAGTGATTTAGCGTTTGTTCAAGTTGTGTTGATTCTTATTTTGTATATAAGAACGCTCACCCCTCGCGTTAGACTGCCCCTTTGTGTCTTCGAGGAAAGTAAATCATGCTGCTGCTGCTGATGACGATGATGATGACGACGACGACGATGATGCTGATGGTGCTGCTGCTGCTTCTGCTGCTGATAATTATGATGATGATTATGGTGATGATAAAGGTGCTCTGCTTGAGTGTTCGTCGTGTCGTCCGGAACCGTATGTAGTCACTGACAATATAAGGACGGCAGGGCGTTTTCTGTTGATGCCCGGGCTTCGGTACGCGTCTGTTGCCTTTGGCCATACTTTGGCTGTGCTTGGGCTTTCGAAGCTCACGGGGCGCCCAAGATCTATCTAGGCCTAGACCTAGAATCTTGCACGGAATGTGAACGGGTGGAAATTAAAGCGAGGCGCGGCTTTAATTATCTTATCGATACGTATCATTTTCCGCTTCTTTCGGACCAAACAGTCCTTATCGAGCATTTTGAGACGAATAGGAAACTATTTAATTTTGACATGTATCGTGTTCAGATATAGGGACATCTTAATTTACCAGGTGTAGATTTGGCGCTTCAAAATGTGCACAGCAACGGTGCTACGTCTAACGAGGCATCTTGATTAATATCTTCATAAACTTCTGTGGTCTTGAACAGAATGATACGTTTAAAAATATCGCAGGAAATCTCCATGATCTGGCTTTTTCGAATATACCGTTTGTAAACTTAAGTCTTACTTTCATTACCCTCGTAAAAATTGATGTTTTTCACCCTCCTTTTATTGTCGAGTTCTATCTTCCTTTTTTAAGACGCGAGAATTAATTTATGTATAAAATCTGATTGTTGCTTTCCGAAAGTTGATTACGTAAGTGTATATAAATTTATCGAAAATCTTGACTGGGGCAATGTTCTATAGCTATGTCGGATGTTGATCGCGTTAGCGAGCGCTTACCTAAGTTGTTTAAGATGCTATCGATAACTTTGTAGCAAAACTCCCAAACAAACCATCAATATATCCTGAGGGGTTAAAAAAAACAAAAAAAAATTGACTAAATACCTACGCAAAAAAAAACAAAAAACTTTTTTACAAAATATTTTAAAATACCGGTTCTACTTATTGGTACACACACTTTAGCATATCTTGTGCCCGAGCAAAAAAAAAAAATGTTTAAGCGTAATAAACGATGTCATCTTGATAGTGTAGAATATAGCTTGAAACATTGATTCGAACTTTTCTGGAAGTTTTTAAAACACTAATCCCGCGAAGCAAGTCGGGGTATTTATTTGCGTGATGATGTAGCGAACATCCCTATTTATCATTCATCGCCTGATGAGGTTTCAAATATTTCCACACACTATTTAAGTAAATGTTGCTCTAGCTACCGCCAGTCGATCCAACCTGGTGACGATAAGATAAGCTGTAATGACTGCTTGCATTGTGAGAGTAGATAAGGTCGAAATCGCGGCAGCGATTAGAAAATTGAAATCGAAGCTTTCGAGCGGTGTCGATGGTATACCGTGTTTTATTAATAAAGGATGCAGTGAATTGTTTATTCCCATTTAAAACACACTTTTAATATTTCGTTTAATGCTGGCGTTTTCCCATCACTCTGGAAGAAATCGGTTATAGTTCCGATTTTCAAGAGTGGTGATACCTTGGTTGTTACGAATTATCGACCTGTAGTAAAGTGGTAATTTGGGCTAGTTAGTACATCACTAAGATTAAATAGCGCACAAAACGTCGGCGGAAGAGAAAAGGACAGTAAAACAAAGGGTCGCTGACTCCCAAGTGCCCTCTTCTCTACCTCCGACGTTTTGTGCGCTGTTTAATTTGATTAATAATTGACCTGTTTTGTTGCTTTGTGGGTTTTCTAAGGTCTTTAAGATAGTTGTACATGCCCGGTTGATACTTTATTTCCGTGAAAAATTAGCACCTTTGTAGCATGGTCTCCTGACTGGGCGGTCTGTTAAGACTAAATTATGTACTTCTTGTTTTGTTTTTGCGCTCCAGTTGTTACAAAGAGGAGGCAAGTTGATTCATTCTACTTCGGCATGCCCAAAGCTTTTGACAAGGTCATTCATATGATACTCTTGCATAAATTGTTTTATACGGTATATTTTCAGAGTGATGGTTCGAGAGTTACCTGTTATCGAACTCTGTTCGAGTTGCTGACAGTTATTCACAAAGTTATTTATCAACGTGTGGTTTTATAAATTACACGGTGTCTTGTTTTCAAAGTTCTCAGTTGTTATTTTTTGCTGATGTTATAGCGGTGTTTAGAATTATTCAATCTACTGCAAAGTGTGATAACCTACAACGTGATGTATCTTCAATTTTGCAGTGTTGTGGACATAATATTTTATTGCTTAATCCTGCAAAAGCAAAACTGTTCTCTTTGTGTTGACGTCATGTGCCTTTCGACTTTACCTATTATCTTGTAATCTTGCCCATTCAACATTAATTTTATGTGAAAGATCTTGGAGTGTTCATTGATAGTGCCTTGTCTTTTAGAAATTATATATCTTTTGTAGTATGAAGTTCAATGGGAATGTTAGGAATGTTATCACGCTTGACGCATAATTTCAGAAATTATCATTGCTTGTTACATCTTTTCAAAACCTTGATTAGGTCTCGATTGAAACTTGAGTCAGTATTGTAAAACTCAATATCTAAAACCCAAGCCATGACCATCGAACATGCTCAGAAAAGAATGATTCGTATTGTTTATAATAGATATTTGGAAATACGCTTTTATTATGATTACGAATTTGGACTGGGATAATTTTCGCTGACATTTTTGTCTGACAGAAGAACTATTCATGATGTTTTTTTGTTTTGTTTTTGTTTTTACATAAAGTTGTAACTGTTGACATTGACTCGCCGCCATTGCTTAGCAAAGTGAATGTTCATGTTAACTTCCGTCGTACCAGATATCCTGTATGCTTTTGGCTTTCGTTCACCGTGTTGTACTTCACCGATTACTCGGATTCAGACATTATATAACAGCATCGCTCCTCCTCACCTAGATCTCCGTTCATATATTTCATTGTACCACCATCAATTGAATAACTTTGTAATCTACTCATAACTTTGTGTTTTATTTTGTGATTATGTTATGATAACAGGCGTTGCTTTTTGTTATTATATAGAGGACCAGAGAGAAGACCGCCGCAGTTGCTTTTGGGCACTGGAAATAAGGACTTATTATTTTATATTTATGTTATTATTAAGTGGGGGCGCTCACGCTAGAAATGAGACAACTGAGAATTCTTAGACGCTGTAGATGAAAAATGTATTCAGTGCGGTACGGCCGTTCAGCCTGGTTTCTTATCACGCAGTAGTGATACACGACCGCACGCCGACACGATTCTCATCTAAAGCCCCTTGATAAAGGCGTTTTTCAGAAGTACCGCCAACCACTGTTGTGGAAACGCTTGAGACACGTGCCACGATCGGGTGCTCCGCTGCCATTCGCTTCCAAGGGCCGCTCATTTCAGTGCTGCGCCGCCATTTGCTTCCAAGGGCCATTCGAAAGACGGGCCTCGTGCACTGGCGCATTTTGCGCTATCTTACAAGACACACGCAAACATATCGAAGGGCTTTATTCTCATCCAGACTGAAACGCCGCCAAGGGTGAGAATTGAACAGGACAACTGGGTTCTGTAGCGCAAGCTTTCGCTCCACGTGCTCCGAGCTGCGTTCTGTTAACACACTACGACAGTGATGCATATATCTTGCATGTGACGTCATCGCAGAGAAAAACATATTCGCTTATACGAACCGTAGGCTGCAATAGGTACGCACTCAGCAGCAAGGCCACCACACTGGCCGTTCATGTGACGTCAGTTCAAGCTTGCAATGACGTCACGTCAGCGGCCATTTTGGTGGCCACGCTTTTGAGTGGGTGCATTTTGATATCGTACCATGGAACCTGGTGTTCTCAGCAAGAGCAACTAGGAATGACACCTGCACAACTTGATGACGTCACGTGCAAGCCATGTATTGAGTAGGAGAGTGTAGTAAACAAGAAAGGAGGCTGTGTGCACGTGATTGGTTCTCTCTCGATTTGGTGCGCTACACTCGCAACCCATGGAATCACAGTCAGTAGGTCACGAGTACTGACCCCGGTCTCTCACACGTGCAGGGCGAAGAGCTGCTCGAGCTGCTCAGCCGTGGGAGTGGCGGTCAACTAAAGCTCGGTGCCGAGCGTGTGCGGTCCCTGTTGGCGCTGCTGCCGGCCTCCGAGGCCGCCTCGCAGCTTGAGAAGGCACTCGCGGACGCCGAGCCCGCGCTGCTCGCCCCACCGGAGGCCTTTCTTGCCAGGCTCCTCAGGCTGCCTAAGTGAGTACCGCATCTGACGGCAGTCTCGCAGGGACCAGGGCCCTTTCGCGGACGTCGGCAGCCGAAACGAAAATCGCCTAGCTTAGGCATTTAGTCGAATTAAACGAAGGTGCGATAAAACTAATACGCAGTTCCTACACCTACCATTTCAAAACGTCTGTAAGTACACGGCGTGGATACTCTTTTATTGAAAGCGCTGGAAAGAGGCGCCTTTGGCAATTAACGTTTCCGCGATTATCCGGTCAAATTAGAGGCTTTTTGCAGCGTTTATAACTTATTTTTTGACCAGTTCCCCAGGTGATTGGCTAAAGGAACGATTAGCGAGAGTTTTGTTTAGAGATTTTTTAATACTTCTGTAAAACGACCGATCCCCTTTATATCACAGCAGAAGGACCTCGCTAAGCCACCCCGTGATTTTTGTAGAATTTCATTGTCCGACATTTTGACATCAACAGGCTCGGAAAGCCTGTCGAAATGGAACAACCGCAAGTCTTTTGGGGGACAAGAAATGGCTTTTCTTGGTAAACATTAAAAGAACGCACAGGGGGCATGCGCTCCCTGTGTGTGTAGGAAGACTCAACACGAGATCTTCCTAGATTTGCCTGCAATGACTATCAAGACTGTTTCAAACTTTTGCGTTTGAATGTGACCGGCTGCGTTCAGAACTCTTGCGTTCTCTACGTCGCAAACCCCGGCTGTCATAGATATCATCGTGTGGTAAGCAGTCACTAGCCTTCGTAACTCAGCTGGTCATACTCAAACGTAAATGTCCGAATTAGGCTTTAGACGACGCTTGCCTGCCTTCAGTCTTTCAGCACCCGAGTGAGAGCGACGTTGACATTCGGAACGCGATATCCTCGCGCGCAGCTACCGTCTCCGAATCGAGAGCTTGCTGCTGCAAGAGGAGCTTCCCAGCGTGGTGGCTTCCCTCGAGTCTTCGATGACCTGCCTCCGCAAGGCGGCTAGAGGTGAGCCCCGAGGCCGCATGCCGGCCAGGGCACGTCAAGCTCTCTGTCTGCGCAGAAATCCAGGAGTGCGACGCGCTTCACCAGATCCTCTTCCTCATCCTTGTGGCCGGCAACTTCCTCAACTCGGTACGCCCCTCGAACGAGCTCGAAGAAAGTACTTTGGCGGAGCAAGACCGTAGTTTGAATCCAGACAAAGACTGCGCGCTGCATCTCCGGGTTTTAAGCCGTGCTTCGGCATGTTCTTATAGAGTAAGACGAATTCCTCCGGACAACGACAGGGTAGACGGGAAAAAGGATAACAGGCAAAAATAGTTGGTCAGTCATTTACTCAACAAAATTCCTTAAGTTAGCCGGGCTCACCAGCGGGAAGATACGAACACATATAATTAAAAACCAGCTTATCTTATTTATGTTTTTGTGGTTCGAATACACGTTTGTCTTGGAGTTCTGCGGTATGCTTCTGCAACGAACATTCAAAGACCGTTTGTCAAAACAAGCGTTGAACATAGAGGCTACGATGAAAAGTGCCGAGACATAAGAGATACAGTAGAGCGGCGTGAGTATTACCTCAATCGTTCGTGTAAGCGCAGAAAGTAGAACAGGTGTTGCAAGAACATTGTTGAGATTAGCTGCACCCCACGAGTTCTTTCAGCTCTCATTGTGGACACGGCTGATGAGGTGCCTGTGATCGCGCAGGGTGGATACGCGGGCAACGCGGCGGGCTTCCGGGTCATGTCACTGCTCAAGGTGATTGAGCTGCGCTCTAACCGGCCGGGAGTGAGCCTCCTCCACTACGTGGCACAGGTGAGAACAACGACCGTTTTGGCGTTCCTGCAACGCGCAGACCACCGGCACTACGATGTAGCGCTCCACTCTGTTGCGGCCGGCGTCCATAGGTCTGTTGAAGAACTTGCAGCACCCCCCGTGCAGTTGAAAAGAATTCTGGGAAAAATATGTATACACCAACACGCTGTCACAACGAAGCTCGAATTTGCCCACACCAGGGGTTCTAAGCTGGACGCTCTGCTAGAAAGTCGGCGGGATTTCTGATCACCGCGATTGGCTAGGGCCAAGGTCAAACGCGGCACTGGGCCAATCACGGTGGTCAGGTTTCTCGCCGACATTCTGGCCTAGTGTTCAGCTTAGGGCCCTGCTCGCGCACAAAAACCAGATTCTCGTGAGATGAAGCGTTCGCGCATGTCCAGTGCCGACAGTAGTGCCGCCGCAGTGGCGTGATGTTAAAGATTTTAAGTTGCGAGCGTGCGAGGGCAGAGCGCGCTGCCTGCTCTACCCACCCTATCTCTCTCTCTCTCTCGCTCTCTTCAATGTCACGTGGAACGTAGCTCAGAAGGACGCCATGAACATAGTTCATGGCTTCCTTCCTAAGCTACATTTTAGATTTGTGCAAGTGCGTCGCCCTATATACGTGCGTCGATCACTTGAGGATGCTGTGGTGCGATCAGAGAACTCATGTATTAGCAAAACACAAGAAATCAACCACATTCTGCGTTATAGTCGCCCATCTTAGGCCTTTCCTCAAATTCGATGAAGTTGCGACAGCGTGTGACGAGATTTCTTTATGGGAACATAACGTCAACGGTGGCACGAGACCTGACATCAAATGGCATCAGGTCACGTTTTTGTATACGCCCAGAGCCACGGTCAGACAGCTAATAGTTCATACAAACAACAGTTTACAGACATATTCGATGCGTATATTCCTAGCGTGTCCACAGATGTCAACATGTCTGCAGACCGTGTATTTTGCATGATGTGTGAGCAGAGGGACTACGCCTCAATGTGACCGTAACAAAAGGTACACCTCAGACTGTGTCTGCAGTCTGTATCTTGTATAGTGTTTTAGCGATGTGCCCGTGGCTTTCAGCTGTCGGTGATTACACACGGCTTGCACGTGACGTCATCACATCATGCTGGTGATCATTTGAACTTGTTCTTGCCGAGGAAAACAAATTCTACGGTGCGAATTATGCTGCAGAAGGTGCGCTCTAGGGTCTCTAGAATAGCCGCCCATGTGACGTCCGTGCGAGCCACGAATGGTGTATAGATCAGTCTGCGCCCCCTTGACTGCAGCAGGCGGACAGGGCGGGCCTGGTGTCGGGCCTGTCCCTGGCCACGCTGGAGCCCGCCTGCCGCGTGTCCGGCGACCAGGTGCGGGCCGAAGTGGGCGCCCTGGCCGACAGACTGGCCAGGCTTCGGGGAGACGCCGCGGCCGCCGCCGCCGACGACCAGGAGGCCTTCCTGGCGCGCACCGACGCCCTACTCGCGGTAAGTGTTCTCCAAACACCCGCACCCGTCCAGTGCAGTAAACTCTTTCCACTTTAGTATATGAAAGACTGGCGGCGAGAGAAGGAAGCTTTCATCTCCCCTCTTGCCTTCCGTGTACCACGAACCACACTGCACCGGTGCGATGCGGGCCCAGACGAATTGGCCATTAGTAGACCGTGTTTCCCCCTCCGCTAACCCTCCGGATAAGAAACCGTCACATCGCCTGCTTACCGATGGCCATGGCTGTAGAATTCCGGGTAGCGGAGGGGCTTAACGGAGGGGGAAGCACGGTCTACTAAAACTCCCTCTTATTGGGTAGGAAGGCTTCTCACTTTAAAAAAGCTTACTGGCACCAGCGGGACCCAGTTATACTCACGCGCAACGCCACTGACCTGGACAGTTTTGTTGTCCCCGCATAATTTCTAGGATGGAAGCGGACGTTTTCTATCAGTCTCTCCTTCGCAAAACTTAATGACGAAGATTTGGGGGATCGCATTGTTGAGGCTGTCAACAATGCGATCCCCAGGTTTTCGTCATCAAGTTTTGCGATCCCTGAGGTGTCTATATTTAAATGCGGCTAGTGCAGTGGGCACGAGCACTGCGCGAGCATTCAGTTTTGGCTCGTGAAAATCGATGCGTCGCGACATGCGCTCTTGCAGTGAATAGGGAGTATTCACTGGCGGCCATATCTTTGTGCTAGGCTGCTGAGCGCGTGGTGATAGCGAGCTTCCGCAGTTCTTTTGCAACGTGCATTCCGTACCATCAAGATTGCCTGTCTTAGCAGGCTATTTGTGTAAGTTCGTTCTGAGCATGCGCTCTATAGCCGAACAATAACGCCCTAAAGATCTTTTCTACAAGGGCGCAGCCATCTTGGATGTCGTCACTTCTGATATGCGTTAAAACATTGTTTTGATCTCTCCACACCGGTGGAAGGTGTTCACGAAGAATGCCTAATTGTCGCACAACCTTGTTTTGCCTCATCTAAATTTTCTCGCATATTCCAGGTTGAAATGTTTTATTATTTTCTTGACCCGGAAACCAGATGCGGAATTCACGTGACTTAGAACAAAAGGAAGCAAAAAACGTCCATAGCCGAACCATAACAATGTGGCTACAATAAAAATTGGCGGCATACAATTGGCTCCAGCTCACATGGATTCTCGCTCTAGTTGCGAGTTGAGGAGATGAACGGTGCTCGTTCTTCTCGAATTTTTTCTGCGACTGCCATTGTCTGGAGAAGAAAAGTAACGTGCGTTTCATAGGCTACAAATGCCAAAGAATAATTCTAAGCGGTATTTGCTGAAAGTAAAATACATTTTGCTTCTTCCCATTCCATGCATTACTTCCAATTGTTTCGTCGAGTCGGAGCTGTCGGAGCTGTGGGCTCGTGCGGATTTGCCGACTCATGCCAGAGACGTTCTTCCTCGTTGCTCCGCAGCTGGCTCAGCGGGAGCTGGAGCGTCTCCGGCGAAGCCTCAGGTCGCTGGACAAGGCGAGGGCCGACCTGGCAGACTTCTTCTGCGAGGACCTGGTGGGCTTCACGCTCGAAGAGTGCTTCCGCGTGCTGGCCACCTTCTGCAGGAGCTTCAAAGCGGCCGTCCAGGTAAGACGTTTCGCATCGGTGATGAGCTGTCCGGTATAAATTGTTTTTTTACATCCGGACATACGACAGACCAGTCCGTCGCGCAGTATGCATTCCCAAGCTCGGGAAGCAGACGATGAAGACTTGCGCTCGTCGGCAGTTACATGGGCATAACTAGAGTAAAAGTAAGACGCCAGTATCATTACGTAACGCAAAGAGGATACGGATGCATAGAAGTCAGGATAACGTCCACTTCGCTTGAATAAAACGTGTTTTCAGGAAAGCGTTGAAGACCTTGCGGCGGCGTCGCACACCATTGATGCCTTGCTGGCGAACGTCGGCGTGCGTCGCTACGAGGGGGGCGCCTGAAAACATGGTCGGAGAGGCTCATCTTTAAAAACAAATATCACCAACAGGTGTCCCCTTCTCCGTGGCCCGTCGCCTGGCTCTCCCTCCCGGTGTCTCCTGTTACATTCGCCATTTTAATGCGAAAGCATTAACTGCCCCGTGGAGCGAACCGACATCATTAGCTTTTGAAGCCTCGACAAACGGCAACCTTCCCCTGTCACAATAGAGCGAAGCGAAGCAAAGGACTTTATGCGGAAATAGCCAATATGGCTATTTCCGCATAAAGTGGAGATTTTGTAATTTTGTTAAAACAAACAAAAAAACGAGGCCTTTAAATTTTAATACAAGCAATTCAAATTATAAATTATAAGAAAACGAAGAGGAAAAAGTTTGTGACTAATACCGAACTCCAAGTTGACTGAAAAAAACAATAGGTATCTCATAAAGTGCCTTCTTCTTGGACCTCGTAGTTCAACTCAAAATGGCGTTTTTCAATGTTTGTATTTTACTGTAAGGCACGTTATTAAATAATCAGAAGCCCGCCTAAATGTGTGCGGTACGCAACCGTTTTTACAGAAAGTTTCTCTTAACTACACGGGTTTTATGCAAATTCCAGAAATTTGGAGCCTGATATCAGCAAAAATAAAATTGATTTTTTCACGAAAAAAGTACTTAGAATTTAAAAGTTTCTTTATCCAAATTATCTTTTTCGGAGATATCCAATACATTAAAAAATTGCCGCGTCTCCTTTGTCATTGTATATATGAACCTGCACATGAAGGCACCCTATGTTAGGCAGGCGCCACCGAAGACTCGGCTCCGAAATGGGCGTTGACGAGAAGGTCTGCGTTGCAGGACAACCAACGTCGTGCCGAGTCCCCGCTTCGGTGCCCCGCCGAAGTCCGGCTGCGCGACGAGCACGGCGGCACCACCAGCGCCAGTTCCCCGGACGCCAGCCCCTCGGGAAGCCTTCGGAGGAGCTTCCGCATCAGCAGACCTTCTTCGTCGGAAATAGGTAACGCTTGCTTTTTCGGCCTGGGAACGCGAACTGAATGTGTCCGAGATATTATAAAGCAGTCACAGGGTGTGGATGATCACTTTCAAGGCTTCGTAGTTCGTCCTTCGGCAGTCGGCTTACTACGCAGAATCATGACGTGAAGTCAAGATTCTCAGGGTTCGTAAATGAATTAAAAGAGGCGTTCCCTCGGAAAGTGTTTTGATCGTCATGCGTGTTGGTTGCAAACGAAAGCATCAAAAGACTTTCGTCGGAGACTGAGTGCAGCGGTCGCCAATCTCGCCTCGCAGAGTTGGGTGCCGAAGACGGCTTCAGCGGCAACGGCCTTCGTCGTAGTTTCCGGAGGTCTCTGGAGCTGGCCGCCGACGAGCCGTCGGGCAGTCCCCCGACCCGTCGCAGCTTCCGGGTGAGCCGGCCCTCGTCCTCGGAGCTGGGCAGCGAGGACCAGCTGATGGACTTCTTGCGCCAGTCAACGTCGGACCGGGAGGACTCCCTCGGGCGTCGGTCCCGCAGGGAAGCACGCAGGCGCGTCGCGGCGGAGACCTTCGACGACGGCTCCCGCGAGCGGGTGCCGTCAACGGACGCCAAGGTGACAGAGCCGCTTTTCGCCCCCTCTTTTCTACGCGATAGCGAGTTGGTCCACATCTGTCCTTCTCGCTATGGCCTGCGTCCGTTATGGCCTAGTCACACAAGAGTGACAAACAGCAACAACCGACAACAACAACCCTCAAGCCCGTGCAGTTTGTACAGGCGAAGGTATCCCTGACAGGCCTATTACCCCTGTGCTCGTGAAGTAAACACGAGTTATTGTAAGCCTGCCAGAGGTACCTGATGCACTTGATGAGGGTTGTCGTTGTCGATTGTTACTCAGCCGCTCTGGGGCTTTAAAGACTCATTTACACAGGGTCACTTGCTTACTGTTTCCGTACGTTACGTGGTGATTATGCATCACCAATGTATCCGTGTTTCGTATGTCGCGTGCAAAGCTACATCTTCCATTGGTTGCCACTCTTCATACGAGCACGGATGTCCAAGTGACTCTCAACGTAAGCAGGTGCAAAGGCTGGTTCACGCAGCCTCGTTTTTTTAACGTTACGTTACGTTACGAAAGCTTAAGCAAGAAGTCACCGCAACCTCTGTGCTTCATATTAAGCGTGGCTAGCAGTTCAAGGAGATAACTGGCACCCGACATTCGGGACAAACGGTGCCGTGGCGCAATAAAACGGGGCAGTGTGAATTGGCCTTAAGCTGGACGCTCGGCGATAAAATTGGCGATCTCGCCGACTTTCTCGCCAACTGTCCAACTTAGAGTGAGGCTAAGGCTTTAGGCGCGAAATACATGCAGGAAAAAACGAGTCATACGACGGATTTCAATGTAGCAAAGGTTGGCCATCTTTACAATGTGCCGTGCGACTCATCGGACGTTTCGTCGCGTATCTGTCCAGCGCTTTAGTTAATTTTTTGTCGCGACAATATAGACTGGCGCAATGTGCGTTTTTGTTACCATCTTTTAGGTTTGTCAACCGCCGTCTTAAATTGTTTTCTCTGAACAAACATGATAAGATGGTATCGCTTGGAGGACACACGCTGGACGACCTTGGCACTGTTTTGCGGCGTCTTACGCTCCTCTGTACCCTTTATTGTACGGGCACAATATTCACTTTACTCACTCTTGAGTGAGCCCACTACGCTTCAAAGTAAGGCCACTTCAGCCACCGATGGATGGTGTGTATGAAGGCACTCTAATGGATGGATGCTAACTGCTCCACCCTTTATAACGTACGGTAGCTTGAGCTACCTAGCCTAGAAATAAAAAAGTATAAACTTTTTATTTGTAATTTCCTTCTTCTCTGTCTTTTTGTAACTATCACCAGACGGTGTAGGACAAGGCCAAAATAATTTTTAAAAAAGGGAAAAAAAGGACATCACGCTTTGTTTTTTTCTTGCTTAAAATCATATAACGAATTATCTGTTCCCCTGAAATTGTAGGAAACGCTTTCACGTCCTGCAAAACTGTACAGTCCGTGATAAAGCAATACGATATCGCCAGGGCTTCGTGTCACTATATGCAAATCTAGAGAGGTCGCGTTTCCGAACTGTGAACAGCAAGATGGCGGCATCCACAAGCGACTCCCAGAATGGAATGCCGATACTCTAGTGCAGCGTATAAATCGGTTCTCAGTGAGCACAGAAGGCCTCGTCCCGCCGTGCTCGCTTCTGGAGCTCGCTTTCGTCATAATGCAGGTGACCCCCCGGGAAACTCCCGCTGCCAGTGCCGCCCCCGCGACCCCTCCGGCCGCCCCGGCGGCGCCCGTCGCCCGGACTCCGGTCCGCACCCGCAGCGCCATCCCGACCATGCCGGGCAGCAGCGTCGGGCACCGGAGTCGCCGAGACGCTCCCGAGAAGCCCTTCATGAGGGCCACGTCGGCGTCGACGGCCCGCTCAGGCCCGCCCGACCGCCCGGCTCCGCTGCGGATGACCCCGGCTTGGAGGCTGCCGCCGCGAGAGTTCAGGGGACGGGCGGCAGAAGGCACCCTTCGCAGTCCTGCTCTGTCTAGGGCCTGAAGCTGGGCCGGCGCGTTGCAAAGCGCGTCCCCCAGCGGGAAACACATGTGAGCAAAGATGGCGTCGTATCACGCCGCCGCGCGGTGCAACTATTGGCGACGTGCGCGACCGAAAGCGTCGCTGTGGTCGGCCTTTCACGATTGGCCCAAAAGCTGACTATGACGTCGGAAAGGGTATACCATCGACGCAAATAAGAAGAATGAAGGAACTTTAATTTCGACGGTGTTGGCAGTGTTCCTTTGAAAGCGCAATGATTTCAGGCTTCCACCATGCTATTTACAAACACCATCGAACTTGTTGTTCGCAAGGTAATGACGTCACAAGGGGGAACCATAGGAGGGCGCCACCAAATCATCTCGCCGCTAATAGAAACCACAAAAAACCACCTTGTGGTTTCAGTGTTGCGCCTCTACGCCACAGCGTCAGCGATGGTTGTCATGGTTACGCCGCTCAGCGGCGCGAGGCGAGGCAAATTTTGCTCACATGTGTTGCACCTGAATAACCATGACATCGTAAACCAGGCTCAGTCACAATCTAAAAATAATCAAAGCCTGTGACAACGTTAGCAGATGGACTTAGGGAACAGCCCATAAAAGCCACTTCCTTCGAAGAGCAGCACCCCCCCCCCCCCCCTCCCTTCTCCCCAAGGTCTGTTTCCATCCGTTTAACGTGCTACCGTTGTTTTTTGTTTTCTTTCTTTTTTATCACCGTAGTTTACTTTAGAGTAACCGTTTATGCTACGCGCACTGCACGCAGAGCTTATACAGTTACTCCAGCCTACTCTAGAGTAACTGTATAGGCTCTGCTTGCAGAGCCAGAGTATCGCGTTCCTTTTCCTTGCGCCGCCGACTCCGTATTTTCAGAGAAGCGGTCACGTGCGCAGGGCTGGATCCAACCTTTATGAAGGAAAGCGACCTTGCAGGCGCCGAGTTTCGGGAGGAGGATGTTTCTCGCTTTGCGTTTGCTAAAAATACATCCTACACAAAAATCGAACGAGCTTGAAGGTTCATTAACCATCGAACATTATGTGCAGTCACTGGGTACAGTATAATTGCGTTGTTCTATAGCGCGAACGATGCTCTAAAACATGTCTCCGCAGTCTGTGAGGCAGATGACACGGAGGACAATCGCGTTGCCCGCGTAGTGATGCGCGGCCGGCACATCCGGTCACTTCGGACCAGACAACAACGCGTAGCTACGGCTTTCAAAGGGACGACGTTTTCGTCTGCTACTATGTTCTACCGATGGAATAAAGAGAAATAGGGAACCATTAAGAAGACGGCCGTGCACGCGCGGCGTGTCTCCGCACTATATTTTCTCTGCTCCGCACGCCGCAGCACGCCGCCTCACAGCCACGCCATCCGCGGTTGTCGAGGTTTCCTGAAGAAGCGACGGTCGCTTCCCGCACTGTGGCCTTGGATTCATCATGGCCGCGCCGGGAGCACCATTGTGATACTCTGCTCCGCAAGCAGAGCATATTCAGTTACTCTAGCCTACCTACTCCGTACTTCTACGAAGTATGGCCTCCGAAACTCTTGGCACGCAAAGATCTCTTCCGGAAATTCCATCTGACGAGAAAGACCGACATGAAGGGGGGAAAAAGGGCTCGAGGCTGTTTCCGCCGCGCGGTGGCGCTAGGTACAGGGCCGAAAATCATTATCAACAAACTTACTTAGCTAGCTGTCCGGTTGCAGCGAACACTGTAGGTCGGAGAAAAATGCGCTGTTTTTCCCGAATTAGACTAGTTGCTTCTCATCACAACATATTTTTTTAAAGGAAGCGGTAGGTTTAAGTCTAATTGTTGCTCTTTTAAAACCGGAGAAAGATAGAATATATGGACCTCTGATTGCCTATGAACAAACCACGCGTCCAACCATACTGGTAAGAAATAGCGGCGAGTCTATAACGAGTCTAAAAGTTTCTCAACCAAGAATATCATTCTCTTTGTGAGACTGAGCAGGTGTAACGTTATGCTCATTATTCTCTCGCAGATCACTTTACTGAATAGCAGAGAGAGAGAGACACTTTATTTTTACAAAATAGGAGGTAAAAGGGGTTTGGGTTCTTTGGCCTGGTCGTTCGCCTGGGACTTCAAATTACATCGTTCTTTTCGTGATATATCTTTATTTTTGGTTTTAAGTGCCCATCGTTTCTGTTCAGCTTTTTTGTCGAGTTTATCTCAGGTATTCCTAAAACGCCGTCTCGCCATGACTTAGCTATTGGCAAGGCTTTCACGGCTTCGGCCTTTCCGCCGAAGCGAAATTTTGAGCATCAATGTCTCTCATTGTTTACTGATGATCAGGGTAGGCTTGCTAAAAACAACGTATTTGTCGTGTCTTGACGGTGCAACAGACACAGTAGACCGGAGGACCATGGCCCGAGGTTTATTCCATGGAGCGTGGAACCAGAACGAACCTCTCGTGCTATCAAACTGACACGACGATAAAGAAGAAGAGCGAAGGAACTAAAGCGCCGCCACTATAGTCCCAGTAGCGCGCGCTTGGCGGTAACTACACAACACTCCTCCCCCTTTAATTACGTAGCAGCGCCAACGGCAGTATTATACAAAAGTTAGGAGCGAGCTTAGTATCTGTCAGGCGGACGCCGTTCTCTCGATGGGTAGCGTCCTTCAGAAGTAGATCGGCCTGTAGGAGGTACAGGATCCCGTTGCGGGATGGTGTGAGGCTGCTGTGGCCCATGCTCTTGTACCGTGGCCGGGACACTTGGCTCGCCTGGTGAAAAGACGAGGAACCCCTCAGCGTCGTCGGTGTCCGAAGGTACCGGCGTTGCCGTTGGCCGTGTTTGGCTCAAAAGTTGATCGAGGTGCCGACGCCAGATGAACTTGCCTCGAGGCGTGGTAACCTGGACTTGGTAAGATACTGGACCAGTCTTCTTGAGGACGGTACCACGTAACCACCTCGGCGAACTCCTGTAATTTCGCACTAGGACATTGTCACCAGGGCAGATTTCTTCTCTGCTTGTCCTCCGTTGCTTACTTTGTATAAATTGCTTGTGGATCACTTTCCCCTCTACCGTAGGCTTGATTACATCCAACCTGGAACGTAATCTTCTGCCCATCAACAAGTTTGCTGGCGTCTCTCCTGTTGTTGAATGTGGAGTATTCCGGTACGTCAGTAAAAAGTGTTGCAATGCTTCTTCCAGAGACTCACCAGCAGATGACTTGCGTAGTGCAGACTTCAGTGTCTGCACAAACCGTTCTGCCAGGCCGTTTGTGCTCGGGTGGTATGGGGCGCTCACGACGTGTCTGACCCCGTTGTTCCTCATGAACACCTTGAATTCCTCGGACACCAGCTGCGGCCCGTTGTCTGAAACGATTGTTTCCGGAATTCCGAACCTGCAGAAAAGTTCACGTAGGCACCTCACAGTGCGCTCGGTCGTAGTGCTCTGCATGGTGAACACCTCTGGCCACTTTGAGTGCGCGTCCACCACGACTAGGAACATGGTTCCGCGGAACGGGCCTGCAAAGTCCAGGTGTAGTCGTCTCCACGGTGCTGTCGGCCATGCCCAGGGGTGAAGAGGCGCTTTGCATGGATCATTACGCTGTTCCTGGCATGCTTGGCAGCTTCGTACCTTTCTTTCAAGGTCTGAGTCAATTGATGGCCACCAAACATAGCTGCGAGCCAGCTCCTTACTTCGCACGATGCCGGGATGGCCTTGATGCAGTTCGTCGAGCACGGGCTCCTGCAGCTGGGACGGAACAACAACCCTCATGCCGTACATTAGGCACCCTTGATGAACACTCATCTGCAAGCGTCTGTCAAAGAACGGTCTGAGTTGTTGTTCTTGCACGTGCGTCGGCCAACCCATGCTTGTGTATTCAAGCACTTGACAAAGTAACGGGTCGCGCGACGTAGCGCGTGCAATCTCCTGAGAGGACACCGGCATTGACTCTAGCCGCAGTGCATAGAAGGACTCTTCGCCCTCGCAACTATCGTCTTTCCCACTTTCGAGAGGGAACCTAGAGCAAAAATCGGCCTCTGCATTGTCACTGGATCTCTTGTACACCAACGAGTACTTGTACGCTGACAAGGTAACAGCCCAGCGCTGCAACCGTGCTGCCGCAATAGACGGAATGCCTGTCTTTGGGCCCAAAATAGTCTGTAGCGGTTTGTGATCCGTGACGAGAGTGAAAACTCGGCCATAGATGTATAAGTGGAACTTTTTGATCCCAAAAATAATGGCTAGTGCCTCCTTTTCAAGTTGGCTGTACTTCTTCTCAGCTTCGGTCAGTGTGCGTGATGCATACGCCACAGGACGAGTGTTTCCATCTTCAGTCACATGAGACAGAACAGCGCCTATGCCATACTGGGATGCGTCGCACGCCACTTGCAATGGCTTACTTGGGTCGTAGTGTGCCAGAATCGATGGTATTGCTAGCGCTGTCTTGATTTCCTCGAACGCTGCTTGACACGCTTTGTCCCAACACCAGCGCTGGTCTTGACGCAGCAGCCTGTAGAGCGGGCTCGCCAGGGTGGATAATCGTGGAACAAACTTCCCGTAGTAATTTACCATACCCAGGAATGACTGGAGCTGCTGCTTGCTTGAGGGTGCAGCAACCTTCAGCAGAGCCTCGATCTTCTCTGGCGTCGTGCTGACACCTGCAGCACTGATCACGTGGCCCAGATAACGCAGCTCCTTCTGGAAAAACGCGCATTTTTCCTTCTTCACACGAACTCCACGCTCTGACAACCGCTTTAGGACTGCTTCCAAATTGGCCAAATGCTCTTCCGGCGTCCTACCGGTGATGAGGACGTCATCCAAGTAGCAACTGACGCCTTTCAGATCTTTCAGCATTGTGTCCATGATTCTCTGAAAAATGGCTGGTGCCGAGGAGACTCCGAACGGTAACCTGTTTACGGCAAACAGTCCTTTGTGTGTATTTAAAGTTAGGTACTTGCTCGACGTTTCAGCCATCACCACCTGGTGATAAGCCCGGTTTAAATCAATCTTCGAAAATTCCTGGCCTCCTGAAAGCGCTGCGAACAAGTCGTCGACTCTCGGGAGCGGATACTGGTCAGTGTCAAGGCAAGGATTCACGGTGGTCTTGTAGTCGCCGCACAACCTTATTCCACCGTCCTTCTTCACTACTGGCACAACCGGCGTCGCATAATCACTCGTTGTGACTGGTGTTATGACGCCCATGTCTTGCATCTTCTTTAGTTCAGCCTCGACAGCAGGCTGTAGGGCAAACGGCACGTTTCTTGCCTTGAGGAATTTCGGTGCGTGACCTTCTTTTAGCGTCAGCTCTGCCCTTTCTTCAGCAATAGTTCCCAGGTCTTTATTGAACAGATTTTGGTACTTGTCCAGAAGCACACCAAGCTTTGTGCGTTGTTCGGAAAGCGCCAAAACATCTGACCTGGCAATGCTGTTGATCCCGAAAATCCGGTTCCAATCCAATCGGATCGCTTGCAGCCACTGCCGGCCGAGCAGAGGTGGTCCCTTTTCTCTTGTGATGTAGAGGGGAAGCTCGGTCCTCTGCTGTCCGTACTGCACGTCGACGTGAGCAACCCCGACGGGCTGAACGATGTCTCCCTTGAACGTGCGCAGCTTGAGCGTCGTCGGCATGATCTTTGTTGAAGGAGATATCTGACGAAACTGTTGCAGTGACATGACAGAAACAGTTGCTCCTGTGTCCAGTTCCATTTCCAAGGCAACTTCCTGCACGTTTATTGTGAGTTTTATTGGTTCCATGCCAGACGTGGTCATTTCCTTCATGCCAACTGGGTCTTGAACAGGAACCAGTTTCTTCATCGCCTTACGTGGCGTCCACTTCGATTTCTTTTCTTTGTCCGCATGACACACTCTTTGGACATGCCCCTTCTTGTTACACTTGAAACAGATATCCGCAATGTGCGGGCATACCCGGCTTCCATGTTTCGCTGAGCCGCAGCGATAGCATTCTCGCTGCGTCACGTTCGCCTCCGCGACGGCCTTCACCTTGTGTACGTCCGAAACTCTAGGTTCTGACGCATGTGTTTCAGCGACGTTCTTTTTTGCTGCTTCCATGGCTAGCGCTTTTTCGACGGCTCTCTGGAAAGTTAGCTTGTTGTCCTCTGTGAACAACACACGTTGAATGTCCTCTCTGCGTAAACCGCAGACGAAACGGTCCCTCAAGGACTGGTCAAGTGCGGCTTCGAAGTCGCAGGTTTGCGCCAATTTGCGTAATTCTGCAACAAAGGCTGCTACAGATTCGTTCTCGAGCTGCGTTCTTCTGTGAAACTTTGCGCGCTCGCTGATTACCGATGGCTTCGGTGCCAGGTGATCCCCCAAAAGCTTCTTTAGCTCATCAAACGTTTTTCTTGCTGGCAACTCCGGTGTGGTCAATGATTTCAGAAGACTGTACGTTTTCGGGCCTATGAGACTCAAAAATGCGTGTACCTTGTCGTCCTCGGCGATTCGGTTGACCAGAAGAAACGACGTGAGTCGTTCCTCATACGACGGCCAGTCGCTCGTCGATTCGTCGAAGGGCTCGATGTGTCCCAGCCGGCCGAAGACTTGCGGCACTTGACCCGTCGCTGCCGGATCCCCCGTTGCCATGTCGGCTTCCGCGTAGCAGTTCAGCGAAGCCTCCTCGTCGCCAAGTTGTCGTGTCTTGACGGTGCAACAGACACAGTAGACCGGAGGACCATGGCCCGAGGTTTATTCCATGGAGCGTGGAACCAGAACGAACCTCTCGTGCTATCAAACTGACACGACGATAAAGAAGAAGAGCGAAGGAACTAAAGCGCCGCCACTATAGTCCCAGTAGCGCGCGCTTGGCGGTAACTACACAACAGTATTGTCAAAGGCTGTATGAAAGAAAGCACTGCCAGAACAAGCGCACCGGCTCAGCGGCACTTGAATCGCTTGTCAACGCGCTCGCGTGCCTAGCTTTCGCAGTGTTAACAGAAATACAAATTCTTTACCGCGTTCACAGATTCAATGTTTGAGAAGCTGATACCAGCTCTGTATAATATTGCTTATTATATTGCCTTGCGGAGCTCTATAAAGCTCCTCTATCCTGGGAAAAGTGGCGCCATTCATTGTTGTGGAAATGTTCGAGACATATGCCGCGCGCCACTTCTGGGAAAAACATGGCGTCTGAACTAGCTCAGTCCTGTTATGTGCCGCCATGATCTTCCCAAGGGCTCTACGTTGCACGTGCCTCGTGCATGGACGCACCTTGCGCTACTTTTGAGACAGGAAGGGGCTTTAGAGAAGCTCAGAGCCGTTTATTCCGAGAGCGTTTGGTCTTCTTAATCTTGACAGCCTGGCAACCACAGCAGCGTAGTCTGACAATCGGGAGATGACTACTTCCGTCCGAAAATTTGTGGTTTTGACCCATAGGAACTCTATGCTATTTCTAATGAATAAACAAGACAAAGGAGTAACGCCGTTTTGTGTTACCGCATAATCCGCTGGTTCTAGCGGGCAACAAGCTCCGCCCATTGGCCAAACTCTCAGTACAAACGGCTCTAGAGAAGTTGCCCTGAACGCTCCATCTGCTGGGCAAACAAGTGTTTGGAAGTGCTTATTGGTCATTCGGTGTATACCAACTATACTCCGTTTACGGTGGGAGCTACGTGGCCGTCGGACCAATCAGCCTCCTCCCTCTTAACACCTGACTCGGCTCTCTGCGAATGGACATTGCCGAAAGCGTGATGACGTGGCGAGAGAGAGGCGTATTACTGGTCCGACGAGGACGTAGCATCCACTGGAGTCTCAGCTTAGGGGCGAATAGAGTATAGCCTATTATCAATTCTTCCTGTTACCGGTTTCATTGTAGAAGAGACCCTTTTCAAAAGTCCTTCAAATAACATTGGCGGCCGCCATTGCTTTGACATGTAGCGTGTGATTGGACCCGAGTCCTCGCCGAATGATGACGTAGCGCTCGTGTCCAATACATGCTCAGAGAACGTGATCAAGCATTGGCGGACGTGCGATGGCGCGGACATTTGAAACGGGGCTATTCGGTTGATATAACATGTTCCGCGTTAATATCCACGCGTACGTCAAATGTCACTTTGCACGTTCGATTGCCTCCTTTTTCCCAGTGTTGATTGCACAGTGTTGATTGCCCAGTGCTGATGGCGATTGCCGATGTTGATGCCGATTACCCACTTTTGCTAAGCAGCGCGTGACGACCATTTTGGCGCGCGTCGCAGCAAGCGGCGCGTACGCAATTCACGGCCAGTGTTGATGACACAACGCACACACAGGTTTCATGTATTCTGGCTACCAAAACATGCATCTCCGCTGGGGCACCATGCGCGCCCCGGACGAGCACTGATAAAGGCTCTTGAACATGGGCCAGTGCGTGAGCGCCATGTTGAGCCGCTCCTGGGCGACCCGCTTGCCGCCTTTCTTCTCCACCTGCGCCGCGTCCGAGAAGATCCGCGTGCACACGCCCTGCGAGAGAGAGAGAGAAACTTTTTATCGGCGTACCGGCAACCACCGAGCGAGGAACCGCCATGCTAAGGGCTTGGCGTACAACCGGGCCTTGCGGACAGACCGTCTGGATGAGTACAGCAAGACCGGCAAGACTATGGTGCCTGAAACGCGTCTCCAACTGGTGTGTTTACCGCGTCCAAAAAAGTGGTCCCTCCATCTCCGCCTGATGACGTCATACAAGTGTCACGCTGTCGCCGGTCGCGATCCTGGCGGCGTCTCAACAGCTGTGGTGTATACACCACAGCTGTTGGTGTATGTAGCATATGTTGCAGACGCCTGTTGTGCTGCAGGTCGCTCTCCAGTGTGGCAGCCCACGGAAGCTTCGACAGCCGGAAGTTGGGACGCCCCGACGACAGCGACACTCGCGTTCGGTTGTGCTGCTCGCAGCTTCTCGTAGGCATTTCTACGACCAACCGCCAGGATCGCGACATGCAACAGCATGACCCCCCGGCTTCTGTGACGTCATTTGTTGCCACTCCGGGACCACTTTTGATGTATGGGCAGCATAGAACGCTAAATACACCAGTCGGAGACGTGCTCCAGGCACCATGACAAGACGCCACCTTTGAATGCACAGCCATCGCGCACTCGTTGCCTTCCACCGTGCTTTGACTACACAAGCTCGACGCTCACGAGACGCCGAAGCGTTATCGAATACGAAGCTCGCTCTGAAAGCGGGACAACTGGAACTCCTCCCCGCCATTCATATTCTGTCAGTAAATGTTGTCCAAGGAGTGTGCTATGTGTGTCTGCGTTTACATGGATGCGAATGTAGCGCGTCGGATCGTCTCGTGTAAACGCCTCGATTTGCTAGCCAAGCGCGTCGAAACGAGTCCGATCCGATCCGTTTGAAAGAGGTGTCCTAAGATTTCCAAGCTGAATCGTGAACTCCATGTACACACGAGAAAATCGAATCGAGTGCTTGAAAGTCGGAGAACCTGGGAGAAGGAGGGAGGCGGCAAAGGCTAAGATGACCTTCAACCCACTTTCCCTTTCCCCGCCTTGTGCTACCGTCCAGACTGCGTCTTCGATGCCAATCGCCCATCCAACCCCTCGTTGTCGTCGCAACCTCCGGCACGCTAGGCAAACCGGAAACGACCGCAGGTCACGTGGTTGCGTCGTAATCATTCAAGGCGAGGTGTCGCCACCGGTCGATGCGAATTCATCTACACGCCGCGGTTGAAATTTTTTCGGTGCGCTAACTCACTTCAGTGCACCAGAAGCTGCGGTCACATCCATGTAAAAGAAGCCTCTGTCTCCATGTGCGCCAACGTTCTGTAGATTGCCTCAGTTGTGGAACTCCCGCGGAGGAGGCCCCCCCGCCCCCCCCCCCCCCCCCCTAACTCACTTCAGTCTGTGTCCCGTCGTTTGAAGCGCCATCTAGATTTTGTTTTCAAAACTGTGTTTTATGAAGTACGGTGAACCGCCATCTAGACGATGTGCTTTGAAACATAGATATTCCATAGAATATGCTGCAGCCACCATACCAGCAGTCCGGCGCGTCGAACGACGGGAGGCGAGCCCTCAGGTCGGGGAGAGGGGGGAGGGTACTGTTTTCGTGCGAGCAGCGTCTATGAGCAGTTCCGTAACTGATTTAATATAATAGCCTTGATGTGCGCTTTGCTTAGGGCGGTGCCATCAGACGTGGCGCTTCTTCTTCACTTTTTTTTTTTTCTCTGGAGCGCGTGAAAGCTGTCTAACGGCAGAAGCTCATGGCATTGACTCCGGCATAGCCTCATTTCTACTGACAAAGCCTGGCAGATCGCCACGAGACGCGGCCACCAAAAGTGAAAATGTAGAGCGGCAGACAACGGATGAGAGGAGAGCTTAGAGTGCCTTCATACACACGCGCGCCTTTGCTTGAGTGGTGACATCTCAGCCATTTTTCCGCTCAATTGTTCTTCATGCCTTTTGAAGTGCGCGCAATCCGGTGTCACTCAGCTCGAGCGCGTAGCTTTGGCTAATGCATAGACGCCATTTTACCGCCCAAGTCATGCACCGAGTGCGCGAGAGCGTCACGCGCTGGCACATTCAGTGCAACAATGGATGTCTTCACCCTGAGACAGACAGACATGCAGGCACCCTAGGAGAGCTTAGAGTGCCTTCATACACACGCGCTCTTTTGCTTGAGTGGTGACATCTCAGCCATTTTTCCGCCCAATCGTTGTTTTATGCACGTTGAAGTGCGCGCAATCCGGTGTCGCTCAGCTCGAGCGCGTAGCTTTGGCTAATGCATAGACGCCATTTTACCACCCAAGTCACGCACCAAGTGCGCGAGAGCGTCACGCGCTGGCACATTCAGGACAACAATGGATGTCTCCACCCTGAGACAGACAGACATGTAGGCACCCTAGGAGAGCTAAGTAATGGGCGCCCTGCTGCGGCGAGATGCCGAAACACACTTGTCTCGAGCGATACAATGTCCGCTCGTGCTCCTCGCGTTCCTCGCTCTACCGCTTCTTTTTCTTCGGGTTTGAACATAGCCTCCGAGATCCCGAAGCGCGCGCGCTTCGGGATCTCGGAAACTATGGTTTGAAAACCATGTCTTAGGTCCTCGCCGCTGCAAAAGCTGTGCGCTGACTACAGGTTCCGCGAGAAATGCTTTGTGCTACCAGAGCCTCGTGCTCCAAATCTGTGACCGGCCACTTTATGGCTCCATCGTCGAACTGCCAAGCTTTGTGAGTATAGCGAAAACTATGATCCGGTGTTTTTTTTTTCATTTGAGCGCGTGCAGTTGGCGTCAAGAACTACACAAGAATGGCATGACACTAAACAGAAGGCTGAGGCACCCATGGTCCGTTCACCCTTAAAGGGGTACGGAAACGAAATAAAGTGCCCGCGAGTTGTCTACCCCTCGCTTCAAAATCGGCCAGTGAGAAGCGCAATGCGTATCGCGCTCGTGACGTCAATAGTTACTGCACTGCCAAGGGTACTGTCGTTGCGAGCCTTGCCGCTTGGTGGCGTCAACGCGTGACAATCTCGCCTAGTAGCAATATCCGAGGACTGTACGCTCTGTATACCTTGCCCGTAACGTCATTCGCGGCTATGTTTGTGTGCGACGTGTTTTGTGTGCGACGAGTGTTCGGATCACCACATGAGTTTCAGGCCGGAGAAAGAGTGGCTCGAGGGAATCAGAGAGTAAAAAGAACCGTCAGTACCCAGCAATGACGACACTTGCAAGGTTTGTATAGACTCTTTTCGTGGCAGACGCCAACAGGCGGTGCCCAAGTCTTCGACACCCTAGAGAACTTCCGGTTTATAAAAAAAAATGAACAAAGCCCACCTTAACACCGCTGATTGAAATCTCGGCAAAGCGTTTAACCACCAATTCTCAGGTGAATGCCAAAAGAACGAAGAAGCGCTTGATCTGTTAAAAGTTTTCGAATATTCTTGTAAAACAATTTGCCTCCTCCAAGAGGTTAAGTTGTACAGCCGAAGGCCCTCGTTATATTTGCAACTTTGCTGTACATGTAGCATTTCGGCTTTCTAGCGCTAGTGCCATTTGCTCGACAGGCTTGCAAAGAGGGAGGGACCGGAAGTCGCTTGGTAATTCCGGTCGCTCCATGGAACAGCAAAATGGTCTATATAAGGTATTAGGTGGTTGCCATATTTGAGAGAGTTAATCACAGTGCATACGAAGGAAAGGGGGAGGGTATGGTTGGTCTGGCAGAGGACCCCGCAATATCAGATGAAGCTCCTAACTATCGTCTGCAAATAACGGCGAACTTGATGGTTTGGAATGCACGTTGCGGAAGCACTGTGGAAGCTTTAACATATACAACGTAGACACTTCGATAGTGTCCTCCGCTACGTGACATTCATGACTAAGCAACCCCACGTGCGAGCCATACTGCCACGAACTGGTGCTGATTCTTACGGGCCCGTGATGTGGCGGCATTCCAACGGAGCTTCACAGACCGCCACCAGGCACAATCTTGGAATTTGTTAGACCGTCTTAAAGTGAGTTTTCTTAACTTTTCTGCTGGCGGCCCGGAAACACCAGTCTAAACTAGTGTTGCTGGGCTGCCGGCACAGCATAGACCCCATCTAAGCAAAGAAATAAGTGAAATAATTTTGTTACCGTACCACATTAAGCTGAGACTAGAAGCTCCGTCTTCAGCGCGCGCTCGCTAGCTTCCGTAGTGCTTTGGTTGCGCGTGCCTGTGCGTTCACTTGTGTAAGCAGGGGCAAAAAGCTCGCGCTGAAGGCGGAGCTTCTAGTCTTAGCTTAAGACAGAAACAACATGGCCTCTCTGCACCGCTTTGTTCACGTGCTTTGTTCTTCCGACGGCTGCAGGGGCTACGAGCCGAAGACCCTAATCAAGAAACGCTTGAAGCGCAACGCCACGACTCTTAAGTTACGTTTATACTCCAGCGCAACGTCGACGGGCGTGGCGTAGCGCAGCCCGCACAGATACTGATTGGTCGCAGATATCGAGCTCCTGGTTGCCAGCCAATGAAAGGCGCGCATTCTGCGCCACGCTGCGTTCACTGCGCTCAACGTCAGAGTATAAACAGCCCTTTAGCTGTTTTCTTTGGGTCTGTTCTTCACAGCTAATTCAATCAGTTCCGAAAAGTGCACCGCGACCAAGTGCTTTGCGTCTGTGTGTTAGCGCGTTTTTTAGCCTTCGACTGTTCTCTGCTTTATAATTAAACCAAGCATGAAAATGCCGCCTTCTAGCCTGTGACGACAATAATTGCGGCCGACTGCGAGTCAGCTGAAAAAGACCACGCAAACACATGTGCGCGGACAGCACCACCTATACCCTGTTACATACTTAGTGCAGAACGCTGTCAAATCTGCTGGCGCGAACATGGGGTTTGATCTCGCAGGTCATTTGGACGGGTTCGCGCGTAAAGGAAACCATAGATGAAGCACACTCTCGCGCTAGTAGCTTTGACAGCGTTGTATACTAAGTATAAAAAGGAGTATAGTGTAATCTAAACCTCTGCATTAGAAGTTTGACGTCAACAAAGTGAGATGAGTGAAGATAAAGATTAAACTGTTTCGTGTCCAATCAACACGTCGGAGGGCGCTCGGCGTTTGTGGTCAAACTCCAGTGACTGAGTTGGCGTCATCCGACTGTGATGACATTCCATAGACGAAAAGGAGGATGTTCGCAGGCCTGGAATATTCTAGGGGTTGTGGGCACAGTGGGGAAGGGAGGTGCCGCTGCCTTTCTTATTAAGGGTCTAACTCGAAACACAGCAAACTTTTAAACCGTTTAATTCCACCCCCTCAAAGATGCTTCCATCAGGCGCCGAGTCGCAAGCAGCACTCCATCTGCCGCACTCGTGAGTTGAGCACCCGGGGGGCAGAGGGAAACTCACATGTGCTAGCGACAGAAAGAAGAGGTTGTCTCCGGAGAAGTGCTTGATGTCCCTGAGGCGGATGTCCCGGTTGGGTCCAACCCGCTTCTCGACCACCCGCTTGTATTCCTGCGGAGGCGCAAGTTCATGACGCCGATGCCTCCGAGGGCGACGCGTACGACGTACCCTGAAGAGGACGATGACGACGGCGCTGTCCGCGATGTGATCGTACAGCTCAGAGTCGTCGGCCAGCTGCGGGACAGAGACACGGCTCAGACGTAGCAATGCTCCGTTTTACACAAAGTCGGCCCGTAGCCAATGTAATCAAGCAGCGCCAAAAGTGTATTGCCACGGCGGTCTTTGTGAAACCAAATTCGGGAAGAGTGAAGGGTTTGCGCATGCGCAGTACCGACAGCAGCGCCACCGTAGTGATATGACGTCAGTGAGTTGAGTTGGTCTATACCGTCGGCAACGGTCGGGCTTAAAGTGAATCGTAGTGCATAGGGCCACCTCAAAGACAAGGCCCGCACTTTTTCTTCCCTGACGTCATCCACATGCAGTGTCCGACAGAATTGGAATGGCGGAGCGTCTCTTTGGGATGGCCGGCCTCCGGCGCGCGCTTCGTTGCCCTCCGACCCAACGTCACTGGATGAAAGCCTAAAGGACGTTGCTTCGAACTAGGGATGCCGCGAACTTTTTTCGAATCGAAGTTTCGATGATCGAATCAAGCGGTTCGAAAGGTTCGAAAGATTTCGATTTTTCGAATTGTCTATATCGTAAAATTCGACGGAGGTCGAATTTTCGAACTTCTTAAGCTAAGAAGTTCGACGCTTTTCGAACCGTCGAACTTATTACGCTAAAAAATTCGATCTTTTTCGAACTTTCGAACTTATTGCGCTGCAAGGTTCGATGCTTGTCGAACTTTCGAACTTGACTGACCAAAAAATTCGATAAATTTCGAACTTTCGAACTTATTTATCAAGAAAATTCGAAAAGTTTCGAACTTTCGAATTCTGAAAAGTCAGAAGTTCGACGAACTTCGAACTTATAGGGTAAAAGTTCGACGTTCGTCGAACTTCGAAAGACCGACGGACGGTTTCATTTGATTTCAAGTAGTGGGGTACATTCGTAATTTTTTTTCTCGAACTTTTACACGCGGTGCTGCGTTCCTTACGAAAGACAATGTCATTTATTTCAATGTTCTGGCATGCTTAGGTTTAAAGAAATAAATCCCCGAAGGGGCGAGGAAGGACGACGGGTTTTTGACGATTATCGTTTGTGCCAGATTTGAAGCACGCTGCAGCCGGAGCTATTTATGGTAGATATGTTATACTTTTTTTTAAGAATGATCTATGTATAGCGTAGGCAAGTGCCGCCTTAAGATGTGATTATTGTTATTCAACGTGAGTTTCGAAGAAATGTCCAAACATGTATCTGCATGCAATTATGACCTAAACTTGATATTTATTTTCGTCTAAGTTGTTTGAGGTATCGCATTTAAATTAACACCACAGACAGTACAGTCTCCGGCGATATGAAAGACCCACTGGGAGCGCGTGGCTGAGGCGGTGGCTGGCGGGGGCGCTGCGAGCGCTCCGGGCAGTTCCGTTCTGCTTCGAGGGGAGGACGCTCACTCTTGGCTCAGCTAAAGCGCGCGCTTATCAGTTTGTGCTGAGCCCCGAGTGAGCGTCCTCCCCTCGAAGCAGAATGGAATTGCCCGGAGCGCTCGTAGCGCCCCCGCCAGCCACTGCCTCGGCCACGCGCTCCCAGTGGGTCTTTCATATCGCCGGAGACTGTACATATCATTGCCATCTGCAGAATACAAAATAATATATTTATTGTTTTTTCACGTTAAGGAATAAATTAACTCATGGCAGAAGACTTCTAGTAGTGTTCAAGTTCAGCACGTCATTAAAAGAAAACTTTTTTTTTTTTTTTTTCGCTTCACGTTCCTGGGACGTGTTTCTTTTAGCCTGTACACATTTTGGTAAAAGAAACTTGTTTCGAAGTTCTGAACCTCTGAATATGCAAGAATAGAACACTTCCGACGAATTCTTGATAGTTTTTTTTTTCTCCTGAGTTTTATTCCCGCATTTATTCTTTTTTTTTCTTTTGTTACTATCGGCACAGGTGTTTAGGTCGAAAAGACAGCTTTGAACTTCCGAACCACTAAGCATGTGACGAGCAGTGCCTTCTGACAACGAGTTTCTAACAATGACCATCTACGCAACCTTTTATGCAGTGAAGAGCGACAGTAGCTATACATATGCATAAATAATTTCAGATTAAAATAAGCTCGACCACGCCCTCTTTCCCCGTATTGTTTTCTTTAACAGTCCGAAATACCTGCAAGGGGAAAAAAAAGGCTGAAGCCCCCCCCCCCCCGCTACCCTCTTTCCCCCCGTTTTTCCTCTTCCGACGCCACTTGTATGGTAGAACGCTCCTCGACCTCGAGTTCTGTCGGCTTTTGTGCTTTTTGCGAGGCGATTCCTCCGTCCCAGAAAATAAACCTCCAGTACAATTATAAACTTCACCGGATCGGATTACTACCAGCGTGCAAGGGGTGGCGAGCTAGTTTGCCAGGTCGCTTCAAGGTTTCTCTGAGCCTCAACCTCCTGCTCGCCCCTGGCCGTTTCGAACTGGATGAGTCTCGTAAAACAGTGTGTTCGTGCAATCACTACTGCGTGATAAAGACCCCCCCCCCCCCCCCCCCCCCCCCGGGGGGCTGGCGGTCACAATTCTGCACTGGCAAATATTCTAGCACGTCCGGGACACTCGTCGTCTCATTTAATTGCCTTACCAACTTCGCAGAATCTAGATATCACACCCTAACTTTTCTAAACTTGATTTTGTGAAAACAAGTGAGTCGTGAAAACGTTATTTGAAACTGAAACTGTAGAAAAACTTGAAAATCGGACTTCAAACTTTGAAAACTTGGATTAAAAAAAATTCAAAATCTTCAAAGTTTTTTTTTTTTTTTTTTTTTTTTGAATTTAGCGTTAAAAGAGAATCGAAACTTTCGAACTTTTCGAACTTTATGCCAAAAGAAATTCGAAATCTTCGAATTGTTCGAACTTCATGTCTATAAAAATTCGAAGCGTTCGAAGTTTTCGAATTTTTTTTACAAAGAATTTCGAAATCTTCGAATTTATCGAACCTGAAGTAAAAAAATATTCGAAATATTCGAATTCGAAATTTTAGAAACCGTGAAAGCTTCGAAATTTTCGAATTCGAAACTCCGCTGTGGACAAAAGTTGCGAATTTTTCGAAATCGAACCTCGGTCGGTACGAAAATATCGAAATTTTTCGAAATCGAACCTCAGTTCGCTTCGCAAATATCGAAACCTTTCGAAATCGAACCTAGGGTGGTTCGCGACATCCCTACTTCGAACCGCGTTGGCCGCCCGTGCATTCTCGAAGCTCATGCCGAAGCGTTAGCATGGTAGTAAGTTCGCGCTGCAGGCGGAACAACTGAAAGATCTTCCTGCCGTTTCCACAGAAGTTACCTCGGTAGCCATTGCGGCGGCATTGCGGCTGAGCGCGCACCTTTAGCAGCGTACGTTTCTCAATAACGAATTCGTTTCACTCGGCAAAAAACGAGTAGGAATGACCACCAGAGTGGTGCGCACGCAAGTCATACGTAGGAGGTGTTCATGTGCCGCCATCAGCACAAGCTGCGGGTTAAGCAGGTTAGGTCTTTCATGAGCAACAGTTTTGACGGTGCGAAAAGAATCTGGCGAACACTCGCTCTCAGCACGCAGTCAACGGGAAAGCGCACAGCTATCTCCGCCAGTGAATGCTCCTCAGAGCAGTCGGCGATACCATAACGCACGCGTCTGTTATTTTTATCGCAGTCTCGTCGAGCGTCGGTGCGTACGCCGCTGGAGGTGGGAGGGGGGGGGGGGGGGGGGGGGGTCTCCTAACGATGCCGTAACCAGCAGGGGGGCTATGAAAGACGGCTGGACGAGGCAGGACCGGGACATCGCCGCCTGCTGCGATTGGCCAACGGCGTGGTGCTGACCAATCGCAGCAGGCGGTGATGCCCCGGTTCCTTCGTCCCACCTTTTCCCGCCCTCTTGTATAGCCCCCAGGTTTTGTCTTCTAACTGGGGGACAGTGTGACCCAGTCCAAGGGAGGAAATTCACTCGCCTTCAGGGAGCCGTGCGCGTTGCGGAAGCACTTTTCCACTTCGGCGTAGCGCGCCATCAGCGTCTCTCCCCACCAGTTGCGGTACTGTGCACTGTCCGTGATGGTCCGACCTGCGTCGTTATGAGGGACATTCAGAGGTGGTCGGTAGGCGACAAGGCCACCCACCTCGGTAGTCAATGGCCTGGAACATCTTGGTGCCGATGCGCCAGCCATACATGGGGATCGAGAAGGGCCTGGCAAATTGGATGAAAGGCTCAACGGGGTAGCGCGAGAGGGGTGGGTGAGAAGAAAACGTACAAGAAACTGTCGCCGTAGTACAAGGGCGGCTCGAACAGGCTGGCCGGGATGTCTGTGTGGACAAACACATTCGTAAGGACCTTCTCTCCGAAGAACAAAAAGAGGCTTACCAGCGAAAGCAAGAGGCTGTCTCACAGCAGTAAGGGTGTTACTTAGTTCTAACTGCGATGGGTTGAAATCTACTTTTTTCAACTAATCTCGCGTGATTGGCTCATCCTGACAATCATAAAAACTTGTGTCATTAATCAATATTAGCGTCGAATTGGCCATGAGTGAGTGGATACGAATGTTTAAGTGCGTTATTTATTTGTCTAGTTAATGCCTGAATATTAGCTTCTTTAATCAATTGCTATCTAAAGATGTGCTTCCTGAATTTCTTAGAACTAATGATATAGGAGAAATTCCCAAGCTGGAGTACGCGGCGGAGCGCAACGGTTGGGTCGGAGATTCTCTAGCAATGATGTAATGTGCAGGCTTCTTCTAGGCGCTATGGGAGAGACACTGCAACAGCGCTGGATAAGATCAATTCAGCACACCGGCAAGAACGAGTGTTGGGACAATACCTCCTAGAAGATAAGGCCCGCGCATCACGTCAAGTTAGTAAATCCCCGACCCGTCCCAAGCGGTGAGTACACTGAAGCTCAATGCGGGTACGCGGCAAAGCGACAGATGCGTGCGTTTTGGTGCTTGCATTGCTGTCCATGTGCGACGCTTGAAAACGCGTCACGTGGATCCACGATGCAAGAAAAGGAAAGGCGCAGATCTTGTAGCCTAGGTGGTATTGGTTCAAGCACCTTGTCGATACTTACAGAGCGCGTTGTTATCGGCGTCATAGTACGGGTCCTGCTGGAACACAGAGCCCTTCCACCTGCGAAGAGGAATGTCCGTGAAATCGAGTTCATCCACCCACGAAGACCAGCGACCCTTACTCAAAGTCCTGCAGGGTCTTGTGCGCCTGGGACTTGGCGAACTCGAAGCCTGCGTTCCTGAAGCTCTTGACAATCTGGCCGTACTTGTACTGCAGCTTTTTCTGCAACGTACCGGCGTTCGGAGCGGCCGTCTTTACAAACGCACCGGTTTCGCACCAGAGGGGGTTGCTTTGATGGCATGCGGCAACTGCACTCACCCAAGAACGGTACCACTGCTTCATGTACTGGTATTCCTTGGTTTCGTAAGGGTAGAAATAGTAGATCCGCATTCTGCGCAACTGCAAACGGAACGCGCGGGACGTTTGAACAGGAGAGGCGAGCTGGAACCCGATTCGGCAAGTGTGTGCAATAGAAGGATTCCTTCTAGATGACAAAGTCCTGTCCCTTGCTTTCAGTGGCAAGAAAAACGCGGCAAGTATTCAATATGGTTTGTTTCAATTTAAGTGCGAGCGAAGCCGAAGCTACATACTGAAAACTAGCACGTCGCCCTTGTGGCTTCTGCTATGCTCGCCTGCTGATGAATCCAGACGCATTAACTTAAATTAACCATCCCGAGTGCATCCAATTTTGGACCTCATTGACCAAAACAGCACCCAAGTTTCATTGATCCTTCGTGTTTAAACGCGAGGGAATAAAGTACGCATAATATTTATTTCATAATATGGTCTGCTCCAAATAAACTTATTTCTGAGTTTCCGTAAATAACTAAATTATAAATCTGACCTAACGTGCAATAGATCTTATGGAATGCACGTTTGCTACTTTCAACCGACGTGCGAGTTAATTCCCTAATTATAAAGCAACAGACTCCATGGGTTTGTGTTTTCTCGTCGCGCTGAGTGGAGAAGAGCATACGCAATCCTCAAGAGCTGATGACAAGAAGTCGTTGCCACCGTTGCAAGCGTTGCCTCCGACGGCGCATTAGACTAGGGAACAGACCCACTAACCTTGTTGTTGAGCGTGCTCTGCTCCGTGTGCGGATAAAACGACTTCACGGACATCCGCTTGAATGATTCCTTTAGGTTGGCGATGGCTCGGCTGGCCTGCGACAAGGTGCAATGTGTCGTAGTGCTTCGCGTCTGCCTATGGTAAGTTCGTGGCGCACCTCGGCCCTCTTGATCTCAGTGTCCCTGAAGGTGATCTTGGCGGCCGTGAGCAGCAGCGGCTTGAAGTATGGCTCTAGCGCGTCCAGGCAGCGGGTCCGCTTGGAAGGCGGAGGCCGCAGTGCGTGACCGTACTTGTACATAAACTGCAGGACCTTGGAATCTTTGGAGAGGAGCAGGGGACTCAGGAACTGAACCAACCGGAACACGATGTAGTTGTTCACGGTGCCCCTGCGAGGACAAGTAAGGTTGTCGCAACGCTCTGGCGACGGGATGAAAAACCGGTTCGCGAGCAGAGGGGAGGTGGATGCGGGACATATTTACGACGAGTAAGGGTTTCCTACCACTCGGTTGTCTTGAGAGCTTTCAGAAAGCGAGTGAAGTACTTCTCGGAGCGCAGTGCCACCTCGTCTTCGGGGGACATGTTTTCGCCCAGCACGTTGCTCAGGTACATGTAGATGTTCCACTGCGAGTTGACATATGAAACACACTCGCGGGGGGTTATGAGAACACCTCCTGTATTCCGTTTCACATGAAGTCCGAACCCAGCTATCCCTATCATCCTTTGAAGCCAACCAAGAAGCCCCAAAACGTGCATCGTCACGGAACTCGTCCTCTTTGTGCGTTTGTTTTCACCGGCTAAACTAGTTACGCACGGAGAAAGTGGCGTCACCCTGCGCTTATCTACGCGCGTTGGTGATACAGCCTGCGACAGCGAATGTACGAAGACGAGGAGTGCCGTGGCGGCGTATTTTTGGCGCGCTTGGTTGACTCCATTGAATCGCTGCGTTGGCTGTGGTCGGACGTAATGTGAACCGGAGTATGGACCTTCGCAAAAATCGAATTCTGCGCGCTGCCATCTTTGTCTGCTGGGCTGTGGAACGCCTTCTGACCATGCGCTGTAGCACTGTTGTGCTGTCTGTCAGACACTGCGCATAGGACCACAGCTCAGTGACTCAGCATTTTTCGCCCGGGTGATAAGCAATGCAAAGGTCTATAGACAGCACGGTTGTAATGCTGAATTTATGGCACCATCTACAAAAGACCCCAGGCTGGGCACAGATTGGACGTAGCTGCCCAATCAGCTTTCGGTTGCGAAAAATAACTAGTGTTCTCAATGACCGTGCAGGAGTCTCGGCCGAAAGCTGAAGCAGCATCGTGTCCCTCTGAGCACTCGTGTTGGCATCTGTAAAGTGACGCCGAAAGTTATGCATTGCGGCTTTGTTACCAATTGCGAAAGTGGCCAGCTGAACAAAATAAAACAAAATACACACACACAAAAAAAGAAAAGGTGGTCGGTGCGTAGGTTGACTATGCTGCACGAGTTTCCGTAGAACTACGGCCACTGCTGAAGAAACGTTCACGGGCTCCTGCCGCATTGCGAAGCCGGGTGCGCGCGAAGGGAATGCTCGTGGCTCGGAGTCCGGCAGAGGCAAATGTGCAGCACCCCGCGCCACCATCTCCGAAGTGCATATGCGAAATTGTGTGCAAAATGCTTTTAACGCTTCGCCGAGTTGCGCGAGAGAGTAGCTTTAACTGCCTGTGCCTTACACTATGAGAAATAGGGGCTGTAAGGGCTACACCCCCTTGTCCCATATATAACTCCCTAAAACAACAATTCGACGTTCAGTGCACAGACGTCGAATCGACACGATACCAACTTTCAAGAGCGGCTTGATAGTCGAGCGATAAAACTTATTAAAATATATAATGTACGCAATAAAGCCTATAGTAAGACAATCAAGGTTTTTTGTCCCTGCTGCAAAACCGCAGTGTTTTTTGTTGTTCGTTTTGTAGCCTTTGATACGCACATGAGCTATTCATTACGTTATATCCGACAGTTATCAAGCCGCTCGTAAAAGCTGGTATCGCCATCTGGTATCGCCGTTGCAATCAGATAGGAGCGAGCCGTGTTGAAGCGAGCAAACGAGCAAGCCAGCAGATAAAAACAGACGCGCGTGCGCACTGCGCGGCAACAGGCGGCAGTTTGTGCGACGCCACTTCCGTGACCAAGTTTTCGTGACATCGACCACGCAGCTTTGCACCCCCTTCCAACCGCGGAGAAAGACGTAGTTCTACGTCCAAAAGATACATTCGCACCGCAGGACAAGCAACCGCTTGATTTGTTATCGAGGGGACGTTGGCCTTGTCCACTCACCTTGTCGAGGAAGAGCGAGCCCAGCTTGACCTTCTTGTAGAATGGCACGCGGGCCCTCAGGTGTGTGGTGCCCCTTGCGAGCATCTGTTCCAGCTTGAAGATGCGTAAGGTCTCGTTCACGTTGTCGAAGCCCAAGGAGATGGACAAGTCGCGCATAGCCTGCATCACGCCCATCGCCGGGTGTAGCGCACGGACACTCCATAAATGCAACCCCACGTGCTAAAGCCTGCCGACTACGTTCGAAGAGTGACAGCAACATGATCAGACAGGTGATCATGTTGCTTAGAAAATTCAAAGGATCATTACTCAGGGTGGTTAAGTTTCACACGCTTTGTTACAACGTCTTGCAACATTTGCATGACTTGCCCTCATTGGGAGTAAAAAGGGATGTGGTACCAAACGCGACGTTGGTCACGTTTGCGTTCTATAATAATATTAAAAAATCATTCCAGCTTGATAGCCTCGTCTACGGAGAGTCGGCTTTTGATGCGTGGAAGATACTCTTTTGAAAACCCCTGAAAGCTTCGGTTGACTGCGAGAGCAATATACCTTCAAGTAGTCTTTTTGGAACTCGGGATCTTCGAAAAGCGCCTTGGGCGCCGTCAGCTGAGGTTCGTCCAGGTGCACGATGATGTGCTGCCGGTTCTCGAGGTCCACGTCTTTGCGGACAGTGATGAGCGGGAAGAACCAGAAGTTGCGGCCCACGCGCGAAGCTAGCGTGTGTGGCTCCAGGTCAAAGCTCTTGGGCAGGAAGAACGGCTTGTGGTTGTACGTCATGTCCGCAAACAAACTCAGCAGCTGTTCTTTGGAGTCGCTCACTAAAACAAAACAACGTAAAAACAATAATAAATGCTTTTATTATAGTGAAGGCCTATTCACACAGGCGCGTTTACTTACGTTTTATTACGTTACATTATAGGTAACTGGAACATCCGTGCATCGAATGACGTGAGAGAGACTTCTCTTTGTACTAGTGTCCAGAGCGCATAAAGAGCACGGATGTCCCGATGATTAGGCAAAAGTAAGCTTCCGTCGCATAACCCAACGTGAGCAAACGGTGCTTTGTGAGCCGGCCTTTACGTGCTAAATTGTGGAGTACAGTGCTCACCTAACTTGTACCGAACACGTCAACTCTGTATTTTGTCATGAGATCGCTATCCCGGTGGCAGCCCAGCAACGGTTTTGTGACGGGACACTCAAGAAACCATCCGGAAGTGCTACATCAATGACCCGTCAGAGTAGAGCTGCCTTTGTAAAACACACTGTTCGCGTGTTTCGAATACGTTTGGTACGCACTGTACATCCTGCCCGCGTTCTTGAACATAAGCGCTTGAGTCCAAACCATTTTTGTCTTTATTTGGGAGATCTAACCTTCGATAGATCGGAAAATACTGCACGATGTAGCGTGCAAAAGACGACTTACCTGATTTTCACTCCTAAGCGACAGTACACAAATATGGAAACATATATTTCGCGGTGTTGATGGTCAGAAGGAGTCGCCAATCCCGCACCGAAAGCAGCGGCCCAGGCGTCGCTGTTTATATACTCACCGCCCTGCATGCACTCCTGGAATAGACTGACGCCGTAGCGAAGATAGAAGTTGTCCGAGGGCTTCATGTCGGCGTGCCCTGCGAACCAAGCCCGAAGGATAGACCAACTCCATCCGTAACTATAAAACTCGTCGCAATGGACGCCGATTGAGCTCACAGTTGGCGAGGACGTCTTCGACGGCCGCCCGCAGCGTGTCCTGAGCTCCTTGTGTGATGGGGTATTTGGAGGCCGAGTGCGCCACGCTCACGTGGTACCCCTTGCACGCGTACGTGTAAAAATCGTCGCACGGCTCGCGGCTCCACTCCACGTAGCCCATGACGCGACGCGCTGAAACACAGCACGCTTTTCTCAGCATCTTCCCATTCTCTAAACCCGCGGTCAGACTAATAATAAAATCTAACAGAAAAAAAAAAAAAAAAAAAACACGCCGAAGGCATGTTTAAGGTTGGCGACCAGACACGAGATTCTGCAAGGCAGAAGATCCTCCTCACCCTGGGGAGGAGGAAAGAGGCAACGGTGAACAGGGTAGAAGGGGGAGAGGAGGAAGCGGGGAAAAAGTGGAAAGCGCGAACTGGTCGTCGGTCTTTATGACTGCTTACCTGTAGGAATGCAAAAGTATTACGGCCATCTTTCGAGCACAACGCCTACACGGCCTTTTCTCGTAATCGGACATATAATGGTTTCGACTTAAAACACAGGGCGTTTGTAATGAAATAATGACGGAGGTATTTACGGACACGCCTCCAAACATTTTGGAAGCGTGGTCGCTTTCTACATTTGTGCGCTTCGAACATATCTGGAGTCATTTTTTTATGACACAGGATTCTCCTACTCGGAAGAAATACGCCCCAGGGTGTGTCTTCAGACAGTTTTTGTAGGAGGTATTAGCAGTATGACCGTGGCTTAAGAGATAGATTGAACCTCGCAACTAATACGTTCGAGCGACGACTCGTTTTACGATCAATGTGTCAATCTAAAATCGCTAAATAAGCTACGCTTCAGAGTAAAGAACTTCAGCCATGGATGTATGGATGAACACTAAGGGATGTACCTTTCATAACTGGTGGCATACCTTGCGCCACCTAGCCATGAACTGGTGCCTGAACTCGTGGTTGCCAGTTGTCTAAAGTTTAACCTAAAATCTAAAAAAAAGCTGTTTTATTTGTTAAAACAGTTCACGATAGAGAGACACGACATTGCACGAGTTTCCCGACACAGGATCTACGTGCTGAGGAAGTCGTTTTGTCAAGCGGTAACTGTAGCGAATTGCGTCCCCTTTTCACAACACGCAACACAATGGCGGCGCCCGCAAGTAAATTAGAGAATGGAGCACCGACACTGTGAACGTAGCTTATTAGGGAATCTATGTGAGCCGTCATAGTGGGTAAGCGGACCATTATCGGTGAAGTCCAAACACAGCTAAGGAAGGTTGTGGCCCGAGCGGAGCTGGAACACAATACTCACCTTGCTCGAAGCATGTGGCGTTTTCACAAAACACCGCGTTGTGCAGGTTAAGGGGAGCCTTGCTCACGGCTGTAAGAAAAGGAACCACGCTACAAGCCACGACTTCACCTCGGGTTCGGATGTTTAGCTAAGCGCTATCACGTCTGAGCTCGCATCCGGCTATATGCTTCCCTATACGCGACATTTAATTATTGATAAATGTTGATAAATGTCAGGCTGCGGGGGCCACAGGCGACAAGGTGCTTTTAATATCTGTACTTGCATACATGACCGGACGAGGAGGATGTGAAGGCAAGAATACGGAAATACTTTATATAAATCTGTCCGCCCTTTCGAACAGGGTGGCTTCTTTTACCTGCATACGAAAAGGTAACACACTGGCGCCATCTATCTGATTGCCTTGCATAACTTCCTGCATAATAACTGCGTTAGCATTTCTTGCCCTGGTGCATGCAGCCGTCTTTGCTTTGGTTTGAAATGGACCGTGGACTGGACTGGTTTCGTGAACACACGGCGCGGTTCCCATCGTGCTCTTTCGCTCCGTTCGTTCGCCCGTTACGTCTCCTTTTCTTCTTCGTAAGAGGGAAAGAGTCTTCTCGCTCGCCTTCAATGACGCGCGGCTGTCGACGCACACATCTCTGAAAGCTGTGGTGGCTGGATCCGAAACCGCCGACGCCCTGGAGAACGGAGTGACTCTCCGAAAATAACAGTATGTGGGCCGTAAGTAGAGATCGAGGGAAAGTCTGGTCGTTGCATCCGAAACCACCAACGCTTAGGAGGGACCGGTTCTCCGAAGGCAACGAACCCTTGCGCTAAATTTTCTCGAGAATCAGCGTAGCGACAGCAGCGATTTCTGCATAATTTTTGTTTTGTTATTTTTTAAGCATCACAATTTTTATGGACTCGAGATAATTCTTACAACGTTAAAACGACCATTTATTATAGATAGAGGGTAGATTTTATCTCCCAAATACTGTAAACCCTTCGGTCCAATCGTGCGCAGATCGCAAGGGCTCCAGGGCTAGCCGATAGATGGCGCCACCGTTCAAGCGCGTTCTCTTTTGGTGAACAGACATAAACGGTTGCAACGAAGGGGAGGCACTCACTTGATCGAATGACGTTTTAGCAAACGCCCACGTTTCATCGAATGACACTTTAGCGAACAGTCGGAGGCCGCGAAGCGGCGTTTTCGGGTGGGCCAAGTGGGTGCAAATTTTTGTAATGAGCCGTCGCAACCTGTCGCCGCGAAGCGGCGAAAGCGCAGCGCGGCGGATGGGTTAACGCGCGCCCCCGTTATTCGCTAAAACGTCGATTCGTCCAAATGTCGCTGTTCGCTAAAACGTCATTCGCTCATGTGATATGGACCCGCAACGAAGTCGTCGGTCGCACTCCAACGTGATTTGTTTGGACGAGCCCAGCGGGAGGTCATCTGTCTTCGCCTCGGCTTCATCGAACACCGACGAGGGCACCTATCATAATCAAAGCCCGCGAACAGCCTCCTATTACACTCGGATGCCGCCAACTTCGTGACTAGACCGGAGCCCGACGTCGAGTGTCCTTCGACGCGTTGATTGGACACGAGGCCCAGCCGAACGCTGACGCAGCAGTCGCCCCCAATTAGCGTATGCGCTCGATCTTACTGCGATGACTTTGAAATGCTAGTACGCGGGGTTTTGTTATTTAACACTACGTTTCCCTTCGAGCCCGACCGCAACCAATACTACGACTCAATGGTGCCGATCAAGCAGCGCAAAAAGTGCATAATCACGGTGCTCATGTCTTTCTGCAGGTTTGCAATAACCGGCTAAACCAATCACGAGCACAAATAAGCTGAGGACATAGCCTCCTCTATACCCACAAAGTTCGGCAGTTCGACGACGGAGCCATAGAGTGCCCGGTCGCAGATTTGGAGTGCGAGGATCTGGTAGCACAGAACATCAAAGAGCCATTTCTCGGGGAACCTGAACGTCAGCGCACAGCATTTGCTGCGGCGAGGACCCGAAACACACTTGTTCGCTCGGGAGAAGTGTGTTTCGGCGTCTCGCCGCAGCGGGGCTCCAGTCACGTGGCTCTCCTTTCATCCGTTATCTGCCGCTCCACCTGTTCCATTTCGGCGGCTGCATCTCGTGGCGATCTGCCAGGCTTTGTCAGTATAGAGGAGGCTATGCTCACGATCGCTTTGCATTCACTCTGCGTGATTGGTTTCGTTGTTAATAGCAAACTCACAAAGACAATGAGCGCAGTGACTCTGCACTTTTGCCGCTGCTTGGTTGGCTCCACGAGATCGCGCACCGTCGGCTGCGGTCGTACTATAAAAGTGAAACGGACCTCGCCCCCGTTCCGCGTGAGGAACAACGTGGCCGGCACTCACGGGTGGTGTTGATGGTGAGTACGACGAAGAGTGTGAGCGCGAGCACGATGAGCAGCACCAGGCAGATGCTGGTGATGAGGCCCACCTCGATCTTGCGCCTGTTCGGGCTCTCTTCGATCCTGTCCAACCTGGACGGAGATCCGCGCTGCACCGCAGAGACCGCGCTTTGCCCGCTCGAATACGATATATACGCCGTATACGCGAAGGGCAGCCGAGGGTTTGCTGGGAGTACAGTTCTTAAATAAGAGCTTCGTACACAAGTAGCGACCTTCTTTGAAGCACAGACTGCGTGTGACGGTGCAGGTTTTTGGAAGCGAAGGGCGGCACGCAGCAGAGGTTTCAACCGAATACCACCATTTTGTTCCAGCGTATAAAGTGCTCTGTCATTTGTATTGGTTGTCGGTACTTGTAAAAAAAAAAAAAAAAAAGCAATAAGGAACTTTGATTGAACCGACCGACGCCATTTTGTTCCAGCGGAATGTGCTTCGTCACTTGTATTGGTTGTCGTTACTTGTAAAAAGTCATGGCGGTCGTCGTCGTCTTCGTGCGTTTGCGATCAGCAAGTAAATCAATCACGCGCAATAAATGCGCCGTGATTTTGCCTCTCTCCCTGTACGTGATTCGTTGAGCATAAAGTCCCTAGATGAAAGCTCCCTACGAATAGCGACATTCTTTGAAGCGCCGAATGCGTGACGGTGCAAGATTTAGGAAGCGAATGGTGGCGCACAGCAGAAAATTGAACTATAAGACGCCATTTTGTTCCAGCGGAATGTGCTTCGTCATTCGTTTTGGTTGTCGTTACTTCTGAAAAGAAGTATCATAGGACTTTAGTTGAGCCAGTCATTGCAAACCCACGAGAAAACGAGCACGATGACGATGCACTTTCGCGCTGCTCAATAGCCTCCATTGGGTCGTTGCATCGTCTGCTCTCGGACTCCGCGTGACGCGGAGTTGAAATTTTGAAACCGCACGGTCGACCTCAATCTATGGAGCTCGCTAAGTTGCGACGAATTCGAATACGCGGTCGTTCTCTTCACTAGATGTCAGTTTTTTTTACCGGATGTCAAATTAGTGGTATCCGCCGGCTTCCTAGCACCACGGGTCGAATTGTGAGGAACATACACCGTGCAAGCTCGCTCTCTGCGCGTTTTTCAGATGGACGGCTCGAACGTAAGGCCATCGCGCCGTACCAATTGTAGTTTATATACTAAGACAAGACCCCGAGACTGGGGAAAAACGAAGGACAACTTAAAATATGTTCGACCATCACCAGCTTGTTTTCGCTCTAACTTTTTCTTCACTTGTTTTTGGTGATTTAAAAAAAAAAAGAAATTTGGTGGCAAGAAATATATGCTGCTGAAGGTATGCGCGCTGCAGCAAGGTCCATTGCAACGACCGTTCATGGGACGTCAGTACAAACCATGTATACTATGAATATAAATCAAGTCGAGGTAAACAGCATACCGCCGTTGAGCAGCAGCGTTGCATGGCTGGATAGGCAACTTGGTGGCCTTTAAAGGCAGCAGAAAACAATGACCGTTCGAGGAATCCTACGTCCTAGGCCCACTGCTCCCCTGTCGCTGCTAATGATTTACCATCAGTTCACATACAGCTACGGTTTCAGCCCATGTCCATCGATCAAAGCCCGGACGTTGGAGAGAGAAAGAGAAAGACGTGTGACTGACCAGGAGCGTGGCTGAGGCCCGGTCATGGTGGACAGGACTGTGGTCCTCCGCTCAGAGGTGGTCGCGGTCGACATGGCGTCGGCAATTGAGGGATGGCCAGGGAGGCCGCGTTCCGAGCACTCTGCCTAAGAAGACATATAGACATGGGCTTCCTCATCCGTGCGAGACTGCCAGGGCCACCCCGCTCTTACCTTTGTCACGTCCTCATACTGGCACGTCCCGAAATCGATGTTGCGAGCATGATATTTTTTTCTGCTTCTTTTTTCTTCTTCTCCGGGTGCGTGTCTCGGTTTGCCTAGAGCGTTCTTAAGAGCTCGTGATATCATCGGCGCGCGCCATTTGCATTGCAGCTGAGTCAGTCGCCTTGCACGTGACGTCATCACCTAATGTTGGTGGTGATTCATACTCGTTCTTACGGAAAAGGGTATGTGAGGGTTCGAAATGTATACTGCAGAGGATGCGCGCTCGGTAAAAGGTCACCTCAATGGCCGCTGATTTGACCTCGATTCAGAATTGCATGGCGCGTCATCGCATCATGCATGGTGGTTATTCTTTCTCTTGCTGAGTGGAACAAATTCGGTGGTTAGAAATGTATGCCGCAGGAGTTGCGTCTCCAGCAGCAAAGCCACCAGAATGGCAGCCGATGCGACGTTCATGCGATCGTTAGCGACTGTCGCAAGTCCGAAGGCAACTATGCCTCTATGCCGAATAGCAAAAAATCGGGCAGCTCCCGATCTTTGATCCCGTTTTCAATAGGGAATTCGGAGTGTATCAATCACATTGAGGTATGACCAAAAATAGACGCTCTCAGAAAGCACCTTATGACCTTATGGTCTCAGCTGTCTTAACGAAACTCGACCCCCCCCCCCCCCCCCCCCCGGCCGCCCCCCTTGCAGGTATTTATTTTTTGATCGAGTATAAGCCCGAGGGTCCAGGCACCCGAAGACCTCGAAGAAGTGTGGAAGCAGCCCAGAGCCCAATTAGTCCGACCCTCTATCTTATCGTAAACCGGAAGTCCCGCGGCGGCCGTACATAACAACCTCGATGACAGCGCAACGGAACAAGCGCACAATAAGCAATCCCTGCGCTCGGCAAGCGACGGCAAATTAGGGGCTCTGTGCCGGAAGTACCGTGTTCTCCAGATTATAGTCCTCTCGCGGTGTGCATATATTCGCTGCCGTCTTGCTTCCGGCGTGTCTAGATTGTCTGACTGTGAAGCCTTCCCAAGGCGAGCGCATGACCATACCAGGCTAGTGCCATAACAAAGCGGTTTTCGGCTTCGGTGGCAAGACTGACTTTACAAGCTTGGTTACTTGAATACCTCAATAGTACGCAGAAATAAATTGCGGCAAAAAAAGAAAAAAAGCTTTTTTCCTTACACTGTCTGGACGCGGTGCCTACTGAGCACGTAAAACAATTCTTCGACCCGCTTTCAAATGTCTGGTTTTGTAAGCGCAGGAGAAAGCTAACATCATACAAAAATGATCATTAACATGATTTGCCACTCACAAAATCCGCAACGTGTCGTGCAAGAGAAGCTTTCCACTTTTGTTGTCGTGTGTGCTTGCAGCGTTGTGTTCTGAATGTTTTTTTTTATGCACTACCGCAATAGGCCCACGGCTGTTGCTAGGCAAAAAAAAAAAAAAAGTAATAATCGACCTTGGGAAAAAAAAAACACCTTACATAGTCCGTAGTTATAGAGAATCCTGGGTTCGAGCCCCACCCCTGCCCGTTTCGATCTGGATGAGCATCGTACCGGCGTGCGGTCGTGTATCACTACTGCGTGATGCACGTTAAAGACCCCAGGCTAGCGGTTGTACCGCACTGGCTAAATTTCTCATCTACAGCTGGGAGACTCGTCGCCCCTGTGAGGCAGACCAAGTTCTAGGCTGTATAAACACACACACAACCCAATTTATTTAGTTATAGAGAGTTCGCACCGCGTAAAATTTCGACTTTTTAACGTGTATGGTTCATGGAATATGATCCCATAAATACTGTACCGCTGTGTTTGTCTACTTCTAATCATGGGTCTTTTTCATATTATTTTCGTGATCTATAAAAACGAAAGAGTCGAAATACACTTCTAAAAAATAAAGTTTATTTTTTTCCCCGTTTGGTTTTTGCGTTCAAGTTTCCACCATCATGCTACGCTTTGGCTGCCTTGTCCCGTCGCCTAATGCACGAATCAAAGTTACAAAATAAAATCATTTTGTTAGGTTCACTCCGAGTCGATGAAATGTTTACCGTAGAGTCGTACTTCTTAGAATAAATTCAAGCGGCGTATAGAAGGAAATCGGCTTTATAACCTCTGGTAGGCACCCTCTAGTTCACTCTCGTTTCTGCAGAAAGTACCGGCAGCATGGCGACCGAGCTCAGCAAGGGTTACTGCAGTTGAACTGCCAAGGAATTGCTGCACACTGGTTTCACTCTGGTTTCACATTGGCAAAATGGACTCGCGTCTTATAGTGGATTAAGTACGAAACATCAATCGAACTGAGTACGTCGAGGCTACGTGTTTCGGCGTCTAACATCTTCCTCTTCGTGCCTACTAATTTCGATCTGAACGCATTAACAGGAACGTTCTTGCCCTGTCACCAGATACTCCCGGCCAACACAAAATCGCAATAAAAAAAGTGGGACGACAAGTTTTCTTCCGTCCATAGCCCACGTAAGGAAACTCCGGAGATCAAGAATGGTTCCTCGCAGGCATGCTCGTGAGCAGTGACTCTGTCCACGCCTCTGATCACGTCTACAAGTCAGAGGAGGATCAGTACGTGGTTTGCACTCGACGTCATATCGCATCTTGCTGGTGGTCATTCCTACTTGTTCTTGATGACAAAAACAATTTCGCGGGCAGCAAGGCCACCACAATACATGGTTTACACTGACGTCACATAAGAGGCCCTTGTGGCGGACATCCTGCTGGGCATGTAGTACCTTATGTAGCGTACATTGTGCACCACGGAGTTGTCGGCAATAACAAATAGGAATGACAACCAGCAGGGTACAATGACGTCGCGTGCAAGTCATGTATGGAAGATGATGGTACGTCAGCGCAATCCATTCATTGTACAGCACGAGCTGCAAGATGGCATCGATCTGTCCTCAACTGTGACCACAGACAGCCGTTGGGGTGCACGCTAAATAGCACCTCATCCCCACACTTTGGGTGCCCCTAACCGCTTGGCTCATTTTCCTGCGCATGCGCAGAACTTCCCCACATGACCAGTGCGACATTCCAAACTGCTTGAGGAACCCGATGTGTTCTCACACTATTTTCAAACTTTCTATTCTCTGTGTCCAGCACCCTTTGTCGTCGCCTTGCGTTCTCGTACAGCAGACGACGGCGCGAGTTTTTCACGAGTTTTCAGTGGGCGCAGCAACAGACAAAGACCATCCAGATGAGCGTAAGAAGGTCCAGGGCTGGTGAACGCGAGCTCCCGTTGGTGAGGACAGTCACTCGGGTGTCACTCAGAACTTCCAGGAGCACGCAGGGGCCGTGCGGGGGTTCTGGCCGGAGCATATCCAGGGCTACGCCTCGGAGTGGCCACGGACCGGCACAGTGACCGGCGGATAGAAGGGCTCTGGGCTGCTCCCACATCCAGGCCAGGTGGCAGTCACACTCGAAGCTGTTGTTGGACAGCGCGACCCCCGGTCCAGTAGGAAGAGAGTCCACCTGCACGGATACACACCCGTGCAAAGAAAGCTTGCGGAAAGAAGTAGTCGTGGTTTGCGACTAACCGCCACCGCCACAGGTTGCTTATAATTAGGGTTTAGTGTTTTCGTGTTTTTTTTTCGAATTCGGGGGTGTTTTTTCGATTCTTAGTTTTTCGGTATTAATTTGTGGGGTTGGTAAAACAGTCGGGGGTTAATCGGGGTTTAGTTTAAAGAAAAGAACACCGGCATTAGATTCCCCGATTTCCAGGGTACATACAGGTGTCCCCTGATTACCTGTAAAAAACATATCCGTACTAAGAAAAAAAGAAAAAGATACGAGATAAGAATTGTGGTTTTGAAGCAAGAAGAAGCCTCGCGGACAGTTCAGATTGAGTTATGTTTGAGTTTAAAAAAATCAAAAATAAAGCTGTACTTTAAACTTTTCTCCCTGTGAAACTTCGGTTTTTCTTATTTAAGCACAGCACCAATTCGGGGTCTTTCGAATTTCCCTAATTTTAACAGAAACAACCGCTAGGGTTCATTTCTGTGGTTTAGCGGTATCTGCAGAAAAAAGAAAACGGAACCCCAATTATAGTATTTGAAGTAAGTTAAAGAAGGTCATACAGAAGATAACGTCCGTTCTCAATCTTGCGACCGAGTAAGACCGAGAGAAACCAGACCGGTTTTTAAGCCCCTTGCGATCTCTTAGGACCAGCTCTGCTGCAGCGCATCCGGTCCTAAGAAGTCGCAAAAGGCTTAAAAATTGGTCTGGTCTCTCTCGGTCTTACTCGGTCGCAAGAGTGTGAACGGCGCTACACAGTTCATCCGAGGATGATAGAGAAGGACGACAAAAGGGAACAAAGGAAGAGAGCGGATTAGACGAGGCACAGATTTTCGAGCAAATGCTCAAAACGCTTGAGTTCCTAAAAGCACGAAAAGGCCAGATGATCGAAAGGCAGGCGTGTCTCAACTGTTGTTTGGCGGTTAAGAGAGATCAAATTTCAAAATATCTTTAAGATAGCGTCGGGTGTCTTTGCTGTAGATGAGCAGGTTGACCAGAGTATTTTGACGTCTAATCTGGGGTCTTGCATTACACAGTTATTACACGGGCTCACGTCGGTACGATCTTCATCCAGATCGCAACTGGCGTAGGTCGGTGATCAAACATAGGGCTAGTACCTAGGTTGTGCAGCCCGAATGGCAGAGGTTAGCTTGGGTGCATGGCTAACCTTTCATTATAATGAACACGAATGATTACTTTTTTTGGTTGAATTGGGACAGTTTTGCGCGCTTTGCATCGTTATTTCAATTTTTTTTAATCAAATAGCCAGTACTCAAATTAAGGATGTCCTCATTGTACCAAGAAACTATGTAATTGCTTTGTATAAATTGAAGCGAGCGAAATAATCCCAGCGCTGGTACGCCCGTTGCTGATATATTGCATGGCTTCTTACTGTGATATATACATAGCTTCACCAGCAGCAGCTGAAAGTTCTTCAGTCGACCTGTTTACAATAGGAAGGCATGTTGTATACTTGTCGTCACATTAATAAGAGGAAAAAAAAAGACGTTTTTCGTATCATTCATGCGATGTTCGAAGTAGTTGCTACAATATATCGGTTTCGGAGGAAGAAGCGATGATTTTGGCTTTTCGAAGGAAGAAGCGACAATTTTGGATTTTGGCTTTTGATGATTTTGGCTTATATTTTGATAGAATTACATAAAGCTAATCTAAGATGCATCTGAATATATCTTACTTCAACAGATGAAGAAAGAAATTAATGACGTTCCGCTATGAGTCGGACTTTTTTTTACTGCGGTTCTTCGGGTGAAAACGAGTTGAGTTTGAAGACAAGCATAGTTTGAGCAAGAACGTTAACAAGTGTTACATTGAACGCATATAAAAAACTCGTCCAAGTGTGTATGCGCGGGTGAATATAATAAATAAACAAATAAATAAATAAATATATGTTTTTTTTACGAAGTAACCGACCAGTACAGTTGCAGTGTTAACCGCTTAGTGTCTTATTTCTTTAGCTATAACAAAGAATCATGAAAGGCCTTCCTGCACAGAAAAATTATGGATAGCAGCAATAAGATAGTAACACTGCATGTAGTGGAACATTGCATAATTTACGAGTGTGTCCTTGACTTTAACGACAAGACAGTAGACCGCGAGGTTTCGTCTGCAACTCTTGATATAGTATTTTCACAGAAGGAAGACGAGTCGACGAAGGCAATGATTCCATTTGGAACAAGGAGTTAATGCAAAACGTCAATGAGAGTGGAAGGAGGCAAAGACAGAAAAAGGAGACGTGCTTTACGTACCCGCTGAAATTCGTTCTGAGAGATGGATACGTTAGGAAGAGAAGAAAGGGCTCGCAGGGTCTGTCTGCCGACGAACGGCAAAGCGTTCCGTTCGAAGACAAACACGTCGACAAGCTGGGCCAGAAGGAACTTGTGCCTGAGCTCGCCGAATTGGCATCCGGACACCACGACTCGAGACACGTTGTGTAACACCAGGGCCCCTTGGTCAGTGTCACCGAAGGTGCAGTTGATCAGCTGCACGCTCGAGAGCGAGTCTGCAACCAACGACGCGTTTTGCATCCTCGCCACGGTGCAGTTTTCCATTCGGAACAGACTGGCGTTGGCCAAGAGCAGAGCCATGCTGTGCAGCGTGCCCAGCCGCGAGTCCCGGAAGTGAATCTCGTCGACGCCCATCAGGCCGGACAGACCGGCCGTCGGAACCTCGTCCATGGTAACGCTGTTCAGCTCAATCAGCGCCGTTTCTCGAAGCCCGTGCAGGGCGAACTGGTCAAGGACTAGGCTGTCGACCCGGCGGATACGCAGCGACGTCAGCCTGTCCACGCCTTCGAAGGCCAAGGCTCGGATCTTGAGCTGCCGCACGTCGCCGATGCTAAGCTCGTCGAGGCTCAGGCCAGCCACCAAGTACGGTGGTACCAGGACAGAGCCGCAGTGGCGCACGCTGATGACCCGCACGTCTGTCTCGTACAGGGCAAAGAGGTCGAGGTCCTCGTCGCCACGCGGGCAGACGCAGTCCACCCTGTCGCTCGTGCAGCTGCACAGCTCCAAGCTCGGGCACGAGAAGACCGCCACGGCGTCGGTCAACAGCGCGGCCCGCAGCCACGCGATCAGCAGCCACGTCTTGGCCGGATGCATCGCTACTGGCAGCGCCGACGGAGCGCGCCGGCTGAGCCGGAAGCCGCCGCTTTCGTCTGCAGCGCTCGCGGACGCGCTTCCTGCTGCCATTTCAGCAGTGCACAACTTTCCGGGCCAGTCGAGATGAATGAAGAGCGGGAGTGAGAAACTTTGATTGCACCTCAAGATCCGTCTGCACTCTAAAGGCCCGTTCACAGATTTGCAACCGAGTACGACCGAGTGACACAAGACCGGCTTTAAGCCTCTTGCGACGGTGTAGGACCAGATGTACTGCTGCGGAGCAGGTCCTAAGCCGTTGCAAAAGGCTTAAAAACCGGTCTCGTTTCAGCTGGTCCTACTCGGTTGCAAGTGTGTGAACGAGCCTTAAACGTAGTCAGTTCACTTTGCTAAAGAACACGGATACAGCCAGTAACGGCGAACAATCGCGAATACGGTTAGATCAGAAAATGCGATACGTGCAGGGACAGTTAGAATGACGTTTGACTAAATTGCTCATTGTCTCTGCACACATAACATTTTTTAAGAAGATGTGATCGTATTCTGAGCTTCTTCCTTCACTGGGATCCTTGTATTGTACGCCGTCATATGCAGCCTCCATTTCTTTTTGCGAAAAGTAAACAGTAAATTTTTAGAGTGTATTGGCTCAACAATATTGCTGCAGAAAGCTGTGCCGGTGAAGAGCGAGACTGCACGGTGTATACGGCTGTCAACGTTAGATGCTTTGACGATCAAACTAAGTTTTCTGAAAATTCATCCGATATTTTAACTAAAAAATAATCCGCATGCTTTTTTTTTTATCTTGTGCAACGGCTTTTACGTTGACCGCATATGTTAAGCGAACAGGAAAAAAAAATAACGCCTTGAACCAAACCTTAGCTGTTTAGCCCGCGCGTGGTGTGCCATGCAGCTTTACCATTCCAGTTTTTACATATCTACAGCCCGACACGTGCGTTCGGCGCACTTAAGGATGCCGTACGCGGAAAAAAAAACAAGAAAAGAAAACCGGCTTTCGCTTTTTGGAGCTGTGTGAAGACTGTCACGGTATGAATCATTCAGTGTTTTTACGTGAACGTCACCATTTTGAGGTTTCTGTCGTAGAGAGTGAAATGTTTTAATTATTTTTTTTTAGCAATATTGTATAAGGCGTAGGGGAGGTTAACAAAATAAAAAGTTGACAATGGTGAGACGCATGAAAATGAAAGCATTTATAGAATACAAAAACTAATACCTACCTGGTTGAGCTAGACACTATTTCTTTATTTCACTCCAAAATTAGGTATGGTATTTTGCTCTGGTGAGCGACATCTGCGTACTATAATACCTATTTATTTATTTATTTATTTATTTATTTATTTATTTATTTTACCCTCAAGGCGTGAGCATTACAGAGGGGGAAGTGGTTGCATAAGATATCGAGAAAAAAAAAACACAGACACAGATACACAGGAAATACAATCAGTGTAGATTAGAAAAGAAATACTTTCCAAGGCTTTTTTAAAAAGGACGTGATCTATGATCGAGACTACGGGTGCAGCCAGGTGGTTCCAGTCAAAGGATGTAGACGGTATGAAGGAATGGTGAAAGACGTTGGTGCGAGCATATCACATCAGATTTTCCAAAAGAAAATCTGATGTTTGAAACTTACAAAGGTGGTAAAATAAAGTTAAGGATACAGGCGCTCTTTATCAATTATATTATGGTTAAGGCAGACCAAATATACTAGTTCACACCTTTTTGCAATAGATACACAAAAAATACAGTAGAGTGACTACACTCACAAACAGCTTAAAAGCGTGCACGTTTCGAAACGAAAAGCGATGATTATCTTCCACGATAACAAACTGTGGCAGATAACTCTCAAAGAGAAAGTTAAACAATTCTGTAATAAAAACAAAACGAAAATTGTTTTTATTTGGCTTTCAGGATAACGAACATCGAGATTATTTTTCAATTTGGTGCACGTCATACTAGGAGTTTTCGGAATCCCTACTCTCGCGCATCTTCAGTGCCTGTCACAGCTATGCACGCGCACTCTCGCTATTTTCAAGAAAAGGTCAGAAAAAGACGTCCCTAATGGTGTCAGTGCGGGGAAATATACCTGGCAAGCTTGCAATCGCACTCACTGCCCACACGAACGAAACGCAATAGACCGATCTCACCGGCCAGTTTGACTACGCCACCGCTGCCGCAATGCAGCGAGGGAACTTTAGTCTTTTTGCACGTGCGACAACCTCGCTGGAGCTCTTCGCGTGTAGAGCACGAGAAGGCACGAGCCCTTGCGTGCACGGCCGTCTGCCTCCTGTGAACTAAAGTTATGGCGGCTTTACGCATGCGCCCACCGCTTAGTGAGATCGGTCTATTGATGGCCAAAAGATCGTTTTATGACGTCACAACTGGTCGAAGGTTTTTCGTGTTTTCTCGAGTTTACTTACATCTTCGGAGCAAACGAACGTGATATTCAGACTCACCGAGTAAAAATACTCCAAAATTCAACTCTAACTTTTTCTTTTTTTTTTTTTTTTCAAGATTCACCTTTAACTCGTTTAGTTTAAGAACCTCTACTTTTTAAGTGATAAAATTTATAAATTGAACACATGTATAAACAAATGTTTAAAGTATAAGCATTTATGAAACGCTTTATAGGTTAAAAATAACTTAATGCAGCGCCTGCTTGTTAGCAATACCGCATTTTTATCGGAATAGTGAATTGCATAACCAACAACAGTTGTAGCCCGCAATGTGGTTTCACTGTAATTTTATTTGAACTAGTTGTTGTTCAAAGGTCATATTGCATTCTAATTTTTTTTCGAAGTGTTATTGAAAACTTAAGTGTAGCTCCGTCTGTCACATACTTTATTCTAGCGCAGCAATTGAGCGTCTGCTCTTTTTTTTTTTTTTTTGTCGTTTGCGCGTTATGTTTGATGACGTTCACCTATGAACTCTTCCAGCAAATGATATTGATATCCGTTTAGTTTCTTGTTTTGGTTTGTTTTGTAGAAGTTTTTTCCTGTGAGGGGATGACCAAAAAGGAACGATTGCACGATGGCAGAACAGAAGCAGCTTTATTCTCGGCACCTCCCCGAACGGTCTTATCCCGCATTAAGCGTGAAAGACATGACAACCGCTGGCGGTCATTGATGGTTTCCCTATAGTTACGTCGCGCGGCGGTGCGATACGACGTGAGTTTTGCTCACACGTGTTTCACGCTTCAGCGTCGCTCGTGCTTGGAACGCTGCAGCACCCACTCCACCAGTTGGCGGCGCACCAGCTTGCCCAGCTTGTTCCGTGGGATGGCGTCGGTCAGCGTGACACCGCCTTCCAAGTGCAGGCATGACAGCGCATTCTCTGCGGCGGTGAAACACCGAATTTTGACCGATGATTCCGCGGTACGGAAGTTCGTGAACCCGAAGCGGCTTCGGTCACTATACCCTCGCTCCCCGGTCTCGATTTAGACACTAATTGTGAACGTTATTTAACGATTTCTTGACTCGTCTAATACGTGGTCGGTTGTACTATTAGGCCGCAACACGCAGATTACTCGGGTATGCAGACGGGTACTATGTATGACAGAAATAACAAATAATATGCACGCAAGCTGGTGAACTTTCTCCATCTTAGAGTCCCGAGACTCGAGAAACAAAGAAGGGGACAACACTGTCACAGATGCGCTAACTCTTGTCCCCCCCCCCCTTTTTTTTTGTGTTTTGCTTCCTAAGTTTTGGGTTTTCGGCATGTGCTAATAAGATGTGTGATTTTGCGGATGTCCTCATTTTGGTAAAGGTGCCCGATTTTGGGGTCTGCGCGCAAGCGGGTGCAGTATGCGGGTGAATGCAAGAAGTTACGACCCCTGCGAGCCTGAAATTACGCCCGCATCTGCCCATGAGTCAAGACGTGATAGAGACTATACGAAGCTCAAGTTCGTCTGCTTCTTTTGTAGAGGTTCTGCTGATGTCAGAACGCCGAGCTCCGATTGGTTCTGAATAAAGTATAATGGGTAGGCCTCAAGGCAGCTTGCTTCGAGGTCTACCCACCACCCTACAAGCAGAGCCAATCAGAACTCGTTGTTGCTCTGATGCCATCGGAATCCCTGTGGAAGAAGCAGACGACTTGCTCTCCGCGTAGCCCTTTGCTAAAGTCGCCTTCTGCGCGCCGCCATCTTTGTCTGCTGGGCTGTGGGACGCCTTCTGAGCACGCGCTGTTGTTCTGCTGTGTGACAGATCGGACGCTGCGCATGCGTCCACGGCTGAGTGACTCGGCATTTTTTCGCTCGGGTGATAAGCGATGCAAAGGTCTATACGATGCACTCGCGTCATCCTAACGCGAAGCCGGGGTTTTGTGGATCGCAAGATGCGTCAGAGGCTGCGGTGTACCTTTCATGAAGTTGACGAAGTGTTCCTCGCCCACGGGTTTCTTTGGAACGATGACGGCGTGCAACAGTTGCGTGGCCTCCGGATCCGGCAGGCCGACCACGGCGCAGTCCGCCACCTACGGCAAGAACGCGGTTAGGTGAGTAAAGTCGCGGTCACGCTCATCTTAGATCATAAATAAGACACGACGTTCGCTTCACACATGACAACACAACTCATGTCTCATGCATGCTTGAAGCCCGTTCGCTTCATACCTCCGTAGGCTTTGGAAGGTTTGCAGGCAGGTTTAAAGCTTGAAATGCTTTTTTTAACGCTGCCCACCCCCCTTTCCCAAAGCCCAAATGTTTGTCCGTCCGTCCGTGTGTTCGTCCGTCCGCCGGGGCATTTTCCGCTAAATTTAGCGGGTAAACTGATGTCACGTCACCTGACGTCACAAGACCCACAGACAGAATTCAGGTTCCCCGCTAAATATAGCGGAAAAAATTGACGTCAAGTGACCTATACACGATATCGGTTTCCCCGCTAAATTTAGCGGCAAAACTGATGTCGCGCGACCTGACGTCGCGGGACCTGCCGTCGCGGGACCTGCCGTCGCGGGACCTGCCGTCGCGGGACCTACGGACAAATTCAGGTTCCCCGCTAAATTTAGCGAAAAAAATGATGCCACGTGACCTATGCCCCAATTCAGTTTCCACGCTAAATTTTGGGCGAAAATTGACGTCACGCGACCCAACTTCATCTTACCTAAACGCACATTCGGCTTAAAATAAAATAAACAAATTAATCAATTTTGGTTACACATTGATTATACAAGAAGGCCCCCAGAGTTCTTTGTATGGAGGCTGGACCGTCGTGTGAGCAAAAGAACTGTCTGCAGACTGCCTTTTTGTATCTTCTATTAGCAGTCTTTCCGCGGCCCAGCGAATATTGGGAACGAGAACTCACTGAAAGTAAGAACAATGGGGAGTTTTCGTAGACCGCGTTTCCCCCTCCGCTGAGCCCTCCGTAACGAAGACGCCGCTACTGCGCCTGCGCGCTAATGGCCTTGCATGTAGTGTTCCGGGCATCGTAGCGGGTTGCGGGGAGCGTCGCGGGATGGCAAAAGCGATCTACGAAAACTCAGTATTTTTATTTGCATTGAAAGACTGGTGGGAGCTGGAAAAAGGTTCGGGGGACACCTAAGCACTTCTTATGAGTTGCGAGTGCGAAAGCATGCACGCCGCTCTTCCGCTCCCTTCTTTCGTCTGCGGCGTAATTGCGTCGACGGTCGAGCGCGCGCGCTAGCTCTCCTCGGCGCGCTGACCTTGGGGGGTGGAGCGGTGGAGCCGCTACCTCGCGGACACGCAGCGCCTTGGGGTGGCCGTCGTTGAAACTGACGCGCAGCGGCCAATGGGACCCTCGTCGACGCGCGCCAGCAAATGGTGACCGAAGCAGAAATCCATCAGCTTTATTCCGCTCCTTTGGGATGGGGGAAACTAGGTGCCGTTTGGCCAGGCTTTTCACGTGGTTTCATAGCTGGGAGATAGGTTCACTTGGAGAAAGGATTTAAGGTGCCGTTTTTCGCGGCTTCAAACCTGATGTCGTCGGCTCGCTTCATAGGGCAGTTAATGCTTTTGCATTGAAAGAAAAAGCTGTCCGAGCGGCTTTGCTGGTCCTTGGCCCCTTCGGTTCCAGTGTGGTGCCTGGTACGCGACTTCGACTGTTGTTTCCTCCGGTTCCTTAAATGGGGTTCTCGATTTCCGTCCGATGACGCCGTAAGAGTGCCACGCTGTTGCTTGTCGGGATCCTGACGGTAGTGAAGCAGCGGTTTTGGTGCATGTGGCAGAAAGCCTGTTCTGCTGCGGGCCACTCTCCAGTTGGACGATTCACGGAAGCTTCGGCGGCCTGGAGTTGGGACGCCGCGACGACAACTTCTCAAGTTTTAAGTGGGAGCTAAAATGAATAAAAATATAATTTGTCTCTCTACCTACACCACCAAACGATAAAACATGTTTAAACCAATTATTAATAAATAAATAAGGTCGACTATGACCGAAAAGGAAATTTCGATTTAAAGACTAATCAACAAAAACAAAAAAGGGGGAGGCAGCGAAATTAATAGATCGGGTACGGGCTCGCCTTTTGTCAGTAAACATTTTACGTTTTACACTTTCTAACGAGAGCTAGAATGAATAAAAATAAAATTTGCCTCTCTAACTGCACCACCAAACGGTATAACAGGTGTAAAGCAATTAAACATAAATAAATAGGGTCTAATATGACCAAAACGAAAATATTGGTTCAAAAGCCAGTCGAAAAAGAAAAAAAACAGAGAGGCAGCGAAACTACTATATCGGGTACGGGCTTCTGTTTTATGAGCAGGAATTTATTCGAGTGTAAAATCAGCAGTAAGGCCACCAGAATGGCAAACAATAGGAAATGAATTCATGCCAGCCATGTACACGTTAACAAAATCAAGCAACGCCCTTTTTGTCACTTTTTGGTACCCCAGATGTTTATATGCGAGAAGTGGCCGGGAATGCTAACAATATTTTATGTAAATAGGCCTTGATGAGCAATCCGGGGGCTTTAAGTTGGAGTCTCGGCGAGAAAGTCGATCACCGAGCGCCGCGATTGGCCAGCGCCAAGGTCGAGCACGGCGCTGACCAATCGTGGGGGTCGGAGATCTCGCCAAATTTCTCGCCGACGTTCCTACTTAGAACCCCTGGACGTCCTCTCATTTTATACATAAAGATTTCCAGGGAGCGAGTCGTTGAACCCTAAAATTCCAGAATCCTTAGTTGGCTCTGCGCTTCTTGTTCCTCATCATCGGACTAAAATAACGCCCTCAATTTATCCGAAACGTTTTGGGATATATACCTCGGGGCATCGCAGCAGCATGTACTCCACGTCAGCGGGGGGCACCTTGTGTTCCCGGAACTGAATCATCTCGCTTATGCGCTGCACCATGTAAAGCCAGCCGTCCTCGTCGCTGTAGCACAGGTCGCCTGCGTCAAATTAAATCCCTGTGATGATGACTGCTTACTGGACGTCACTTCTTCTGTGGACGCCAACGTGTGGTCTGCCACATTGGACCGCGACGGCACGCCAACGGTTTCTACTAACACCACTTAAAGGACAAGCCCCGCACATATATCATCATCATTAGGCGATCCTCACAGCGCAGCCTAGCTCGATATCGCGTCGCAGTGAACGCGTCCAGAAGCGTCTTTCTATAGCTTGAACAACCGTCGAAGTTTCAGTGAGTCAATCTATAACGCGTCAGAAGGAGGCGCGTGATTATGCACTAATATAGTCGCGTGCAGTGCTGTCGAAGCAACACGTCCTAGACTGGAAGGCGTCAGAGCTTGCGAGTCGGGATCCAAAGATGGCGGACAGGGAAGGCCATGGCCCCGGCGGCCGGTGGTGGTGGCCGGCACCGCCCCCGGCGCCCCCATCGGCGAATCCCGTTAGCAGATGAGGATTCTTAGGCTGGATCTATTTGTTAACAATGACTTCTCGATATTTGTGAAGATAGACACACGCGTGTGTACGTGCTGGGAAATATAGTGCATTTCATTCGAAAGATTTGTGCCGTCTTCCAACTGTTATGTTTGCGCTTCAACACCAAATCGACATAGCGTGCACGTGGTGTGTCTTTATATCAGAAAAGTGCTGTATGGATATGCAAGATGATTTCGTTTGCAGCATTCGTAAATTAGATATACCAAAATTTCAACTTCATTTCTGGTGTAGATGCAAGTAGCTCTTGACAAGAAGCTCTCTGAACGGTTGGCATGCACACAGAAAGCCTCAGCCTGTTGGCTGAGACCTTCCTTGTCTAGGAGGTGTTGGTCGAAGCCATGGGTGGGAAAGAGAAACAAAAATAAACGCTTTAGTGCTTATTTTGAGTGAAAGGCTAATCAACGAGGGGGACGGAAACGACGTCTAAAACACACAAAAGTGGGTCCGGGTAAGAGGGGTGTTTGATGCTTCTCCTGCTCTTTAATTGATGGGGTCAAAAGCTTTTACCCCTGGTCTTTTAGCATGGATTGTCAGGTGTTTCGCCTCTGTCTCTCTGATTGGCCCGAAGAGGCCGTAGTGTTTACTCGTTGCCAAGCTGCTGTGAAACAAAATACAGCCCACGGGAACGCCAAGACGCATGCGTCTGCCGCCTTGCCGCGTATATTGTCGTCGAGTTTCGGCGCGCTTGCCGCATGGGGCGGGTCGGGAATTTGCTTAAACGCTGACGTAATAGGCAGGCCTTGGTGTTCTTGACGGTATTTATCTTACCGGTCCTATACCAGCCGTCAGCGTCGGTGACGGGCTCGTCGAGACGTTGCCAGTATCCCCGCATCAGTCCTCGGCCCCGCAGCAATAGTTCGCCTCGCTCACCGGGACCCAGGGCCTTGCCAGTGTTCACGTCTCGGATCTGCGAGCGGTACCCAACATCCGGTTGAAATATTACCCACAAGAGAGGGCTCGTGCCGTTCTTTCCGAGGCTTCCTTATTAGTGAATCCACACTGCGCCGGAGCATATACACTTATTCTTAGAGCCACCGATGCAGCTTAACATAGAGTTACTCAATCACTTTCTCTACGTGGCTCCGAGGCAAAGCGCCGGCCTGTGAGTCTCTCAGGTGCAAAGTTCGAATCCCTGCCAAGGTTTCCGCCGTGTAAGCAAGGTTTCGACCGGTGGTCGCAATGAATCCTCAGTCCTCCGCTTGGGCGTGCGAGATGACCTTCGTAGGTATAGGCTCGTAAAATCACTCAATTTGATTCAACACCCGGTCTGCCGGCGGCTCTCCGCTCTTCGCTGCTACGCGGTGCAAGAGTCAACGTGAGTTGTTCGCACATGAACCTCCTGTACGGAGGTTTACACACTGCTACAAGTTAATTTGCCCTATTAAGGTGGCTGTTGTATCGATTCGGATCAGGGTCAATTTGGTCGGTGTTGTACGGCTGCACACCGGTGATGTGCAGCTTGCTTCGCGCAGTAGTGATGACGCTAGCAAACGCCAGTATACTACCCCACGACGAACGCGGGCCTTCGCTGAAACCAACGAATTCGCGCCTGAGTTGAAGGGAACCGCAGCAACGTTGACCCGAGGGTCCTTCCATAACACTGGTGGAGCTCACCCCGACCGAGAAGGGGCGAGTAGTCCATACAGCGTGCAAATTCCTGCGCACTTTGCGCACCTCGTGCGTTTGTTTACACTCCTAAAAGTACCCACGTGCGTTTGCTTCCCCGCACCTTGACCAATGACGGGGCGCGTCTGGCCGCTTCGTCATGGCGCATTCTCTACGTTGACCTTCGACGCGCCAAAAACTCATTTTGGAGCACTTGCTCGCCGTATACTCTGTTTCAGTACAAGTCCGTCCGCAGTCGACACTACGACCTGGGACCCTAGTCTGGCCAACTGGCGAAGAAGTAGGCGAGAAATCTGGCGGCCGTGATTGGCCAACTCTGCACTTGACCTTGGCGCCGCCCAATCAGAGCCGCGGGATTTCTCGCGAACTTTTTCGCCAGTGTCTAGATTGGGGCTCCTGATGAAGCAAAGCAAGCGGCGCCAAAAGTGCGTCGTCACGGAGCACGTCGTCTTTGTGCGTTTATTAGAGTTCTAGTAATACGTGTAGGAGCAAACGCAGACCCCATACGTTAACGTTAACGTTGCGTCCTCCACACTGCGCATGCGCCATACGTACGTACTGCGGCGAGCCTTGCGTACGTACGCTCGCTATCGATTTTTGCGAACGTACGTAGCGGTCCCCTGCGTGCCATCTCGTTGCTCTCGTCGCGCACGGGAGAGCGCGAGACTAGTCCAGTTTGAAAAATGGCGGCGGTGAGGCAAACCAGCGGAAGTGCTACGCGCATTGTACGGGTTCGCTTTACCATTGAAGATGACATAAACCTCCTCAAAGAAGTCAACGCGACGAACCCTTTCGAGCACCCACAAAGATGGGTGTCGATAGCCAAGAACGTTGACGACGCCGTTGAACCCAAAAAGAGGTTCACCGTGCAATCGGCACAAAAAGAAAAAAAAAAAAAAGGACAAAACACGTACACAACTTCCGTAACAAAGCGATGAGAATCGGGGCTTTGGATTGGCTTGACCGAATAGCCGCCTTGGATTGTTTGCAGCAGTTTACAGGAGCACATCTGGATGTCGCTACAAGTCTTTACGTATGCGTTCTTCTTCCGCTGTACTAAAAGTGCGTATTCGACGCGCTCCGTAACGTTCCGTCGACGCAACGATAACGCTAACGTAGAAGGTTTGCGTTTGCCCCTATACGTATTACTAAAACTCTCTATTATCACCGGTGAAACCAATCACGCAGAGGGAATGTCCTTTGATCCTGCGCTTTTTTTTCCGCTTCATCAGTTTGGTCGCTGATGGCGAACCGACAAATACGACGAGCGCCAAGACGATGCATTTTTGTCGCTCCTTGATTGGTTTTATCAGGTTGTAATCATGCGCAATGCAAGGCTTACGTATGACGTCATCGTTAGTGGATCTTTGACCCGCCCCAATTAAGCGGCAAACTCGCCGGAGCTGGACGAGAGCCGACGCAAAGCCGGCAGACGCGTTCGTCTGGGCGTTGCCGCGTGCTACCGTTGTGAGACGCTGCAACACACGCTGGCGGCGATGGTGACGGGAAGAAGGCAGCGCTGCGTGGATTCACAACTGATGACGTTTGAAGGGGGAGGCGCAGGCCTTGTCTTCTAAGGGGTATTGGCTCCGCTCGGCAAGATAGAAAGGCGCGGTAAGAGAAGACATACCATGCCCTCGATTCCCGCGCCCAGTCGGCCCATGGATGTGAAGTTGGGCGGTTGCCCGTAGATTCCTGCCGAGACGAATATGATCTCCGACTGTCCGTACACTGCGAATAGGCAGAGCAGCGTTAGGACCAGCGAGCGTCGAGGTCAGAGAGAGTTGCCAAAAGCCTCTAGACCAACACCAGTGCCTCATGACATTGAGCTGCCTCGATATTCTCCTCTATACAGGTCACTATATCACTGACAACGTTTCGAATTGCGGGACGTTGAGAGTCCGAAACTTCCTATTACCGTTCTGCAGCCAGTGAAGTTTCTGTTATCAGTTGATAAGAACGGATCACGAGGAAAGAAGCGAGATCGGCCGCGCCCTGCAATTCTTAAGCTATCGGTTACTATATCGGGGATCATAGCCTCGTGTTCTGCGAGGTCCGATGGTACAGCAGGGCCGGTGCGTGCACCGGTGACCGTAGGGCCTGTTTCGGAAAGAGCGTGGGCCCACTCACGCTGCGCGAAGCTGGTCAAGTTGAGCTTCTCGAACAGGCCCTTGGAAATGTCCGGCGAGATGTACGACGTAGCCGTGGTCAGGTGCCGCAGCGAGCTCAGGTCGTAGCGGTCCAGGTGCGGGTACGCGAGCAGCTGCTGGGCCACAAACGGCACCGTGCACAGCGCCGTCGCCTGGCACAGGGAGCGCCTCCGTCAGACGACGTAATTAATTGCGTCGAGTGCGGTACTCGATACGGGTAATAAAATGATTCGTAATTCGAGTAATTTTGTAATAGTTTAATTACATTTATTAGGAAATGATCGCGAGGGTAATCTGATAATTGAAAGGGCCAAAATTACTTCTAATCGTTACCATTTTCCCCACCACTTTTTAATGAAGTCTTTTTTTTTTATTTTTGGCAACCTTTCTACAAAGGAATCCTCGAACTAAGCCTCTAACAAAAGGCTGGTCTAAAAAAAGTGTTGAACTGAGAAGATATGTAGTTTATAATTAGGCGACTCTAATAGATTGATTGACAACACGAAACACCGGTTTTCAAACCGGCAGAAGACTGTCGTTTCCAAAATCCGAGGTGATCGAAAAAGTAACGATTACTGCTTAAAGGGATACTGAACCAAAGAATTTAGTGTCCATAATAAGTGGCGCACGTTCTTTCCACGAGCCAGCACCCGCTGGTGTGCGGGAGCACACGCAACCAAAATGGCGTCAGAGACCTCAGTTCGCGGTTAAGATGACAGTGAAATGTAAAGGCTTCGGGCCAAAAGAGAATAAAGACAAGATTTCATCTACACAGTGGTGTCTGGTGTAAAAGGTAAGCGATTAATTGGAGTAACAAGGACGTAGCTTTCACTTGTGGAGATGAAAAGCCTGTCCTTATTCTCCTTTGGCCTGCAGCCCATGCATTTCACTGTCCTCTTAAGCGCGAATGGAGGTCTTTGACGTCATTTTTGTTGCGTGTGCTCGCGCACACCGGCGGCTGCTGGCTCGTGGAAAGAACGTGCGTCACTTATTGTGGGCACTAAAATCTTTGGTTCAATATCCCTTTAAAGTAGCGACCAATTAATCTTTAAAGTAGTTAAGTAATCCTACATTTTTTAACTAAGAATAATTGTAGTTGTAATCAATTACTTTTACCAAGTTATGTGTGCAAGACTGAGTCCCAGTGGGCATCAAAAATAAACCACGCCGCATATAACGTCCAGCCTCTGGCCAAAATGTGTACGATAGCGGTCCCGCAAGATGGCAGTGTTTGAGAACGAATCGTGATCTCGCTTAAAAATTGAAAGTGATTTTTTGAAACTTGCAGTCTACGAATGGGGCCCGTTGGCAGTAGCTTTGCACCATTCGGACCCACAAATTCGTGTGCTTCGTCATACACCATTTTTCCATCGAAAATTTCCGAAAATCGCTTCCAACTTTCAAATAAGATAACGGTTAGCTCTGAAGCTATGGTATCTGGTCTGGACCGTTAGCGTTTTACATTTTAGTGGTTATTTTTGCGGTCAAAGAAACTAAATTTTAGGAAGGACACCCTGGACACGATAGGAAATTCAGCCAGTGCAGTACCACCGCTGTACACTCCGTTTTACGTCAAGCAACAGGTCCCGGGTTCGAATCCAGACCGAAGGGCCCGCAATCTGACGGAGGCTCATTGCGGACAAGGCGCCGTGTAACCAAGCTTTCGCTTCCGCGTCAAAAGATCCCCACACTCTAAAAAAAATCCCGTGCGCCTACTTTCCCGCAGAACACACGGAGAGCCAATCACCGCAACTTACGGAGACAGCTCAGCGTATGACGATGCCGAAGCATATGTTTAGACCCAAAACCCCGTCTGAGTTGTGACATTAAGACCTGGTTCACACTTACAGCTAATCCGCTGCCGCCGAAGCGGAATCGGCCGCGGCAATGCACAGTGGACGCTAAGCCCGGCGGCCGAATTCTTGCAGATTCGCCCGCCGATTCGCAAGTGTGAACCAGGCCTAAGGAGAGCATGTGGTCGAAATTACTCCTCAGCCTTCCGCTGGGGCGTGCCAGATGCCCGTCGTTGGTTTTGGCACTTAAAATATCACAAATCTGATTTGATCTTTTTACGTAAAGCCCGACAGCAGCTAACCCTTCGTTTTGACGGAGGAAATTGACAGCGCCAAAATTGCATCGTCACAGCGCTCTTCCGGTTTTGTGCGCTTGCATCCAGGGCTAAATCAATCACGCGCAGAAAATGCCCCACGAATCTTATTTCTTTTTTCGTGATCGGCTTAGTCAGAATAGCAACCCCAGAAAGACAAGAGTCGTGTCGTGACGATGCCCCTTTTGTGCCGCTTGATAGTCTCTATGGGATCGGAGCATCGGCTGCGATTGAACTTAATGTGAGGAGGAATATAGACATTTCCAGCGCTTATCACCCAGCTTATCACCCAAATATGAGCGGCGTCTCATATTTTGTCGAAGAGAGCTGCGGCGCACTCTCAGAACGCTTTCCGCAACCCAGTAGAGCAAGATGGCAGCCCCCACAGAAGGCGATTATCGCAAAAGTCTATGGCCAGTGATATCTTTAACACGCATCGCGCGGCAGTGATACACGACCGCACGCCGGTTTATTGCCCATCCAGATAAAAACAATCGGCAGGGAGGCGGTATTGGAGCCAGAATCACCCGGGTTCTGCGGCGCGAGGCTCTTCTTTGCCATGTACCTACCCGGTGTTTTTGGAGGGCCTCCAGGAGGGCCTCGATGCTAGCCTTGTACTCCAGGAAGACGGTGGAGGCGCCCTGGACGATCCCCTTGCACACGCAATCGAAGCAGGCGTACACATGGCCCAGGACGCTCGTGCACACCAGCACGTCCTCCTCGCCGAGAGACAGCTGGTCGGGATGCCTGCATGAAGACCGGACAAGCTTCCCATTGCTAATACATATCCTACAAAAGGACCCTCGTACACTGACCGAGGCGTGCTTCTTCCTCGAAGGACAGGTCTGTCCCATTGGGAGTAGAAAAACTGTCTGTGGACATGTTCGCGCGAAGCACAGAATGAAGCAAACGTGCCTTGAACACGTTTGAGGCGTGAGCGCAGACACTTCTGCCTTCATCTCTGTAAGGAAGAGCGCGTGTTTTGTATCATGTACGAGCAGTGCGACTGGTGCTTTAGATCACAGTTCAGACGCCCTTCGCTTGATTCGGGCAACTGAAATATTGGCCTTCTATCGAAGAGCGTGGCACAGAATTGCCACCAATCATACTTCTGGCATATTCATAGTAACAATATTTAGTTCGCGCTTAATTTGCTTACAGCAATAAGAATTTGTTTTTAATTTGCATGTTGGCTCGATGTTGTGGCGTGAAAAATGTATTAATTTGTACTATCACACTTTACAGACCGTATTATATTACTTTCGTGAAGTTTATGTAATGCTCCGACTCCAGGGTTGCTAAGGCATTTAAATAAATAAATAAATAACTAAACGGACATAAACAATGAACGCCTTTTGGCGCACACTTGATTGACTCCATCGAATCGTGCCTGACGTCGCGCCGCTACAGCGGTGGCGCTGTTGTCGGCACGGCGCATGCGCAGACGCTTCATGCGGACCTCGCTCCTGCGCAGGCGCAGTGCCGCCATCATCGTCATCATCATCATCATAGGCAGACGGGTCTGTGTTCGGGACGCGAAGGGGCTCACCCGGCAGCCTGGACGCTGGCCAGAAGGGAGTCGTGCGTGTGCACCACCGCCTTGGGCTTGCCCGTCGTGCCGCTCGTCTGCGGCAGGTAGCACGGCAGCCCGGCCACGTACTCCGGGGGCCAGTGGTCGGCGCCGTCCCCGGGCTCCAGCAGCTGGCTCCAGGAGAGCGCCTTGTCACCGGCTTCTCCAGCGCCCAGTAGAACCACGTGCTAAAAAGAAACACGGGGTGCATGTTTGCATGGTGCCTGCAGCTCCGAATGTTTCACGTGTGAATTCAAGCTCTTGCACGAAGTAGACTTCTGAGCCGAGAAAGTGAGGGAGAGGAGGATACGACTGCCTACTTAGGGGGGGTACACATAACCCTATCAGCCTTTGTCTCCACCTTACTCGTCTAATGCGTTAGAAAACACAATGAAGTCGTCTGGCGCTTGGCTCTGACCAACGTTACTAGAACCACTCAGTGGGGAAACTGTCATAAAGACTGTTCTAAGAAAGTGGCACCGGTCCGTATTCGAGAACCAAGCTAATGGCGATCGCAACGCCGCCATTTCTCCCGCAGCGGCCACTCGAGGAACTGCACGTGACATCTATTTTGGCTTTAATCGGCCATTTTGGCGCCGAAACAGCTACGGTGGAAGGGGTTTTAGGGGTGCCAATCCCGTCTCCGAAGCAGACGCGCCGCGAGTTATTACCGAAGTTAGGATGCGCCTAGGTCGGGACGCGCTATCTGAAATCACCGCTGAGGCATGGTTGTTTGAAAAAAATATTAAATTTGCCGCAAAACCTTGCAAACTAAAGATTTTAGAAAACATCACGCGCCCTTCATTTTGTACTAAACTCCAATAAAAGTTACTACAAAAAGAGTCTTTTCCGTTTGTGTTTACGCAAAAACATGCTTTCTGAAAGCTCAAGGTGACCACAGTACAGACAAATGATAAAGAGTGGCGCTGTTGTCGTATTTAGCTCGGTCTCGGTGGACGCCAGCGGCCCCGATTTCAACAGTGAGTTTCCCAACTGAGGGTTCTAGTGACGTTGGCTCTGACCTTTAACGCGCTCGACGAGTGCCGTGGAGGCAAAGGCGGCTAGCTTTAGGTCTACCCACTAATCAGTCCAATCAGAGTTCGCCGTTCTGATGTCCTCGCGCGTTGTCGTCTCCTTCTCTCCCTCACTTTCTCAGCGCACACCCCGACCTCGATCTGCCATCTTTGTAATGAGGACATTCAACATTGTCTAATAAACAATGGCAGAAAAAAGGAGCATTGAAGAAAACAAGGTGAAGAGGAAGCTGAAATGGTAAAAAAAAAGTTAATGCCTCTTTTCAACGTAGTTTTTCCTGGTGAATCTAAATATCACCATCATTTGTCCTCGCAACAACATTAAACGCGGAAAGAAGTTGAAAAACGTGTAGCCGCTCATCGCCACCGAACGTCATTGGTTGGTGGAGGCGTGACGTCGTAAAACGGCCAGGCGCGATTCTAATTGCATCGTTTCGCACGACGATCAGCTGGCACTCCTTACCTCGTTTCGTCTCCGCTTCGCGTAAGCTCCTTGGATTCGCTGAGGTGCCTGGCTCTTCTGTAGAAAGATGCTCGGAAATGCGGGACTAGCAAACATTTACTGAAGATAAACCTCTTCTTCTTCCACACTTCCACAGCTATTAGTTCCGAGTTGTGAAACTAATGAGAGTGGAAGAACATCTTCAGTAAATGGGTGTTACTCCAGCAGTGTGCCTGTCCTCTTTCTTTTTATCTTTCTCTTTGTTTTTCTTTCTTTCTCTCTTCGCGCATCTTCTTAGGTTCAGCTGGCATCTTTCAAAAGCATGAATCACCAACTATACTTCGTCTCACCTTAGCATGAACTAACCGCGAATGCTGTGCTAGCGCGAGCGGCTAGCCTTGACTGCCTTGGCTGGAGCACTTGCTGCACGAGCGCTCGTGCAGCCGCCGAGGCTTCATTCGAAGCAACTAGCTCGCGCTTTTAGCACGCGCGGCTAACAATAGTCCATACTAACGTGAGACGAAGTATAGCTCAGTATCGACGACGCACGACTCTGGCTCTGCAAGCCGAGTAGCACGCGCGAGGGAGCTTTTGTGGCGTCACGTTTTCCTTCTTCATTAACCCCCCTCTCCCGCTGACGCGGAGAGGTGTGGTTTCAACGCAGCTTCGAAGGCGTGTTTTTAGGTAACACGGGCATGAAATAGCCTACTTTTCGAGATATTCGTGATGTTGAAGTCAGGTTGAAAATATTGAGGTGTTTTTAATCAAATTCAAAACCGCTTCAGCGCCTCTCACTTTTTGTCCCCTCAAGTTAAGGCGCAAAAAAGCATTAGAATGGCCATTGGGGCGTGCTGACAAGCGTTCATAGTAAGAAAAACAGCGCTTGTCCCGTGTAAAGTTCCTCGATAAACGCTTTGCTAAGTAGTGACAGTGATTGGTTTGCCGACTCGCTCTCCCATTGGTCCGTGCCGGCGTTCCGTTTCCGGTTAGCAAGACCATGGCAGATTTTACTCGTCCTCACTCTCGAGTAACGCTTTGGTACCTTGGCGTCCGTAAACCTACTCGCGTCCAGTGTTGTTCTGTATGCATTGTCACGTGACATGACCCGCTGGAGTGACTCGAAATATTTCGAACGCAGACATGGTGGGCGAGTCGGAAAAACATGGCGGACCGCCCGCTAGCAGATGACACGAGCGAGGGGAGGCGGACGGGCGACTTCGCATAGCGTTATCTACCCAGACAACACCCGACATCCTCAGGACGTCCTCGAAAGGTACAAACATCCTCACGGTTTTCAAGACGTCCTCAGGACATCCTGAGAACGTCAGTCGCTGGATCATCCTAGAAACGTCCTTCCGAGGACTTATTGAGGACGAAGGATACAAAGTTAGAGGTAATATATACGTCCTCAATTTGATTGCGTTTTAAAAACTAATAAATGAATGAAATGGCAGTAGTATACACAGTTCACGTTCACTGCTCAACTAAATTTCACATACAAATTATTACATGTAGTTGCGTAAGTTTAGGACATCTTTTAACTATAGTTTTGATCAAACAATTCTTTAATAAAACCAGGACGCACAACAATTATTATTAGTTTTGTATTTGCGCAGTATTTCGAAATTCAGTTCCATTGGCAACATTCAATCTAGGTGGAGCAAGCTACCGCCTACTACAAGGTGTACCTTCATGGCAATTATCCACCCATCTGAGAAACTCAAGCAAGCTAAGCCAAGACAGGACAGAAACAGAAATAGCGTCGAGGTTGATGACAGCTCGATAATCTGGCTGCTTGGGCTGGTTGGTAATTCATGCTTGAATGGAACAGCGCGGATACAGTCTCACTCACAGGCACACAAGAAGGAAAAAGACTCGCAGCGCTGATTAATAACTCAGTGATATATTTCTTCTTCCTCATATCGTCATCTTCTCCTCCTTCGCCGTTAATGAGAACATTTAAAATTTTTAAACACCAGACACCAAATAGCCAATAAACATTAATAAATAAATAATAAATAAATAAATGATAACTAAAAGGAAATAAAGCTTAAAAAATTCAGAGAAATATTTTTTTAGTTTAATTATTTAATTGTAATTTATTTTCTAAAAAAATATTTTTTAACTTCTTTTTTATTTTTTTTTATTTTCTTAGTTTTATTTATTTTTAGCTGTCATTTATTTATTTATTATTTACTTATTAATGTTTATTGGCTATTTGGTTTCTTGTGTTTAAAAATTCAAAATGTTCTCATTAACGGCGAAGGAGGAGATGATGACGACTTGAGGAAGCAGAAATATCTCACTGAGTTGTTGGTCAGCGCTGCGAGTCTGTATATCCGCGCTGTTCTATCCAAATTGACAATGGCAGCAATGCAAGGCAGTGACAAAGGTTAGTGTGTTTTTAAATATAGTACTTCTTCGAAATGGCGGAAAGCAATGAACGGCAATTTCGGCGGGAAAGATGCCGGCGCGTAAACGAATGCTTCGAGCTTTCCAACTGTGCGAAAGTAAACTCGGTAGCAAGGGTATCTTCCTCGCGCGAACATTAATTGTGATTTTTTTCTAGACCATCTTAGCTTTCTGCTGTGACTGTCATCACAAATCAATGTTTTAGGAGCAGTGAAATCAAATGTTGAGTGCGCAAATAAAGCTGACGTGGAGACCATCATCAAAGTATGGCTGCGCCACGCTGGAGAGAAACTGAAAAAGCTGCAGTCAAAGGCCGGAGGTGTTCGAAATGATGGTAAGTTTCTCACATTACCTGTTTTTATTATTACTGCTTATGGAATTGATTTCTTTTTGTAGATCCCGCTGACTATTCGGACTAGTGCTGGCCAAGATGCGAAGCCAGATTGCACGTCTGGTGCAGACATTGAAGAAAGTCATGTATAACATTTGCTCGCCAATAAAGTATTTCTTGAACAGCTACCTTTGTTTGCAATAATGAATGGCACGATCATGCTCATAGTTACAGGCTAAGATCATAGCGCAAGGAAATAGGCAGAGGAGAAAGCCGACAGGATGCTGGAGGGGAGAGGTTTTCTCTCCTCTTCAGCATTCCGCCAGTTTTCTTCCTCCTTTTCCCTTGCCCTATGTTCTTAAAACCTCTCACTGACTAGTAATCTAGAATTAGTGTGTGAATTTCACTTTAAAATAGTGCAAAACAATGAATTTTTTTTCTGCAGGCAGCTCTTGTAGGCATCTTCAGGTTCAAAATCCAGTTGGAGAAAACCTAGAAACAATAAAAATCAAAGCATCCTAACAGCTCAGTGAGCAGCTGCACCTGCAGTGCATTGTCCTAAAAATGTACTAGAAAAATCCTTGGCTGCCCTCCTGAGGACGTTCTAAGGATGTCCTGAGGCCGGACAATAGGACGTTTTTAGGATGTTTCCAGGATCATTTGGGGACATCCTCAGGACATCATAATGTCCTCAAAAGGTTGTCCTGAGGACATCCTGGGGACGTCCAAGTGTTGTCTGGGTAGGGACGTAAGACCTCTGTATCTTTCTTCTTTGTCCTCGTCGAGGTCGCGTTGTTTTTCACTATGAGCTGCAAACTCTATGAACCGATGAGACCAATCGAGCAACGCTAAAAGCGCAATGCCACGGCATTCGCCATCTTTCTGCGCGTTCGCTCTCACCGTCCCAGCGAATCGAAGGAACAGAATGCGCCAGCATCTTGCGTTTTTAGCCCGTGCGTCAATGCATTCGTGTCATCTATCGTCACAGGCAGGATGAGAGGGGCAGGGCATCTCCTACGTTCTTCGGATGATTGGCCTGTGCTCCACGAGCTCGTTGCCTCTTGTCTTGTTTTGGCCGGGATGCACGCTCGAAGCTCACAAGACGCCCAAGTACTCTCGAAGGCAGGAAGATCGTGCTAGAGGCGGGACATCTGAAAGACCTCCCTGCTTAGAGCCTTAATTTGACCGCGCTGAAACCTATTGGAATACTTGGTTTCGCTGAAACCAAGTATTCCAGTAGAGGGATATTTGCATTATCCGGCTGGAGATGGGAGCCAGAGGGAGATAGAAATGATAATAGAAATGTAAACAATGCCCCCGAAAAAATTGCAATTTTTTTTTCCTGATCGCGAACACAAACAACGCTTTGCTAAACGCTTATTCTCCGCCCAAATGTAGCGCTCCTCCGAACCAAATGCCAAAGTTGCAGCAGTAGCTGTTGAACTTGTTCAAAAAGTTATGACTGATTTTTTTTTAAATAATTTTCAATGGAAGAATGACGGTCGAGAGTGCTCTCGAATACATGGAGCTCTATATGGCAAAAGTTACCAAAAACCTAGCCATGTTTGCAGATGTGTGCTAGTCCTTTGTCCCTCTCCAGGGATTAGTTTCGTCATTCTTGTCCAGCTCGCTTGCACCTTTGCATTTAATCGCATTATAACCATTTTTTCATTGAAATTTAAAGAAAATCACTTATAACTTTTGAATAAGATGACGGTTAGCGCTCAAACTTTCACTTCTGGTTTGGTCCGCTAGCGCTACAATAGAATGAACGTTCGGTAGTGTATACTTTTTTAGCAATAAAAAAAAAATTTTTTTAGGGGGCGGGAAGGTGGGCACGTTGTAAGTGTAGTGGTGTGTAGTTTTGGTTACCCTCCCCTGGTGACGCTCAGAGATTTGTAGGCTAGACTCACCTTGACACAGCTGAGTCTCTCCTGAACCTGCAGGACCTTGTTCAGGGCGCTGTGCTCGCAGAGAACGGCGTCCGGCCGCAGGGGCTCCATCATGTCAACAAGAACATCTAGAAGAGTTGGTGAGTGTTAATTCCCGCGCGAGGAGGCAGCCAGTTGGGCTCTAATTTGCTCTATACCCGGGTGGGGTGAAGACGACAACTATAATTGAAAAACGACTACTTTGTGCTACGTTACGCTTCTAGAGCGCTCCAACCCTGTCTAAGCTAAGCTTGCGCGAGCTTTGACAGAGTTGACGTCACCGCACCCTCGGCGCGAGAAGCACTGAGCTCTGATTGGAAGGATAGTGGGTAGGTACAGTGGCTTGCCGGCTTTGTCTCTGGCCACTGTCTCCCTCTAGTCAGAGTGAGCGAGACCGTCACCCTCTATTAACATCCGACGTTCGAAGGCCGAACTTTGGCGTCCTCTGTGATTCCTAGCTATTGCCGTCTCTCTTACCTTTTTCTACTGCTTTCGAAAATCCACCGGTTTCTTATGAATGACGTCTTAACATTCGAAAAAGGGGATACGAAATACCCCGGAGAACGCGTTATTTTTACTGACTAACAACTACCAAGGTACGAGGAGATCACCAACAAACGAGAAAGTCACGGCCGACACGTCGACCGCTCCGGGCCGAGGAGCCGCTGCGAGGGTGAATTCGTGTGGCACACGCGGTCACTCCCTCTCGCCGCGCTTTAATGTCCTCCCCTTCCTCACTTGCGCTCCGTATGGGGCGCGGTTTCATGAAACGCCTTATCATTTCCGGGAAGCCGCGTTCCGCCATGTTGATGAACATCGTCCGTCATGTTCGCCATTGGTTCACACGGAGACGCTTATTTATTTGCGGCGTTTATTGGTGTTGGTGGAAAGCTAAAGCATGGCGAGTAAGTACTCATTACGTACGATCGGGGACATGTTTGTGCCGCATAAATCCAAGTTTATTTTTATTTGTTCCCTTCCTGAGTCGCCCAGGCGGTATCAACTATGGCCTTTATGGCGGCCGACGTGTGGACTTCTCGATTCCCGGCTCTTCTAAAGACCGAATAAATACCGCGGTATGTATAAAAATCGAGTATTTGATGATGATCCTTTGTGCCGCTGACTAAGCTTCGGCAAATGCAGTTCTTCATAACTAAAAAAAAAAAAAAAAAAAGAAGTCAACCGCAGCTCCGAGCATGAGGAGCGAAAGCGAATGTTTCAGAATTCAGGGATACTTCTACGAACGTCGCCTTCTTCAATCCCCACTCCTGCCAGTTTCGATTCGGACGAGCATCATGCCGACGTGTGGTCGTTTCACTACCGCGTGATACACGCTAAGGACCCCAGGCTAGCAGGGGGACCGTACTTGCCATGCTCGGTTCATCCTTAAGCGTAGACTGTAGCTAAAGCAACAAGCGCGAGCCATTACCCGCGCTTCTGGCTTTGAGACATATATTTCTAGCGTGAGCACTCGTCCTGCGGAAGAACGCGTCAAAGTAGAGACGTTGACCTCTCGTGCTTGTGGCATTGACTGGAGTTTCAGCTTAATGGTGAATGGAATATCAATGGGTTTATTGCTAAATCAAACAAGTATCGAGGAGAATGCTGGGAATGTAGGTACACGCACCGCACACGCTCGCCTCCCGCGTATAAAAGATTCGGAGTAAGTAGCCAAAATGGGCCGCTGACGAACGCGCGTGCAAGATGCCATTTGTTTTAGGATTTTGCTGTGGGACAGTTACTGCTGCAGAATGCTCCTTGGTGCTTGGTTAATTAGCAGCGCGTGTGACCACACTCGCAGACTGCTTCAATTACTGCTTGGGTAATTTGGAACTTTCAGGGATGGTGGTACCGCAGTACACAAATCACGCTCCGCTCCTTGATGATCGGCTTTAGGATAAAGATGCTTCCTTACATTTTCCTTACATGGAAGTATGAAGTAAGGATTTTATATCGTGCGTATTTCACGAAATGATAATTACTCTATAACGTCGCACTCCAAACCTCGGACTGCTGTTCTACGACGATTATCCAGAAGACAGCCATTTTGATATAGAGTGCCTTCATACACACGCGCGCTGACATGTATAGGCACCTGGTGCACCCCCTATACACCAACTCAACTCTCCTACGTCACGCCGCGGTGGTGGCGCGCCGGACGCACTTCCGGTCTCGGGCGGTGGGCAGAAGTCGCCGTGCCAGACATGCATTCCTGTGTTCCTTTGGAAGAAACGAGACAAAAAACCTGCCTTTTCGTCAAAATGCTGCGATGGGGGCTTTACCAAGAGAGTCTGGGAAGGTTTGAAGATCAGTTTTCATGTGTTTTTGCACCCTCCGTTCGTCCGAGAACGTGGATAGCAGCCGTGAAAGGGGCAAACCTGACGCTGTGGAACTACGATTGCGTGTGCGGGCCACAATTTGTAGTCGCCAGATGTGTTTGCTTTGTTCCAACATGACCGAGAGAAAACCCCCAAGTTGTCCGGACCACCCACGGATTCAGTGCGTCTTCAAATTCACACGGCCGCCTGATCGTTCGAACTTTCGTCTGCTCTTTCAAAGTTGTCTGCTTTTTGTCGTCTGCTCGTTCAAACAAAAGCGGCCCGTAGACCAAAGTTTGACCCGGTGATTGCAATAAGAAGTAATTGCAGGCCTCAAAAGACTTAAGTAGGCTCGGTGTAAACAGTAGATACATGTTAATTATTGGTACCGGTGGCCATCATCTACTTGTTACCCTTTGTCTGTTCCCGCTTCCGATTTTCAGTATCGATGTCGATCATCGCCGCTACCTTTTACACTTTTGCAGCACGAGCGGCGTCGCGACCGAAAATAGCTACAAGAATCTCATCATGGTTTTGGCGTCCATTCTGCAGCGTTCATGCGAATGAATCGCTGCACGTCAAATTACTTACGGAAAGTTTAGCGGCGTAACGAGCCTCGATAATTTCGCTCAGGCGATTGAAGTGGTAAGACATTGCGATGAGGACGTAGAATCGACAACTCCAACGCAAAAAAGAGTATGCAGACTCACACAGACGCCGACAACGTGACATTCGAATGGTTTGTTGACGCGGGACGCGGTGCTTCTTGCCCGTACTCCATTGCGCGTGCGTTCGAACTGTCGTCTGCTCTTTCAAACTTGGCTGCTTTTTGTCGTTAGTTCGTTCAAACGACAGCGGCTCGTAAACCAAACGTTGACCCGGTAATTGCGATAAGAACTAAGTGCAGGCCTCAAAACATTTTTGAAGGTTGGTTGGGGTAAGTCGGCTAAGTGTAAACAGATACAAGAAGTTGTTGATCATTGTTACCAGTGGCCATCACCGACTTGTATTGCCCGATTCTACTTGAGGTTTTCAGTATCGATGTCCACCATCTCAGCTACGGTCCACGCTTTTGCAGTCCGAGCGACGTCGCGACTGAAAATAGCGAGCAGAATCTCGACGTGGGAGTCAGGCTTTAGCGCCCATTCTGCGGCGTCCACGTGAAATGAATCGCCGCACGTCACATTATCCACGCAAAGTTTTGCCTCGATAGTTTTGCTGAAGCCGCTCAAGTAGTCAGACATTGTTAGGAGGACGTAGAATCAACAATTCCAACGCGAAAAAGAGCACGGGGACTCCCACCGACGTCGACAACAACGCAATTCAATGGTCTGTTTATGGGCGACGGCGGACTTCTTGCCCACCATCCACGGCGCATGCGCGGCGCCGGTGACGTCCGCTAGGAGCGCTCCGGTTTGTTTGTAAACATGAGTTGGTGCATAGACCATTCCATTTAGCGCTCTCTGGGCGGCACCATTTTGTTCGACCGCAGCGCCCTCTCCACACATCCGGGAAGTTCAGCGGGTTCGGCTGGGTAAAACCAGAGAGAGGGCACGCCGCCGACTCCGCTAGCAGACGACAAACCGGGAGGTTGCCGTTCTCCATCTTTGGGCTGTATCGGCGGGCTCTACCGAACACCGAACTCTCGCTCGTGGCTGCGGTTGTGAAGTGGTTCGCGTTCTTAGAATAGTTGTGGCTACTCCAAAATCAGCCTATAGCTCTCTGTTCTTCTATTTTGCTAAATGATAAACTAGCATATCTTTTTTCCGTTACTTAAATAGCAGTTGAGTCAGCCGGCAGTACTACCCTCAACTATTGCGTGTGTTGCGGCAGGAGACACGTTTTTATTTATTATTTCAGACCCGCTCATGGTCGCTAAAGGCCTACACCAGTACGAACGTTTGTATAGTAAAAGAGGTACAGCAACCGGATTTTTTTTTTCGCCAAAGAAACCGGCCAATCTGACACAGTTTTCCCCATTTTTGTTTTTTATTTGCACGCAGGTAACAGTGCAATTGGACCCTGTGAGTCTTTTTATCTAGCATAGTATTACACGATAACTGGCATACCAAAATCTGCGCATCTACGCTTGAAAGTTCCAAAATGACGCGATTTTAAACAGAGTTTGCACGCCAGCCGGACGCTAGCTACAGCCCACTCGGCGGAGCGGACGACTTGCGGGGGAGAGGGGGAGTGCATTTTTTTCTCTTTTACCCTCTCTGCTATGACCCTAATGGAACGGTCTATATACCGTGAAAGTTGCGAGTTTATAAAAATGTATATTTTTCACTTAGAGCGAAAATTAGTGTCGCCGCACCTCAAAGACAGACCGACCTAGGGTGCCTCAGTGTCCTTCTGTTAAGGGTGATGCCACCCTTTGTAGTACCCGATGCCGACAGCACGCGCTCACGGGTAAAGTACAAAGAAATTGACGAAAACACAATGTCGCCATAGCACAGTCAGCGCCACAAACGCGTGCAGGGACACGCTCTTTCACGCGCTTTTGAACAAAAAATAAAAAATGAAAGCCGCTTACAACTCCCTGTAACGCCGAATTAGAGCGCAGCTCTTGAGGAGGAGGAGGGAAGGGCACGGGGGGGGGGGGTAAACTAACCAGGGGGGGGTCACGTGACCTTGGGGGTCACGTGACCCCCAATGCCGATGATGTCATCACTGACGTCACTGATGACGTCATCCGTGACGATGACGATGCGGGTACCGATGACGTCATTAGTGACGTCACTGATGGCTTCACCAGTGATGATGACGATGACGATGCGAATGTCGGTGACGTCATCAGTGACGTCGCTGATGACGTCATCAGTGATGATGACGATGACGATGCGGATGCCGGTGACGACATCAGTGACATCACTGATGACGTCATCAGTGATGATGACGATGACGATGCGGATGCCGGTGACGTCGTCAGTGATGATGACGATGACGATGTGGATGCCGGTGACGTCATCAGTGATGATGACGATGACAATGTGGATGCCGGTGACGTCATCAGTGATGATGACGATGACGATGTGGATGCCGGTGACATCAGTGATGATGACGATGACGATGGGGATGCCGGTGACGTCATCAGTGATGATGACGATGACGATGCGGATGCCGGTGGCGTCATCAGTGATTATGACAATGACGATGTGGATGCCGGTGACGTCATCAGTGATGATGACGATGACGATGTGGATGCCGGTGACGTCATCAGTGATGATGACGATGACGATGGGGATGCCGGTGACGTCATCAGTGATGATGACGATGACGATGTGGATGCCGGTGACGTCATCAGTAATGATGACGATGACAATGCGGATGCCGGTGACGTCATCAGTGATGATGACGATGACGATGTGGATGCCGGTGACGTCATCAGTGATGATGACGATGACGATGTGGATGCTGGTGACGTCATCAGTGATGATGACGATGACGATGTGGATGCCAGTGACGTCATCAGTGACGATGACGTCATAGGGGGGTCACGCGACATCGGCGGGGGTCACGTGACCTCGGGGGGTCACGTGACCTCGAGGAGGGGGTCACGTGACCTTGAGGAGGGGTCACGTGACCTCAGGGGAGTCACGTGACCTCGGGGGGGGTCACGTGACCCCCCACGAGGTCACGTGACCCCGGTGGGGGGGGCTCGCGCGGTGCATTATGGGACATTTCCCATGATGCACCGCGCGGTTACGCCGACGGCGACGGCGACGGCGACGGCGACGCCGCTCAAGCCGGAAACGGGCCCCTAAGAGCTGCGCTCTAAAAAGTGAAAGCCGCTTACAACTCCCTGTAACGCCGAATTAGAGCGCAGCTCTTGAGGAGGAGGAGGGAAGGGCGCTGGGGGGGGGGGGGGTTAGACTAATCAGGGGGGGGGTCACGTGACCTTGGGGGTCACGTGACCCCCAATGCCGATGATGTCATCACTGACGTCACTGATGATGTCATCAGTGACGATGACGATGCGGGTACCGATGACGTCATTAGTGACGTCACTGATGACTTCACCAGTGATGATGACGATGACGATGCGAATGTCGGTGACATCATCAGTGACGTCGCTGACGACGTCATCAGTGATGATGACGATGACGATGCGGATGCCGGTGACGACATCAGTGACGTCACTGATGACGTCATCAGTGATGATGACGATGACGATGCGGATGTCGGTAACGTCACCGGCATCCACATCGTCATCGTCATCATCACTGATGACGTCACCGGCATCCACATCGTCATCGCCATCATCACTGATGACGTCACGGGCATCCACATCGTCATCGTCATCATCACTGATGATGTCACCGGCATCCGCATCGTCATCGTCATCATCACTGATGACGTCATCATCACTGATGACGTCACCGGCATCCACATCGTCATCGTCATCATCACTGATGACGTCAGCGGCATCCACATCGTCATCGTCACTGATGACGTCATCATCATTGATGACGTCATCATCACTGATGACGTCACCGGCATCCACATCGTCATCGTCATCATCACTGATGACGTCACCGGCATCCGCATCGTCATCGTCATCATCACTGATGATGACGATGACGATGTGGATGCCGGTGACGTCATCAGTGTCGATGACGTCATCGGGGGGTCACGCGACATCGGCGGGGGTCACGTGACCTCGGGGGGTCACGTGACCTCAGTGGAGTCACGTGACCTCGGGGGGGTCACGTGCCCCCCCACGAAGTCACGTGACCCCGGTGGGGGGCTCGCGCGGTGCATTATGGGACATTTCCCATGATGCACCGCGCGGTTACGCCGACGGCGACGCCGACGGCGACGGCGACGCCGCTCAAGCCGGAAACGGGCCCCTAAGAGCTGCGCTCTAAAATAAATGTGTGGGACAAAATGGCGAGATGTCTCCACCCTAAGCAAAGCGCACATGAAGGCACCCTAGACCGACCTAGGGTGCCTACATGTCTGTCTGTCTCAGGGTGAGGACATCCATTGTTGACCTGAGTGGGCCAGCGCGTGACACTCTCGCGCACTCGGTGCGTGACTTAGGCGGCAAAATGGCGTCTATACATTAGCCAAAGCTACGCGCTCGAGCTGAGTGACACCGGATCGCGCGCACTTCAAAATGCATAAAAAAACTATTGGGCGGAAAAATGGCTGAGATGTCACCACTCAAGCAAAAGCGCGCGTGTGTATGAAGGCACTCTAGACCGACCTTGCTCCGCATTCCTTCTGGCGGTAGAACCGCACTCGCAAAGCGCTTGCAAACACGGTTGCTTGAAGGTCCTACGCAATTTCACGCGCGTTTCATGATGAAAACGAGCGGATGCGCTTCGCGGTTCCGATTCGAACTCCAGTGTGAATGCACCCTTACACTGTCTAAAACAGGAACATCAAATTTTGTATCGTTTGGCAAAAGTCCATCAACATGGCGTCCTGCGAGATTTCGAGCCGTAAGTAGGTCACATTAGAGCCACTAAATGAGCTGCGTTTAGAGTATTGGCACTCCGTTTCCCGTCAATGTTTTGAACGCCACCATTTTGGTGCTTGTGCAGAGCAGACGCAACTGCCGATCTACATGATCCAAAAATGCGACTTCCTCAGCATTAGATTCGCTGTTAGGAAGCTCATGTAATATTGCTTTGTTTTGTCGCGAACTGTTTAAACATTTGTGGAAGACGGAAAAGCATTTCCTGCGATTTCAGATAAAGCTTCGGATAACTGGCAACTATGATTTTAAGCCACAATATAGCCAAGTGTCGTTAATCTGAAGCGTAGCTTATGTAGTGGCTCTAGATCTCATGAACATGCCCTTTGGGAGCCTCAGCACACCAGTCGGGGACGTGCTCCAGTAGGGAAAGAGCGTCCGACGCAGGGGACCCACCGACGCCGTAGTCAGGCTGCTCGTAGGCGACCGCCACGTTGGCGCAGGCGGCCCCGAACAGCGCCGGCACCAGCTCGGCCCGGCTGTTGCTGAGCAGGTAAGCGGTGCATCCTCGGCCCAGGCCCAGCCTGCGCAGACCCCGACACACGGCACGCGCCTGGCCGGCCACCTGGGCGTAGCTCCAGCTCGCGTGGCTGCTCCCGTTCACCTGCATTAGATGCTGCTCGTCCACGGTGTGCTCGTCCAACGCGAGCTTTCTACCTTCGACAACATTTCGGCGCACGCGAAGCTAACACGCCGGAAGGCGAGAAGCACGAGTGCCGAAGGCAGGGCATCTATCTGCTGGCCTTATGTTGCGAGAGAATATACACCCGTATTCGCCTCGAAAAACCTAGGAAAAGAAAAAAAAAAATGTCCGGCTTTCGTGGAGCGTTACTGATTTACTGCGTTATCTGAAGAATTAGGATATGTAAGGGTAGATTTTATATTTGACTTCCGTTATTTTATCGAGACATACACGTAAACTCGGAAAGCATAGTTTCTTCTTCCGACAACCAAAAATTTTAAGGACTACTTCGTGAAGCGCATGAATAATGTGCACAATTTCCTATTTTCTTGGGGGGGGGGGGGGGGGGGGGGGGGGGGGGGGGGGAGGGCGACGAGTTTTGTTGCGCCCAAGGCAGGCATTGGCCAAGGATCTGAATTTTAGATCGCGTATTTCAGGTGATGGCAATCCGTGAAATCGTCTTCCGCCCGCGTTGTGGCATTTGTTCTTTAATTTAAGTTGTTTATTAAAAAAAAGCCTTTATACAGTGCATTGGGACACTACAACGCAACAAAAGCAACGAAGAAAGAAGTGTGAGACGCACTAATTCTTCCAAATATCTCCAATTACCCACGCCAAAATATATTAAAAAAAAAAAAACTAAATTTTCAGAACCTTCGAATCAGCAATGAGTGCGAGCGAATGAAAATGTTTAATTGCGCCACTGGAAGCAAACATGGGTGAAAATTGAAAGCGCGGGAATATAAAAAAGGCAAACTTCTAACGGCGGTGCGATATGGTGCTACAGTTTGAGAACTAAGCATAGACGTGCTGTCTTACGGCACGTCGAGTGTACTTATCGAGCGATACGCTATTTACAGAGAGGTCAGGTCTTGCACAAACCAAACGCGAGCGCAGAAACTCGTGACGTCAGGACGTCTTGGTGTATAGTTTATAGGTCGACTTTCTTCGTAGACAGGCCAGCTCTGTATTTTCAAATATTAGAAAGAACGTAACGGTTTTGCCCGGTTCTGGATATCCTCAAGTTGAGCAATCCGGTAGTTTTGAAAAGGATTCGAGAAGGTGGCGAAGTATTTTAAATTTCGTCGAATGTTTCGTGCACCAGTTTTCTATTCTCTCGATGGACAGCATTCAGTCGACTCAGGATGTAGGCGAGGGATTTATACGCACCTGAATGCATCAAGTTGATGCGGTTATTTCGCGTCATATTGGAACTAAGGACGACACCAAGATACCATACTCTCCAGATTAGGGTACTCAACCGGCGTATAGTTTCGCAGGAAGAATATTTCGGATGAAAAATGATGTTATTTTTAGATAGTCCGCACCATGGGCATAGTCGTCACCCGGTGCCTTGACCGCGTGTAAAGTAATCACGAGCATAGCACACCTTGAGAAATATCTAATTTGTTAAACGGACAAAAAAACAAACTCGGATTATACATAAATCAACCATTAACATGCTGTGTCACTCACAAAATTCATAGCGTCTCGTCATATCGAACAATCAGAAAAAAAAAAAAAAAAAACTTCGTATAGTGCGCGTCCATAGAAAACAGCGTAAAGTTTTAACACTAAAACGTTAAATAGTCCGGAAAATATTAGATCGCCACGTCGAATCTCTAATCACCCAATAGTTACACAACAAAACTGAGGCCCTCGTTTACTCTTGTCGTCGCACAACGTATTCCCCGGATCCTTTGCTCTTCAACTCGTACTATACTCTCCGCACCCTCGAGGGACCTCCCTGTCTTTGCCTTCTTTCTAGACCCCTTTTAAAAGTCAGGCGCCGAATATTAGAAGGTCGAAACCACTGTACAATGGCGGAACAACTGGCGTCGTGGAATGTGCAAGTCATTCCATAATAGAGCGAACGTCGGAGCGGGGTCAACCTTCGGACCCGACGAGCAATTAAAGCAACGTCGAACGTGCAACGTCACTGCGTTCATCACCTTTTTCTTGTGGGTGTGTTCCTTCCAGTATACCGTGACGTTGAGGTTTTAGTCCGCCATTCTACAGGGATTCCACCGCTACCAACAAAAGGCAGTATTTCGAAAGGGGTCTATAGAATTAATTACTACCAAAAAGCCCCTTGCTATCACCTCTCGATAGGATATCAGACCTCTTGTAGGACTCTCGCACCAACAAACAGCGTTCCTCCAAAACCAATTCAAGTAAAATAAATAAAACTATTTTTTTAATGTTTGTTATTAATTATTGACGATTGTCACAAAGGAAACATTCCGAGCAGCGCCCACCCCCTCAACTCGCCGCTAGAACAAGCAGTCAACTGATCTGGCGCTGATTATGTGCGGCCAATTTGTTATATTCAGACGGCGTTTACATAAAAAAAGTTAACTATAAAATAATTACGAACTACTATGTGCAAACTGCTTATACCGATATACTGATTGGCTCTGCAGTTTAACATTACGCTTCCTGTACATTGACATTGCCTAGTAGTGACAGTGCTGACGTGCATCTGCTGCGCGTGCAGGCTCGGGATTCACAAGACGCCGTTTGGGAAAGTGTCCGACCAACGCCTTCTGGAAACTAAGTCCTGCGCGTTTCGTTTCCCTACGTCAGCTACGCTCTAATTTCGCACAACAGACATTTGTAAACGTCTTTCATTTTTTGTTTTTCTTTTTTAATGCTCCGTCATTTGCCCTGCGTTCGGTCTCAGCGTCAGAGGTGGAATTGTGTTATAGGTAAGGTTCCGTGTTTTCAAAGTTTATTTTTCGTCAAATTCGGAGGGTGTTTAATAGAGTTTATTTTTTGGCGAAAATTCGGAGTTTATCGGAGTATATTTGTCTTTGATTCGCAATTCCTCGCAATCCGAAGTTTAATTTTGGAGCGTTTCTCATTAAAAATTAAAAAAAAAAAAAAAAATATCCGGGTGTAAACGTATGCGGAATAAAACAAAAAACGCGATTGTTCGCGGGGCCTGTTTTTCGCGAATTGTAGGTGATTCGCGAAAATTAGGTGCTCGCAAATATTAAGTCGTTTACAGTATATGAAATCTTCCCTTTTTGACAATTTTTCCCCACCCTCTTTCCTCATCGCCGTGTCTTTCCTTCTCCCTCCCCCCTCTTCCCAGTACAGAGTAGCCAGCCAGAACCGTTCACGGTACCCCTCTGTCCTCCCTTAATAAATCTCTATCTCTCTCTCTTTCTCACCCCGTCAGTAATTATAAAAAACTCGCGCGTTTTTTGGTCGAGAAAATTGTGACCGATGACCGAGTTTTTGGCTGGACCAGCTGCGCCGTAACGCAGGGGTTGCGCGGACTCGCTTGATTCCACCTCCCAAACATCTGCAGTGCAGACAAAGGCATGGGCACGAGAGCGCGGCTTTGGGAAGTGCCCTTCCATGCACGAGTCCACGTACAAACAAAAGCATACTGCTGAGCTATTAGCGGCGAGATGTTTCGGTGGCGCCCTCGTTCGGTTACTGTCGGGACGTCATTACCTTGTGAACAACAAGTTCCATGGTGTTTGTAATGGACATGGTGGAAGCCTGAAATCATAACGTTCTTGAGCTTCATAAATGATATTGTGTCTTGTTTAAACAGTGGCGAACTACTTCTTTTTGCTGATGACCTTAAGTTGTTCAAAAGCCTTAATAGTCTTAAAGATTGCGATGTCCTGCAAGGTGACGTTACCAGCGTTCTTCAGTGGTGTAAAAATAATCAACTGCTGTTAAATCCCCAAAAAACAAAAGTAATTTCTTTTTGCCGTAGGCATTCTGTTTTTGAGTCTACTTATTATCTCGATGGATCGCCTATACAGCGTGTGTCAATCTTAAAGGACCTTGGTACGTGTGTGTTTTGACAGTGCTTTATCTTTTAGAAATCATGTGTCATTGGTCGTGGGCAATGCTTTTAGAGCGTTAGAAGTAATTTCTCGTTTGACGCGTAATTTTAGAAACCCTCATTCAATGGTTAACCTTTTTAACTCATTAGTGAGGTCACGACTGGAGTTTGCTTCTGTCGTATGGAACTCGATTTCTAACACACAGGCTATGAGCATAGAAAATGTTCAGAAAAGACTTGTCCGGATCGTTTATGATAGATACTTTGAGCGGCAGTTTTATTATAGGTATGAATATATAATGAAAATTTTATCTCTTTCTTTATTGTCTAAAAGGAGGACTGTTCGTGATTTAATGTTTCTGCACAAGGTTGCGAATGGTGCTGTTGATTCGGCTCAACTCCTTGCAAAAGTGAACTTTCATATTCCATTCCGAGTAAGTAGACATTTTGTTTGTTTTGATGTTCGCTCGCCGTGTAACACCTCACCTCTCTTACGGATTCAGTCATTATATAATACCTTCGCTTCACCCCACCTTGATATATCTGCATCGATTTCTATGTACCGTCGCGATTTAAATGATATTATTCCAGCCCCTTAGCATTATGTTTGTCTTGGATATTTTATTTTATTTTATTTTTTAGTAAATGTTTAGAGCCTATGTACTTGCTTGCTCATTTTGCTTGTTGTGTTGGTGCACCAATAAGAAGACCAATGTGGTTGTTTTTGGGCACCCCAAAATAAAGATTGTTATTATTATTATTCATCATCATTTCATCATCATCATCATCATTTATTAAAACCTTGAAGGCCATTGCTGGCATTACACAAGGTGGGTGTAACTGCTGAAGAAACATATAAAGGAACAAACAAAAAAGTGGGTTACATGCTGGAAAACATTGTTATATAAAGCAGCAAAAACAGAAGAAAAAAAAACAAAAAGAACACACACACTTAAAACATTATTATTATTATAACCTTGCCGACAGAGTCAAAATTTAAGTTCTTACATTCCTCTTATTTCCGTCGTTGAAACATCCTTTGCTGACGTCATAGCCAGCATTCGGCCAATTGTGGTGGGCCGACCACAGCGACGCTTTCGTTCGCTCACGTCGCCAATAGGCTAACGCGCCTCTGCCTTTGTCTTTCGGACACGAAGCCCTGATGCCACGCCGCCGCGGCGACGCTGCAATGCGAAAGCAAGTCGTCTGCTTCTTGCGCAGGGGTTGCAATGACGTCAGAACGAATCCAAGCTCTGATTGGCTGATCGAAAAAAAAAAAATAGTGGGTAGACCTCAACGCTAGATGCCTCGAGGTCTGCCCACTATTTTTTTATTTTTTTTTCAATCAGAAAATAAGTGCTCGGCGTTTTGACATAATCGCTACCCCTGTGCAAGAAGCAGACACACTTGCACTCCGCATTGGCGCATGCAAAGACTCTTCACGCGAACCTAATTCCTGCGCACGGACACAGTGCCCACGGGAACTGCGCCTTTGCCCCTCCTGTGGGCTCGCTTGTATGGAGCGCGTTGGCCACTAAAGTGTATTGCAGAGTGTTTCCGACTGCTTGATAAGGGGTCGCGTGGTTTACGGGCCGCGTATGCAACGCGAGCTGTGACCGTCTCGAAGCGTCTGCCCGCTTTTATCCGCATGCGCACTCGCTACCAATCTGCGCAATCCGCCATTAAATTGCAAGCGCTCTCCCCATTGTATGAGTTGCCCCATCTTAGGCTCTCTGGTACTTACGAATCGAGACTTGGGATGTGCCTCGAGCTTGGCTACCATGAAGGCTCCGAAGTTCTGGTCGGTGACGGCCGGGTGCCGGGTGAATGGCGACAGCAGGATGTGGCTCTCCATGGTGCAAGAGTCACTGCAGACAGTCTTCTGTGCGCCGAAGGGAGGTCAGATAAAAACGGCGCTCGTCCGACGCCCATAAACCTCTATCTTATCCCGCCTATATACTGCTGCGTTCTCAACTGCAGATCCGCGGACGGATTCGCGAGGGGTTTCGCCGAAAGATCTCCGGCGGCAAGCGGGATCGGTTGGTCGGTCCTCGAGGTGTATTAAATCGTGTTACTCGTGTTCTTAGACGGCCTCGAAGGTGGCACGCCTCAACGGGTCACCTGTCTCTCAGCTGTAGATGGGAAATTTCGCTAGTACAGTATAACCGCTAACGCGGAGTCTTTAACGTGCACTATGCAGTAGTGATCACACAAACACGTGCCGGTACGCAACTCATTCAGATCGAGACGGGCACAGAATGGGGATCGAACCTGTGGGAGGTTCTGCAGCGCAAGCGTTCGCTCCGCGCTCCGAGCTGAGACGCGATAGCCCACTCGGCCATTCATCCCCTCCGACGCGCGTTCGGAAAAGCTCATGGAGTAAAGGACCAACCACGAGGGTCGTTTTTCACGCGCTTCGCCTGCGTCAAGCGTCTCCTCGTATCGGCGTAGGTTGCTCCGTGCCAATATCTGTTCTGGTCAGATATTGGCGTCGGATTACTGCGGGAGACCTTGAGCGACGCGCCTTTAAGAGCCAGCCACGCTGCTGATACATCGGGCGAAAGAAGCGATGTCCGCTGCGGACATGTATGACCATATAGACTCTTCTATACTCACAAAGCCTGGCAGTTTGACGACGGCGCCATAGAGTGCCCGGTGGCAGATTTGCAACGGGAGGATCTGGTAGCACAGAGCATTCGTCTGGGAACCTGGACGTCAGCGCACAGCTTTTGCAGCGGCGAGGACCCGATACATAGTTTTCAAACCCGACGAAAAACGATGCAGTAGAGCGAGGAACGCGAGGAGCACAAGCGGACATTCCATCGCTCGGGAGAAGTGTGTTTCGGCGTCTCGCCGCAGCGGGGCGCCCATCACGTGGCTTCTCTCATCTTTTGTCTGCCTCTCTACCTTTTAAATTTCGGCGGCCACTTCTCGTGACGAACTGCCAGGCTTTGTGAGTATGGAGGAGGCTATGGAATGACATAATTATGTGCGGTCACACCTGAAGCATGTGCGGAACAAGTTTGCTTCACACATTTGTACGAACATGTCTGCCGAGTGTTTGTGTACGAGACAGCACCGTCGTACAAGGAAAAAACACGTCTCATACAATGTCCGCAGCCTGTCTTTTGCATGGTGTATTAGCAGCAAAATGCCGAAGCCCAATTTTTATCGGTTCGCGTTCGCGGCTATAGGTTTAGTTCCGGTTCACTTCCGGTTCGGTTCCGGTTCAGTTCCAGTTCAGTTCCGGGGAACAAAAATGACGCTTCAAACTGGTTCGAACGGGTTTGAACCACTAAACTGAGAATACATTTTCTGCGTTGTTTTGAGCAATAGGCACTATTTCCACCGTGAAACGAGTAACTATATAGTTGTTTTTTATCGTTTGTACAATTTACTATTTTTTACGTACTAAAATTGAAAAATTCGTTATTTAATTTCGACGCAACAGTAAACGATAATGTAGAATAACGTACAAAACGTCGCGTTTGTACGATTTAACATTCATTTGTTTACCTCGGTGATATTGGCGGCGTGCGCGACCGAAAGCGTCGCTGTGGTCGGCCTTCCACGATTGGCCCAAAAGCTGACTATGACGTCGGAAAAGGATTTATCATCGACGGAAATAAGAGGAATGAAAGAACTTTAATTTCGACGGTGTTGGCAGTGTCGCTTTGAGAGCGAATGATTTCAGGCTTCCACCATGCTATTTACAAACACCATCGAACTTGTTGTTCGCAAGGTAGTGACGTCACAAGGGGGAACCACACGAGGGCGCCACCGTAACATCTCGCCGCTAATACGTATATATAGGCTAAATCGAAAGGTTGTCAGGAAGTGCGGTGGATCGCCTAAAATTCTCGTTATTGGTACAACGTTGCGTCGCGGTATTAAAGACTGAATTGTAGTTGTGCTCTTGAACTGTAGCATTTATTACGGTGCATGACATTATGGAATGGGGACGTCGTCGCCATATGTATCGTGAAATGTAGTTTACGAAATGAGTTTCGCAATAGATATGATGACGACGCAACTGAGCTAAAAGCATTAATATTTTCAAAATGTCACAAAAGTTTAAGGACAAGCCCGTCTACCATTTATAAACACCGTTAGCGACAATCAAAACGCTGGTTTCCCTAACCAACATGGTTTACATATAGCACTGTGGTGCAGGCCAAAATCGCCCAGAAAGGAGTTATCAAACTTGTTTACTCTAATCTATACTCACCCCTGTACTCAGATTGAATCTGACCCAAACTACCGCGTACCCAAGTGAAAATGCACTTATAGAGGACAAACTGGCATAACCTAGCTGTTGAAGTTTGTTCTTGACAAGATGCCGCTCGATTCAGTTTGCATATAAGCATAACCCTTCCTAGTTGATAATGTTTTGTTACATATAACAAAGTAGTATATCACGCTCTATTCGACATGGCATATACTTAATTGATTATTTTTTTACCGTCTCCGTGCGCAATAGTCATAGTTGTGCCTCGCGACCCTGTATACTTTGTTTTTGCGCAACCCTCATACACATAAAATTCCTGTTTCTTTCATTAAAGAGCCAATAACAGATCTCGATATGTTGGAGTAGTTATATATTCTGTATATGTGTCAGAAACACGTAGGTATTTTAATAAGTTTCAAAATTTGAAATGCCTTTACCTGGCTTTCCCAAATCACGCTTTCCCATGGAAGATAAAAACGCCGGATAAAATTTTCAGATCTTCTTTTAAATAATTTAGGGGCACATTTTTTATTGTCATCAATACATTTGACTCTATGAAGTTTACACAGCCTCTTGACAAGGACGCGGGAGTACAATACCCGAAAATGCGCAAGCCGCAGAGGCATTCAGCGGAAATGTGTTGTTTTTTTTTCTTCAATTTTTGGCATTGTGAAACGCTGGATCGCAGGAAATTCCAAAAAAATAACTTTGTGTTCCCATGATAGATCTGAAAGCAAATAGAGGAAATGTGCAGAAGGAAAAAAAATATATAAAACGGTTCTTCAAAAGAGTTTGATACACAACGCCTTACTGCAAAAATAAATACATAGAGATGAAATGCTATTTCTAATTACATTTAAAAAGCCCGAAGCACGAACGAAGGTTCTTATAATCCTAACATTTATCACATTTGGGCATCTGGCTTCACGAGCTCGAAACTTAGCGAAGTACCGCCTCGGTTGCATAGTGTTATGTTCGGATTTACGTACACTTGCCTCGGGCCCTCCCTTTACAAATATGTGCTTTATCAGTAATGCGCTCCGCAATTTTATGTGCCCTCGTATCAGCACGATACTACTATTCATACAGCACAAATATACAATTTTAACATCTGCTTTTGCTAGCGCTACGAACATCTTATTGGTAGTCATTGCGGTTTGTTCTTGTTGAAAAAACCAAATCCGGCGGTGCAAAATGCACGCTGCAGAAGGATCGCGTCCAGTGCAAGAGCCACGTATTTGAGAAACAAATAGACCGATCTCATCAAGCGTTCGCGCATGCGTGATGCCGCCATAACCTTAGTTCGCAGGAGGCAGGCAGCAGTGCACAAAACGGCTCGTGCCGCCTCATGCTCCACACGCGCAGAGCTCCAGCGAGGTTGTCGCACGTGCAGAAAAACTAAAGGCCGGTTCAGACACTTGCGATTGAGTGCGTTTGACTGCGTTGCGTCGAGAACCAAAAGCGGGTCCCCGGCACATCTGTGCTTCGTATGAAGCGTGGAATCCAATTCAAGGAATCATCTTGGCACGCGATACAAGCACCAGGGATGTCCTGGTTTCTCGCTGCCGCAACGCAGTCAGACGCAACTGTGTGAACCAGGCTTAAAGCTTCCTCGATGCATTGCGGCAGCGGTGGCGTAGTCAAACTGGCTGGTGAGCTCGGTCTATTACTCTTTCTTCGTGCAGCGTCGTGAGGAACAGCGCGAGAGTCCGGCACCACGGAAACCCGCTTTCTCGAAAGAGATTTTGCAAACAAAGTTTTTTCCGGCCCACGTTTTCCGGTGCGTGCCAAAGTTGAAAGAAAAAGTAACTTCTACAACACAGTATGTATTTTTAAAAATTACCCCCCCTCCCCCCTCACATTTTTTTTTTTTTTGTATTTTCAAGACAATATTTCTTTATTCTTGAGGGACTCGCTCCTTCGTTGGAAATGATAATTCGACCGTTATTTTTGCGTCACTTGTTAACAGTAATCCTCCACTGCTCTTATTTCGCACTCAAAAACTGTGAAGTTCAAACAAAATATGGAAGTGATCAAACCTTAGCGAAGGACATGAGAATGTCCTTCCCTAAGCTGCCAACGTTCGGCTGTCTCTCCGAAGTCCCCAGGATCTTTCCTTTCATGTATTCCTCCCGTACACATTTGTAGCTATTTATCGTTGGACTAATAAGCCACATTTAGTCCTCTCATTGCTTCTCTTTTCGGAAATAACTTTCCGAGGTAGTCTAGCAACAACGAAAACATATTTGGGTGCCTCAATGATATATAGTACATACAAAATGGGTCGTGCAACAATTATTGTACTTTCAGTAACGCACTCAGAACAAATCCCTGTCGTTAATAGCCTGCGAAAAACCCATTAGTGTTCTTATCCGCGCAATAACAGACGCAAAAAAGAAAAATAATAAAAAAAAAACGAAATAGCTTTTCCCTTTTTGACTCGCAGTTTGAACAAGCGGCTACGTGATTTAATACTAATTATACATCCTAAGTGTTCATCATAGTCATGAGCTGAGTGTGGCAAAGCATAGAGTATGGGCTGAGCTTCAGACATTGTTATTTGTTAGAGTTCGGCTATTCTCATCTTTGATTGAACACGAGCCATTACTCGAATGTTTGGCGATGCTGATTGTCATGAACCGGAGCGTTCGACT